AGTATTTACCTCTTTCGACGTTTCTCCGTGATCGCGTGTTGAACCAAGTCGAAAAGTCGAGAGAGGTAAATATCTTTATTTACCATAAAATTATTCACGTTAAACCCCGTTTAACTATGTTAATAACCTTTCAGATTCTTTTATCTAAAATATTATATTATATTATATATTTATCGAGATAGAAAGTTAAAAATTAATAAATATATAACCCTGGACAATTAACACAGCGCCATCTAGTCCCACGGTAAGCATAGCTTGTGTTATGGGTACTAGCCAACTAGTTTATAAATTTATTAAATTACTAGCTGTCCCGGCAAACGTTGTTTTGCCATAAAATAAAATAAAAAATTTAGGAGTGGACTACCCCTAACATTTAGGGGATGAAAAATAGATGTTGGCCGATTCTCAGACCTACTCAATACGCTCACAAAATTTCATTGAGAATCAGTCAAGCCGTTTCGGAGGAGTATGGGAACGAAAACTGTGACACGAGAATTTTATATATAAGATTTTTTCCTTTAAAGTTTTAAATTGGCACAGAAGTATTATATATCATTTTAAAAGTATTTAGATAATGATTATGACGGCGTGGTTAATTTAATTGACTTATATAAAAGGTGGCAATTCTAGCTTCGAATTTTGAAAAATGACATTTTTCTTTTTAATCGCCGATATGCTGGCAAATATTATACATGTTTACAATAATTGTTCAAAATCTACCCTGTACCATCGTGAGCACAGATTATTATATTAGAGCCCGTTAGTTTCTGTTCCCGCGCTTTGCCTTCCCCTCCCTTACCTAGTACTGAACCGACTGTACGGCGGCCATGACGCGCGCGCATTGTATTGTGAATTAAAATAAATTAGAACTGTGAAACCTACTGTGAAACTGGAAAGCTAGCGAAGATATCTTCGAGACCCTGAAGCCCAAGAAATCCGCAGAACCATACAGGTACGTGACTGACGCTACCACTCATTTTTCACTATATATATACCCATAGTAAATTCGCTAACATTTTGGTAGCAGAGTAGTTTCCCAAACAATAATACTAAGTCGTTTTTAAATTCAAATTTGGGAGATAGAGTGACCATCTCCCAAATTTGAATTTATAAACGACTCAGTGGTATTATAGACATGTATAACATTTATTTGAAAGAGTACGAGCTGAGTTTCTTGTCAGTTCTTCTCATCTCAAAATCATTCCGAACATATCATATCATAACAGTCTATAATAGACCTATATGAATAAAGATATTTTGAATTTGAATTTGAACTACACACCTTGAGCTACACCGATAGACCACCGCGGCCATCCAATGTATGGTAAGGGTATGTATTTAACCAATCAACTTCGTATCTCCATAACCATATGAGTTATGAATTTTTGTAACAGTTTTTTGTAATTCCGATGCAAAGTTGGGTTTTTTTATTTACTACAATTCCATTTTCTTCCTTCGATGTGTATTCCGCTACTTCTATGAGTGAACGATATTTACACAACACTGATCGCGGTATCAGTACACATTATAAAACAAAGTCGCTGTCGCTGTCTGTACGTCCCTATGTATGCTTAAATCTTTAAAACTACGCAACGGATTTTGAAGCTATATTTTTTATTAGATAGAGTTATAGAGGAAGGTTTATATGTATAATACATGTACACCCGGGCGAAGCCGGGGCGAGTAGCTAGTATACATAAAAATATAACTGGAATGACAAACGAGCTAACAAACAGACCGGATGGTAAGTGGTAACAGTCGCTTTAACAAATGAACAGCAACCACATTATCATGTGACAATAAAATATAGCTTGTATCATTTTAAATTTTATACCAATTAGTTTACTAACATAAAAAAGTATAAACAAACCCGCGGGCATCGCTAGTCCAAAATATCGTTCACTCAACATTCCAAAACCAAACAACGATCAAATATTTTAAATTCCATCTCTTTCTACCACTAAACATTTCCAAAATAACTTTCTCTTATCCTCTCGTTATCTTATTTATCAGTGCCAAATCTACTCGGACCTTGGATTGCGTTTGTTATCTTTTATAGCATAGGGGACAAACATGCTTGCGGCCCATCTGATGTTAAGTGATTACCGCCCAGCGCTCGCAATCCCATCGGATTTACAAGTGCATTGCCTGCCTTTATGTAAGGAGAATGGTAAACAATCTTAAGTGGTATCCATCGACTATACATGAAACGTACTATGGCTATCACGTTATCAGGCGACGTCAGTGATGCCATCACGCTTTGCTATTCCAGATGACCAGGAATCATGATTAAATCTACACCAATACGGCCGCTTACGTAATCCTGGAGTGCTTGCAGTGACACAACGAAGACAAATCCTCGGAAGGTTGAGGTCGCTTCGTGAAGACATCAGGAGACTTCTGCGCTTTTGGGAGGAGCTGGCTCTTACAAATCCCATTGCTATTTTATAGTACAAATTTTTTCAGTGTTCTTTTCGATAAAGAAAGTGAAATAACGAAACGCAATCCAGGCTCGACTCCCGCTAAGTGCTTTTTTTAATATTCCAAATCTGGAAGCTAATTGGCCAGTAATTATAACATTATATTAAATTCCATTACATTTGTCATATCGTTGATAAAAACGGTTAAAATTTAAACATGGTCAACAAATAAAAAAAAATGTCAATAGGTATACAAAATGTAGATTATATTGCTTAATAATATATTGCATTGATTAAAAAATATATTTACGCATAATCAACTTTAAACCATCAATTATAAAGTTGATTTTGAGAAAATATTTTTTTAGTGAATGCAATACATTTTTACTTATAAGCGTGCTATATCAAAAAACAACAGCGGTCGATATAAATGCAAAAAATGGCGCAAACGTTATAACGTTAATAAAACCGTTAAATTTAATATTACAAAAGTAACAATTATATCGTAAGAAACATATGCCTAGTGTTCAAATAAAAACTGTACTACAAACATTTTAGAGTCGATTCTCCTGTGATAGACTAACTGTAGTGAAGTTTAGGGGAGCCTCCCTATTGGGTACTTACACACAAGTACTACTTTAAACATATATCTACATAGACACATTAATATAAGAGCCCGTAGACGAGTGACAACAAGATTCTATTTTTAAATATAATTGTTTTTTTTTTCGTTATGTTTCACGTTAGCAAAGATCTATTGACATAATTCTTTATTTCAGTATGGCTGATGTAGGTAAAAAAGTATTTGAAAATAGAATGGTTTGTCATTTATCCAGGCCCTTGGGTATATTAATTTGAATAGATAACGCAAATCTGATGTATCGATTACGGCAAAGAACTTGAGTATATTTTAATAGGTACCACGGACATAAAAAAAAAAAGGTTAAGTAAGACTTTTCCATAGAAAAGCCTCTACTAGTTACGTTTCCGTTCACGATAACTTGTATTGTCTAAGACAAGTACACTTAAAGAAACACGACAACTAATTAAAAAAAGAGCGCCAGTAAATTACAATGAAATGCGGCTAAATAAATCGTCTCGAGCGCCTTTGTCTATGGTTTTCTGATATGTGTATTTAAATTAAACTCGCCAATTTTTGAAAAGAGAACGTAATCTGAAACTTGCCTTTTCGTTTATGGTCATTTATTGTTCATACACGCAGGTTATTATGCCCATTTGAAATCTTAAGAGGCGTCAGATTGTTTGAAATTTCCAATCATTATAAATATTATTCGAAATATAACCTCCTACATAATATACTCTATAATAGATAATAACCTGCATGTATGAACAATGAACATAAACGAAAAGGCAAGGTTCTTGCTCGTTCTTCATGTGATAAGTCTGCGTTCCGAATAAAAAAATGTGACTATTGAAAAGATACTTTAAGTTTATCAGAATAAAGATTATTTCTATAAACAATACAGCCATGATACCTATTCCCCATATTTTTGCAAAATTACATACAGTTGAGTTTTCTATTCAATTAATGTTGATTGCGCTCGAAATTCTTACGACATGTATGGACTAGTTCAAAATTGATCAAGTTTTCTTTTCTCCGATAGAGTTATATCAGAGAAAAGAATATATATAGGCAAAAGGCTTCTCTCCAAAGCCCTATACAATAAAATAAAGTCTCTAGAAGCAGTGTGCAATAGATGAACGGTGTATGTAAAGAACATTGGACATTTTTTTTTATACTACGATGGTGGCAAAGAAGCATACGGCCTATCTGATGGTAAATGGTTACCGTAGCCTATGAACGCTGAGACACCAGGGGCGACATTGCCGACCCTTGTAAATATGTCCATATCCCGAAATATAACGTGAATCAGATCCCTGTGCGTCATATTCCTCTGACTCTTTGCTTTATAGAAGAAAATATTTAATCAAAAACCCAGAAATTCAAACATAAATTTTCGAGCATTTACACTTTTACAATTTTGATTTAGCCGCGATACATTTTTACGTATAAGAAAATATCAAGCGGAATCTCTCACCAGCGTTATGCCAGCACTATTGTCAACACTAATTACCATAGACAACACAAATCCGCTCGAAGGACCATAAAAATGAGCTTTATTTTTAGGTTATATCATGGTAGTATGTGAAAACAATTGTCATATATAAATTATATATATAAAACTAGCTGAAATGTCAACCGTTATTTTGCCTTAAAATCAATATTTCAATAATACAAACGCGAAAGTTTGTAAGTATGTATGTTTGTTACTATTTAATGCAAAAACTACTGGTGGATTTTAATGAAATATTACAATAATATAGTTTATACATCAGAATAACAAATATGCTATAAATTTAGTGTGAAATCGCGGGCACAGCTAGTTTTATATATATAAAGATGTAAGTCTGTAAGACAGAATACCCTATTGTCATGATATTTTTGTTATACCTGACTTGTGTCAGAAAATTCTATTAAGTGTCCACATTCTCATTTTAAACTCTGAATCATCACATTAAGGTCTAAAATAGATTGTTTCGATGTCATATCCCATGGTATACAAATTAGCAAGTGACAATATTGCTGACAAGAACGCGAATGCATAAACACGACTCGTGCGGAGGTATCACCTTTAACACTAAGATACTTATGTATATTTCTGGCCACCTCCTTTGATCCTGTAATAAAAATTACATTATTATATACACTTCCGGTTCTTCGAGAGAAGTGGAAAGACAAGAAAAAGCCATCATACGAGGCTGCAAATGGAACGGTCGAGTTATGCGTATGTCTAATCCCCTTCCGATCGATCCCCCGTCCAATTCAAACGGGGATCGAAATTACGACGACCTGCCGAAGTTCGAACCCCTAGGGGTTCCTGATCCTATCTTATCTTATGACAATTCCCTGGTTTCCTTTATCACCCGCATACCTATTAGCTAGTGATTTTTGTACCCGTCATACGTAGCCTCGGCTGGGACTGAACTGGGGACTATATAAATGATATCCATCTATAACAAGTGACCTTTGTACCTATTGTATATATTTGTGCCCAAAATGTGCGCGAATTTTTAAAAATAAGTTGGGATATGCTAGGCACATGAGAGCACATGAAAGACGTGGGAGTCCTTGAAGCGGTCGCCGTAGCCGGAACGGCTAGGACAGTATCACGTAGTCACGCCTGGGATTGAACTGGGGACTACATAAATGATATCCATCTATAACAAGTGACCATTGTACCTATCATACGTAGGCACGCCTGGGACTGAACTGGAGACTATGTAAATGATATCTATCTATCTATCTATAACAAGTGACCTTCGTCTCGTTGTTTCTTCCCATGCCTGGGAACTAAATTGGGGACCAAATAAATGATATCTACCTATTTATCTATAACAAGCGACCTTCGTACACGTCCTACGTTGCCACGGCTGGGAACCGAAATGGGGACCAAATAAATGGATAGTATCCAAACCTGGGCATTTAGGAGACGGAGGAGCAGGGCAGCCGCGGGGAGCCCATCTGCGTGAGGACCCGGTCCAGCCACTGCAGCGGCCCGTTGAGGTGCAGCTCGATCCAGCACGGCGTTGACGTCACCGTCTGTCGTCTGACCACAGACAATAACAATCATGAGATGACGGCCTCGTTGGTCTAGCGGTTTAGCACACTGCTTTACTTCCGATGATCCCCGGTTCCTTTCCTCGCGCGGTACCAATATTTGTTGTTTGTATCAGTCTGGGTGTTTTCTATGTATATTATATATGTATTTACAAAAAAAAGTATCTAAGTATTTATATAAGTTGTCTAGTCACCATAACACAAGCTTTAGCTAGCTTAACTTGGGTCTAGATGGCGCTGTGTGAATTGTCCAGGGTTGTTTATTTGCATTATAAATAGAAAATACACAAAAAAAAAGTATACAAGTATTTATATCAATTGTCTAGTACCCCTAACACAAGCTTTGCTTACCTAGAGACTAGATGGCGCTCTGATTATTTATTTATTTATATTGTACATAGAAATAAAACACACACAAAAAAGTTTCTAATTATTTATATCAGTTGACTAATACCCATAACACAAGCTTTGTTTAACTTGACTAGATGGCGCTGTGTGAATTATCCAGGGTTATTTATTATTTATTTTTATGACACGAGAATTTTATATATAATATATTAATTTTATATATATATATATATATAATATTATATATTTTTCATACACAAGATAAAGTTGTCCACCTGTAACATTTTGTTTTAATTATTGGATTTTTTTTTATTTAAAAAATACAACACACAAATTTTTACTTGCTACGTTCTTTTATCTTTTTTTTATAGTGATGAGTTTGCGGGGCTACTAGCTAATCTTATATATAAAATTCTCGAACGTTCCCAGACACGGTTGAGATAAAAATTTTGTGAGCGTATTGTTATGACTATTCAAAAGTGCTTAAATTTTTTTTTTATTTGAATAAATGATTTTCTTTCTATTTTTATATTATATATGCATATTTAATAGGTCTGAGAATCGGCCATTATATATTTTTCATACACCTAAGATAAAGGTTGTCCACCTCTAACATTTTGTTTTAATTATTGGACATTTTTTTTTATAATGCGGCTTTAAAAAATACATACCACCACCTCAAATTTTTACGCTTCTACCCGTATTTTTTATCAACCCCTATTTTTTAAAGTGAATACATAACTTTAATTTGTATGACAAAACAACGGCTACTAAAATGTCTAATCTTATATATAAAATTGGTCGAGCGCTCGTGTCACAGTTTTCGTTCCCATACTCCTCTGCGACACGGCTTCTCCTGAACCGATTCTCATAAATTTTGGGTTATGTATTCAATATTGAGTAGGTAATGAAAATCGGTGGTTTGCCAACACTCTATTTTAATAATTATTTAAAAGAGCCACGCAAATGTTAGCTCGTTCTTCTTGGTAGACCATCCCTAATTTTTTTTCATTTTCATTAGACAAAATTTTTAGTTTCTATTTTTTATATATATCATATATTGGTCATACAAAAAAATACATACAATAAAATTTATTTTAAACAAATTCCATTCTATCATCAACGCCTATTTTTTTATATAAACGTTATCAATTTATATGCCAATACAACGTTTGCCGGGACAGCTTTTTATAGTTATATATATCTGTTTTTTATGTCACTGTTGTTGTGAAGACGTCACTCGGCGCCCCATCCCATTGACATGAACTCATCCGTATGTTAAGTTTTTATATTATAATTTTTCCTCGTCAGCTGGAAGAACTGCCTCAATTGAAGCCCTTTATTTACAATGCATAGACATATAGGCGTCTATGTCTGCGACAGCAGCGCCGCAAACTCTTGATTATTAAATATCTTCAGATTGCAACCTGCCAAGATTCAAATCAAACCAAATAAAAAATATATATATATCTATATATTGGTCCTACATTATGGGCCAATATTGTTATGTAAATACTATTAAGTTGTAATAATAATATTATTTTAAACAAATTCCATTTCTGTCTACATAAGGATCAAGACAAGTATACATTGGTCAGTTAACAAAATACAACATATAAACTGAAAATGGTATTAAAATCCGTTGAGTAGTTTATTGAAGGAACAGGCCGAAAGAACTAGCTTAGAGATATAAATTGCTGAGATAGAATCTGAGTCAAGGAAATTCCGTAATTAGATCTAGGACTTTTTCTTGGGTTCATAATTTACTTGACAAGGTCTTCGACATGCTTGATTTACCACCAAGGATTCCAATTGAAATTACAACACAGTCAATTTCAAATAGTCGTTGTGTTCCCGCTCCAGTCACACAATGTAAAGATTACCAAAATCTTTGATTTAAACAAAATAATATAAATCCATCGAGAGGCAAAATCTTTGAACTTCGTACAAGGTTTTTCTAAGGTGATAAAGGATGGTAGCTCACCTGGTGGTATTTTGCAGACGGTGGCAGGATGCCAGCCGTAGCGTTGGTTGCAGTTGGGACTCTGCACAAATATTGATGAGTCGCTGAGGCACTCTGCAAACACCTCACCTGTGGATAAATAACATTTGCATATATCAAAAAATTCCAAAATAAAGGGTCTCAATGCAAATTTTAAGGCCTCGGTGATCTAGTGGTTTAGCACACCGACGTACTTCTGATGGTCGCGGTTCGATTCCTCGCACGGCACAAAAATTTGTATTCATGAATATGATTGTTTGTATCGGTGCTAAACCGTTAGACCACCGAGGCTGATAATGACAATGTTACAAATTAATAATAACGTAATATTTATTATGATGGTAATAAATGTTGCAATTACACTCACCACCAATATAATAAAGTCGTACACCTTTGCCAATATGGCGGCGCGTCTGTTCCACCACCTCGTTTCTATTCACGTTTGACAGCAAACCGAGGCAGAACCTGTAAAAAAATAAAAAAAAGGCCTGTACATTCTGTTCGCATATTTATCTTTTTTGTAATTATTTGTTCTTTTTTTTATGCACAATAAAGAGTATTTATTATTATTACATTTCATACGCCATTTAGCAGCCGCGACAAATTTACTTGGAAGTAATTATTTAGCTTGTTTCTTATTAGTCTTTATAATTCCTGACAATTAAGAGGTTCATGTTCATGTTCATCCAGCTTCTCAAAAGTCATCCCCCCTGAAGTTAATGGCGGGGCGAAGGGGTTCGTCCCGAACCTGCACCCTAAGTGCGAAGGTCTGAAGACCTGTCAACCGTACGGCGGGGTAAATCTAACCGTTTTTGAGATATTTATTATACAATTGTTTTTTACAAAAAAATACCGATTTTTGGCTGTTAGCTTATTAGATATGTCCAAGTCTTCTTATTACTATTATTTGGTGCATAAATTGTAAGGTGTCTCGCTGGCACTGGCACGCATTACATTAACCCTAAAGAACTATTGGTTTTTAATTTTTAAATTTAGGACCTGGCGACTCGCAACTAAGTTTTATTACAAATTATGGTTGTACATATATATATATGTATGTATATACAAAAGTCATAGATAATATAAGAACAGAGAACGCAAATAGTTGTGTACAGAGTACGTTAGTATTTTTAGTTAAGAAATACATAGTAAAAATATCCAAAACATATGTATATTATTAGAATGTGAAATGGATACCTCTCGCTGTTGCTGGGGTCCGTGAACCCGTCGACGGTGATGGAGGGCTGCGACGCGTGGAAGGTCTCCCCGACTCTCGTGTTCAGCTCGTAGTAGCTGATGCTGCACCAGAACGCAGGCTCGTGGTACAGTACCGGCGCCGCTTCCGTCGCCAGCCCGGGCGGAGACGGCGTCAGCCGGGTTAGGTCTGGACAACAACACACCATCGTACATACGTAGCGGGATGGTCGCGAGTTCGATTTCCCGCACGGTAAACATTCAGATCAGATGATACAGATGATTCTTAAATCAAAGGTCTATTACAGACTCTTATGATATGCCAAATCTAGCGTAGCTTTCGAGATGAGAAGAACTAACATATCGTCACGGAGCTGGATGGTCGCGAGTTCGATTCCTCGCACGGTAAAATATTATTAATATCATATCAAATCAAAAGTATATTACAGACTCTTATGATATGTGAAATCTATCGTCAGTTTGGAATGATTTCGAGATGAGAAGATCGAGATATATGTCAAATGACTAAAAAAGGTTGAGTAACTATATCCTAGTTACTATAGTAAATAGCGTGAAAATTGTTCAATCTGCAAAGAAATTAGCGTTAAAAAGACTCATTATAAAAATTACTAAAGCTAGACAAGACACTCAGTTCTCTCTGCCTACCCCCTATAGTAACTAGCGTGAATATATAATAACAAAATTGTCAACAAACAGCTAACTCACTCATGTTGTCGTTATGGTCCATTGGGTCCCCATCCTCGCTGATGTATCCAGGCGGCGGGGTCTCCACCGATGATGAATTACTGAAACAAAAAGCAATATATGTACAAATAAATAAAATTGAACAGTTCGTACGTAATAAAATTAACTGCGTTTTCATTCAATGTATATGGAAGTATATATGGTACCTACGGCAAAATAAATATTTAAATCAAAATTAAAATCTGTCTGTTTGTTCTTACAAATCTCTGAAAAGGCTGGACCGATTTTGACTTTCACTAAATATTATAAGGAGTTCCTCAAGCTACTTTTACTATTTAATTTTATAATAATAATTAACCTAGACAATTCACACAGAGCCATCTAGTCACAAGTTAAGCAGAGCTTATGTTATGGTAAAAGTTTATTTATAACAGTTAGCTAAACTGTTATAAATAAACTTTTTTTGTAAATATATACATAATACACATAGAAAACACCCAGACCAATACAAACAATCATACTCATGAATACAAATGTTTGCACCGTACGAGGAATCGAACCCGTGACCATCATATGCAATGAATATGCATATTGTACTAATATAATAATAGTAATTTAGCCAGCACTTACACATGTATGGTGGTATTACTGGGCACCTGCTGCGCCAGAGTGGCTTCCATGTACATAGCGCTGTGGCCGCCCGGGCCGACCCCCACCACGCCTACTACGCCGCCGCTCTGCATCACACTAGAAGACCAAACACTATTGTAAAAAAAAAAGGAAAAAATACAGTAAATACATTATCCATATTGAAAATAATCTTATGTTATGATATGATATGAAAATATCACTTATGTTCAGTAAAATCCTACATCAGTCTTAATATAAGTTGAGCAGAGAAGAGAGATCTCTGCTATACTATAGTGCACCATTTACCACCACATGGGTCCACTTCAACATACGTGACAAACATGCATACGGCTATCTGACAAACATGCATACTTTTTCAAATTTTAATAAATTGCGTAAAATTTAATAAAAAGCGCCCTTTTTTATACGTCAATTTTTCTAATTTAAATAAAATCTGTAGTGTCATAAAAAGCGCGCCATTTTTATTCTATGCCAGTACAGAGTACTGTGTTTATCTGGTTTGCTGTCAAACTGTCAGAACCTCATACTTCCGAACTAAATAAAGTGCCGAAAATTTAAATTAATAAATACTATTATGTTGATGTTAAAATTCAGATTTTTGTTGTACCTAATATTTTTTTTATATTGAATCAACTCTGCAAAAGAATCGAGAATTCTAGAATCTACAAAGCCTAGCCCTTACAAAATGTGTATATATAAATTAATGACCTGTCTGTGTGGTCGTGGTGCAGGTAGTCCGTGTATGGCGGAGGGGCGCGCACCTCCCCCTCGCCGCAGCGGGGCACGAGGATCGGCGGCAGCGCTGTCATACAAACAAACATATTAATACTAGCTGTCCTTGCAAACATTGTTTTGCTACATACATTTCAGTACTAATATTGCTATTAAAAAATTGGGGTTGGTGGTAGAGGGGTGAATTTTTAAGGTTGTATTTATTTCTAATGTCAAAGTATAAAAAAAATTTGTTTAAAAGATCTAAGCAAACAGACGACGGAAGCAACTTGATTTTATTAGTCTGTAAAGAAAATATTGGTTGAAAGAGAGAGAATATTTATTGGAAGAAGCCTTCCTGAAGACTCTCAACTTTGTAGAATCGACAAAGACGAAGAGAAAATATATATGATAATAAAATTCTCCAGTTCTTCTCAATTGGATTTATATACTGAACTGGATGGTAGGGAAAACTTACATACAAAAAAATTTGACGTTCATAAGCGTCTAAAATGTCTAAATGATTTTTTAATTTTGTATTTTTGAAATAAATAGCAATACTGTGTACACTTACCCGGTGTGTCAATTTTTATATAGTGATAAGGGTTGATGCACACTTCGTCTTTTTTGAACTGGTAGGTAAACTCGCAGTGGTCGACTGGTTTCAGTTCATGTTGACTCTGAACAACAAATGTTACACATGAGAATAGATGACTATAGACAAAACTTTACTAGGGGGTAGACTTTTTACAAAGTCATCTGCGTGGGTACCTTAGCCTCACCTACTTCACTACTTCAGGTGCCAAGCAAGCGGTCTTAGAAGTGGCAAAGAGGGCAATCACCTGAGACCTTGCTGTTGCTAAGGTCTCATCCAAAGCAAAATTTTACACAAGCAATAAGTGAAATCTTGCCTAGTGGCAAATAGCAAAAACTTCCCGATTTAGACATTTTATCACAAATGTAATAAATTACCAACACTAAAATATAGAAATATCTCATCTACCTCGGTCAGCCTGAGTAGTTGCAGGTAAAATTTACAGCAAAACACTTCTGGATGGAGGTGACATGTTAATAGTGTCACTTTCAGTTATAATAAAATGATTATACATTTAGATATGGGTACTTGTACCAACCTGAAGCTGCGGCCACCGCCACAGCCTGCAGTAAACAACATGCGGCAAACCCTTCCTGTACTGTCCATTTATTACGTTATCGTTTGGTTTCACTCTGTAAATTAAAAAAAACACTTACAAATCTCGAAAAAGCTTCGAATTTTAGAGGGGGAGGAGCATTAGTAATGGGGACTAGTAGAAATAGAAATAATCTTTATTCAAATCACTATACATTTCTTTTTATTGGGTTGTTCTGGCTATTGTCAATATCTTAGACCTGTAGCATTGCGATCATACATAGATCTATTGTGCTCTCCCTTTTTCAGAGTTTGCTACCAAGACCCGTCAGGGACTAAATATCACTATAATAATACCTAAGGGATCACTATACTTACTTCATAGATATAATTAATTGAATAGTAATGCAATACTTTCTTTATTCTACAGCTCATGCAGAAAGCAGACTTATCATAAGAAGAATGAAAAAGAAACTTGTGTACTACTCTTTTAAATAAATATTGTTCAGCATTACATATTTATGATTTTGTGGGAATATAAAGTGGCTCCATTGCTAGCAATGTACCCTGTTATGATTTTGTGTACACGATACATATACAAAGTGGTCCCTTTGCTAGCAATTTAAGGTAATAATACTATAGGTTCACCTCCACACTGTATCTGAAACCATTGTCGTTAATTCCTAGTAAGTTTCCCACAATCGGCTAACTGACCTGACCTCATACTCATCATGGCAATTTCCACTAGTGACCCACCAGCATATACTATTAATGCAGGCAGATACACTATTATCATATACAAAAGATAACAACAACAACAATAATCACCTTCAGTGAATTGGTACACATGTTTTCTGTTTAAATAAATATATAAATAATATATATAACAAATTGGCCCTATATATAACATACAGAGATCAACATTTTATTGACCGACAGATAGCTTAAAAGACATAATGCTTATGATTTTATACACTAATGGGAGAAAAAAACAGCAAGTAAAGTGAGACAAATTCCTCACTGGAAGTACAGTTCTCTCCCGTCAACAAATTACCACAACAAATTTTCTAAAGGCTTGATGAACCGATTACAAGATATGGATACGAAAAAAGAAGCTTCTAGATACAGTTGATGATGTATTCCATCTGAAATGTGAATGTCTGCCCAAATTCACATCATATCCCAAAAACGTTAAATTAAAAATATTATAATCTAATTATAGCCATATATCTGAATAGTATAAAATTTTCGCGCGATATTTTTAGCATATTATATTATAGCCATACATTTAATTGGTTGCAGATAAAATGGCGCGGAAAAAATCGAAGAGCAAATACGTTCTGTTGATGATCTAACACTCTTACAAGAATCTAGTAAGAAAACATCCGACAATCAAATTAGGAAGGACAAAACGTTCATACTTCCTATATCTTTAAAATTTGTTTCACTAAACAGAAATAAAATATTAATTAACTTATCTATATTTAAATCGATTACGACTTTTAGAAATTAGTCTAGCCAAATTGTTATCATCTGTTAGTATTATTTTAGTCATAAATATTATCTAATCAAGACAATGGTATGCACGAAATAATAAAAAAAACTACCTTTGTAATTATTTATGAATTTCACAATGGTATCAAAACATATAAACTGCACAAAAATCTTAATGTAAGCAGTGAAAATATTAGTTGAAAAATAATAATCACTTTTATTCCGATATCACGGGAAAATAATAAAGAACAAGTTTGCAGAGTTAAAACCCAGTCGCCATGTTGACACAAAAGCTTCGATTTGTTTTGACGGCAAAATGACCTCCGCCTTGCGTCCGTCTATGGTTATGTAACTAAATTGCGGGGGTCACATCGAACTCTAGGGTCATTCAACTTTTAAGGCTACGACATTTGGGTGGTTTATACTATACATCCGCGAAATATACACTGGCACAGAGTACCTTTTTTAATGCAGTTTTCAATACAATTTTAATTTATTTTTTGCAATAATACCTCAATAATAAAATTTATTTAAAGAAATAATCTAAATAATAAATTTAAATATAATCATCATTCTAGTAAGAAATCTAGCTATTCGCATCCTCAACTCACGTTGCATGACTCTACGATCAAAAATAGACTTTAAAACCATAGCAATATAGACCATTAAAATACTACCAGTTGACAATAATCACAATGACCGGAAATGTCATAATTCCAAAATCATTAGGAAAATATAATAATCAATAATTCAATAATGCACTGACCTCGGAATTGTAACGCATTTAGTATGACTGTTTTGGCTAGATATCGCCTTTTCTAATTCTTCTAGAGCACCGCTCTTTTTTAATTTTTTAACTAAACTTTTTACAGCTTTTTCGGACCATTTATCTTCAGCTGCAGACGATCCCTCGGGACCCTTTTTCCATCCTAGAAGTCTTTTCACAACAGGGGGGGTTAGCGGAAACATGCCGCAACACTTCACTTATTAAGACATCAAAATAGAATACCTATTTAAATAACAAATTAATTTCGCGCACAAATACTACGTTCTGTATTTAGATAAACTATCGGCCATATTGAGAAATTAAACAATGGAATGACAATGACAGTTAACTGGACAGTTCTAATGTGTCAAGTGCTTGGTCAATGTCAATCAAAAATGTTAATATATCTGTCTCTTTCATTCTCCCAAACTAATTTGAACAAAATCGCAATGAAAGTAAATGCCATCCTTTTCTTGCAGTGTTTACTTTTTATATCTGAAGTCATAGACAACAGATGACTGAAGGCCAGTATCATTATCATAGTGTTGTATGAGACATTATTAATCAATAGATTTTCAAAATATGTCTATTCCTTTTGAAATTTCAGCATCTCATTTGGACTTTTTCACGGGAACTACATATTTGTTATATCGTTCTAAATTGCTTTATATATCCGGATTTTATTATGCAAAGGTCGTAGAAATTGTGAATCCACATCATTGAGATTGTTAACAAATAGATCAACAAACTAAATGAAGTGATATCGTTTTCATTCAGTTTGCTGATCCATTTGTTCTTAAAAAATATTGACACTTAGAGGAAACAAGAAATTAAAATATAAATAATTAAATTAGAATCTACATATTTTTTTATACATTAAACTTAGTAATAATAGATTTTTAATAATTGTTAAATTGATTTTATATTGAATTCTTACGTTTACAAAATTTTAATAAATGGTTCAATAAAATATATAACTAGTTTTTAAGGACCATAAGATTATAGGAAAAATACATTTAAAACTATTTACTAAATTTATTTGAACTCTCAATGTGTGAATGTATCACTTTAAAATAAATAGTGATAAAATAAACATTCTACACTATGTTACAGCTGTGATTATAAAAATTGATTTAAATAAGTAAAATCCTATCGATTTTGCTAGTTCTATCGACAAAAATTTGCATAGTGCCATCATTATTACATTTTATTATTTTATATCTTTGAAATTTTAATATTCATTGCTGGCTTGCCAAAGTGGTAAGAAATCGACTTGTGAAAAAATATACTAATGTATACGGTCAACTTTTATAATATCACCTACGTTTGTCTATGACCGTTTACACGAAAATTCAAAATTCGAAGTTTTTTGAATATTTGATTGTCAATAAAATCAAAATAATATGGGTATCAAATGGCTTTCAAAAATGTATATTCGAATTCATTTGTTACTTCTCTGAAGACGTACGTGCCAGTTTTCTTATGAAATCGTGATTTTGGAGTGAAAATCTTCAAAAGGTAAAATATATGAAATGTTTCTGGGAATTGATATTAATCGAACGATTCCATTTAGAATTAGTAATAACAGCCACTAATACATTTGTAACTGGCTGTTTCACTTACTGGCCAGTACTATTTTATTAATTTTTTCTCACTTTATTGGATGTAATTTATTAAGTCATGCTTATTAGTATGGCTGGAAAACTTATTGAAACTTAATTTTATGAACAATAATAAAAACTTTGCTTGTATATAAAATAAAACATATACAGGGGGCGTATTATGAACTCTTTAAAATCCAGTCAGTTTCCAGGCAGTTCAGTTTACGGCCTTAAACTGAATTGTTCTTTTTCGTATTATGAGGGTCCAAATTCAAACCGTATTCTGCCTGGATAGTTTGTCTCTGGCTGGTTAGTGGATTTTCTCGCGCTGCGTTCGGATACGCATACATTCGTTGCAACGTTAAGTCGAGTTTTTGTATGTCACTTTTTGGACAAAATATTAATTAAATAAATGTAAATTAAATATAGAAAATAGTAATTAAGATACAATGGTAGAATTTGTGTAATATACAAAAATATTCCAGACAGTTTTATTGTCTTTTTTAATAATTCGGATTTATTTGTAAAAAATATTTTCATTGTAATATCCAAACGAACTTTGTGCATCTACTTAAAATTCCGCGCAAAGTACTTAATTCTGATTTTAATGTACAATTTGAAACTTAGCCTTTCCATAACTTTATACGCAAGTTAAATTTAATAATTCAATTATTGTGAAAAATATACCTAATGTAACGTAAGTATTCCTAACATTTTCTTAGTAATGTTTTTTTAAAATAATGCTAATATGTAACTGTTTATATTTGTATATTTATCTAACTAAATTGTAGATCAGGGACTGAAACCTCTCGCCAACGTCGTGTATCGTACCGGTAATTTGAAATTATATGGGATTTTTAAAATCCCATAGGGAAATGGCAAGTGGCTTTAATAAGTCCGCTCGAGAATACTATACCAATCGCTTGTGTGAGGACGTCACTCAGCAATTAAACTCCTTAGGAAAAGGGGCTTTTAAAGACTGGAAAGGATTGTCAAGTTTAAGTGTTATAAGATAACCATCTGAAGTTTAATTTATTTCATTTAATAGGAATCTCTGTAAAATCTGAAATACATGTATCTATGCAAATAAATTGAAGTATCTGTTTGTAATTCTGAAGTTCACCATACAACAGCATTTCATTAAATGCATACATATATAAGGTAAGATAAATGACATCAAAAATAAAAATATTTGTCTGTCCGTTTGTTTGTTCTTGCTAATCTTTGAAACAGCCGGACCAAATTTGAGGGATACTTTCACTGTCATATGTAATGAGTTGTGTAAAGGAGTAACTTACATAAGTTACTTTTATTTGAAATATTTTATTTATTTTAACAAAAACTAGGTATGCCATATGGACAAAGTCATAGGTAATAACTAGTATATAATAAAATTATCATATCCATTTAATTATAACTACCAATAAAAGACATAAATAATGTACCTATATCCTTTATTATAAAAACAAATTATTAAAACATTGACCTATTAACAATATTATTATTTATAAATGTTTCAATTTCTTAGTTCCACAACTAAACAACATGGGTTTGTCTAGCAGCTAGACCTTCATTTAGTTCTCTATAAGAGCTCAAAGTACATGTAGGCATCTAAATCTAGAAGCCCAATTGTGCTCTCAATGATATTCCATGTTCTTACAGTGTAATATGCTTCTTGTGGTCCTGGTATAGCATTTGAGATGGGAGTATACTTCTCTAAAGCATATCCTGGATCTCCTAAAAAAAAAAACAACATATTATATACTATAATATTAATATTTATTTACAAAAAGTATTATTTCATTAAAAACACAGCACAATAACTGTTGGTGCTGATAAATAACTATGTTTCTAAATTACTGGAGTTTAGAGCTTAGATGTAATGATGTTTGTAGTTTCATAATAAAATTTTGTGCTTACCAAGTAATCATAAGGATTTATTCTCTGGTTTGCCCAAATGTCATGAGTAGCTCCAGTTCCAGTTGGCATCCACACTTATAATCTCCATGTCAGCATTACTAACCTAAAATTTTTTTCTAGATTAATTACATAGATGAAGATTATTTGAAAAATAAGAGAATAATTAATAGATAAATATTATTTGAAACATATGTCTAAGTGTTATGGTCATTTAATATTTAAGTAAACAATTTATTGTTAGTATATAAGTAGCTTTAGAGATGTATAATCATTAACATATTTTGCATATCTAAAATCTTGTTTATTGTTAATTTATATAATTATATTAAAAAAAAAAGATATTAAAAGTGCTTATATTATTAAACATGTCTTTTAATTTATATTTCACTTACCAATTATATATTTAATGAATGGTATTGTTTTCTACAGTAATATCTCTTCTTAATTTACAATGGGGTGGCATGTGTACAGTCAAATACAGCCCAATACACCCAGCATTCCAAATTCCAATTATAAAACCTAAAATATAATTAATTTAATTTAATTAATTGTCCTCGGGGGAAAGTGTCGGAGAGACTGCACATCATCAGACTGTTGCATACTTATATACTTGCTTTCTAGGCTTTACTTGTATGCATACATTTTACCATATATATTATCACTATATCATATGGTATGGTACATGGTCATAGATGTATTTGCAACAATCACAGTTGCTAATTGTATAGAAATAGATACCTTTGAATATTTATTATATATCCTTTACTCAGATGTCCTTGGAATTTTATATATGTATTTACTTTTGGATGTTGGGTAAATGCAATAAATCGGTTATTTGCCATTGGCTGTGCTAGCGAATGTACAGCAATATCACAAGTAGGCCGTTGATACGAGCCTGCAGCGTAAATAATAATGCTACTAAAACCTGACATAGTCAGCTAGTGATTTAGTGAAATAATTACAATACAATATACCTTAGTTTCCACTGGTAGGTCTGTAAATTTCGATGATACCGGCATATGAGTTCGCACGCATATTACGCACCAAATCTTTGTTTAGATTATAACGTTTTCTAAATTGTTCATTGTCTATATCAATTGGATTGGATAGGTCGCGTAATCGCCGTCTTTTCACTTTCCTTACTTCTTTTTCGTAGGGTGCACACATTTCCAAAAACTCCAATACTTCGAGTTCATCACACATAATTAAAATTAAAACGAAACAAAAACAATCGAAATAACTGCACAAACATGTTTTAAACATAATAAAAACTGACATAGAAATAGAAATAATAACCAAATTACAATAATGAAGCTATAAATTAGAAAACAATTCTATAAAAGCTAATATGAAGCCACCGTAAACTGAATTGTTTTTAAACGGTCTTTTTGACAGTTGCGTCCGCTTAGATCTGTCAAATGAAACGCTCATAATACGAAATAGCCGGTCAGTTTTCGGGCAGAAGACGTTCAGCTGTCACGTGACCGCTGACTGGCTGGCTAATAGCGTTCGTAATACGAAATCGCCAGGCAGTTCAGTTTAAGCCGTAAACTGAATGGGAATAAGAGTTCATAATACGGCCCCAGGTCCTTTATTATTGACGTATAACATCTATTTACCTCTAAATTTATAAGAATATTGTAAATTATTCTCTTAAATTATTGGCATCCTATGAATAATGTATTAATATATCTCTGATTTATTATATATATAGAGATAAAGTAATGTTTTTCAAAATATATTTTTTTTTATTTTTCTGAACATTATTTGGGTATTTAACACTTAGTGAAAAGTTATGCATAATGTTGAGTATCTCAGTCACCTATTTTAGTCACCAAGCAATTTTGTTAGGCGTTTCACTTGTTGAAGAGTGTTAAATGGCTGTGAACAATTAGAGCATAATTCTTTTGTTCTTCAGAGAGGCATCATGTCTATGATGTCAGTGGTGCATATATATTTTTTGGACTACTCTAATACTGTTGGCCGCAGCTGGTCTTTACAGCTTCACCAGATGTTAGGGGGCGAGTGCAGATGGCACTGAAAACCAAAGGATGGACTTATGGAGTGGCTGAAGGCTAACTTCCGCCTGACAGATATGACTTTAGACTGATGGCACTGCTAGGGGTTCCTTGGCTCAAGCCATCATAATTTCTATCCCCGTTTGAACTGAATGGGGGATTGATTGGGGGTATATATATATATATATATATATATATATATATATATATATAAAAAAGTATATCTCAGGCGGTATGGCAACGTCGCATTCTATTTTGCGATGTGGCCATATATATTCGTCGATAGTACGATATACTCGACACATTTTTTACTAATAATTCGTGCATGACTGGCTCCGAACGGCTAAATTTTTGGTATACACAAAGACTTTTTGGCTCTGAATATATTTCAAAAATCAATTAATTATGTTGATCACTTTATATACTCGTCCTTACTGCGATACTTATTTTCATCCGGATATATATAGATACCGTAACGGTCTATCAATTATGAATTTATTAATTTACTAATGTAGATATTTTATATTCGCAATGCTCCATACATAGTAACTCCACCGTTGCAGGGGGGAGCACCGTACACCGCACCCCGCGCACACAAACAAATTAGATATTTTTTGAATACACAAAGACTTTTTGGCTCTGTATATATATTTCAAAAATCAATTAATTGTGTTGATCACTTTATATACTGGTCCTTACTGCGATACTTATTTTAATCCGAATATATATAGATACCGTAACGGTCTATCAATTATGAATTTACTAATCTAGATATTTTATATTCGCAATGCTCCATACATGCAAGCTCCAGCAACGGTGGAGGCAGGGGGAGCACCGTACACCGCACCCCGCGCACACAAACAAATTAGAATAAATTAAATTCATAAGATTATTTATGTATTTCGACTGTCTCGGTGGTCACACCGCTTTACATCCGATGGTCGCGGGTTCGATTTCTCGCACGGTGCAAACATATGTACTCATCGGTCATCGATTGATTTCATCGGTCTGGGTGTTTTATATGTATATTATATATGTATTTACAAGATAAAAATATCTATTTATATCAGTTCAGTATCAGTCTGTGTTAATTGTCCAGCGCTATTTATTATATTTTTATAAACGGTTATCTTTTTCCATCGCACCGCTCGCTATCGACAGTGAATTCATAGAAATGTCACTCTAAAAACAAAAATAGTTTTGTATTTCAAATACTAAATGCAAAATAGGTATTTTCAAAATACTTTTTCAAAATAAAGTACCTTTTGAATTTTTGTCCAAACCTCAGATATTTTATTTATTTTACATAGGTATATCAATCATTACATAGTGTAGTATAAAACAAAGTCGATGTCGCATCTAACAGTACATAAATAAAGAAAGAAGACTTTTTGGCTCTGATACCGTAACGGTCTATCAATTATGAATTTATTATACCTAATCTAGATATTTTATATTCGCAATGCTACATACATTGTAATATCCGCCTCCATTCATTGTAACGGTGGAGGGACTAAATAGTTGAATAAAACTGAATAAGCAGTTGCTCCACTCTATAGGTATGTGTCGTCGTCGTATGCTGTTCATTTTTTCACTCGTTTTGGCGCCAAGAGAGGGTCACATAGTCGTGGTCAAGTTAAGAACTTATAATTTAATTTTGATGACAATAGATACAAGTAAAAAGTAGGTATTATATTAATGTACGTAAGTACTGTACTTAAAAATATTTATTCTTTATTGTACATTTGAAAAACTTAACACTTAAGGACTTGTACATATACACGTACATACTGCCATTTTCTCTTAAAGACATCCAGAGAAGCACTATTTATCAAATACGCGGGGTGCACCGACCTTTGACCTTATAACAGCTGATTCGCGCGTAACGAATTACATTGCTACTTACATTACTATTTTATAGTGGATATTTCACTATAAAATATTATTATTTCTTTAGATTATGACATAATAGCATAGTTTACATGATTTTAAGGGAAACATACGATAAAAAAAATTCCCGTAAAATGTAAAAGATAAAAAATGGTTATTGTTGGTTATCCTTGAGAGATAGACATATACCATCACGGACTTTTTTGTTGACCTTATTTTGATACATCTCAAAGCACTAGACAATACGCATTTTCATTAAACAGTATTGTATTTTTTTTATTTATTTAACTTTAATGCACAAAAAAATTTGTACATGTGGCGGACTTAATATCTTGCCGCGTCATTTACCAGGCAACCATGAGTGGTGCAGCGAAAGATTATTGGCGGTGCACTAATATAAATAAGAAATGTCAAAAAAAGATATATAAATACAAAGCAAAATATACATTTCTATAAAAAAATAACAATATACATACATAAATATATAACCCATAAATGTATAAATAAATACATAATGACCCGATAATCAAATTATAAGTACAGTCTCAAATTGAAAGTAAGAAAAACAGAAAATATAGAGAGAACTATAGGGATATAACAGAAAGATGTTAAAAAAGGAGAAGGACAGTAAAAAAGTTACAAATTTAAATAATATTCCCGCAATTTCTGTTTAAATGAATTTATTACATTATTATATATATTAGGCATACGACTAGCCTTATGACTGTTACTTTTTTTTAATCTATACATCTATATACCAAAATAACAATTTTTATAATTTTAGTCTGTCTGTCTGTCGGTCTGTTTGTTCCGGCTAATCTCTGAAATGGCTGGACCGATTTTGACGGTACTTCTTTTTTGGCAGGTAGCTGATTTATAAGGAGTAACTTAGGTTACTTTTATTTTAGAAAAATAAAGTTTAATTCCACGCGGACGAAGTCGCGGGAACAGCTTGTTTTTAATAAAAACATCTTTTTTGTGGTACTTGAGAATGTTGAAGCCTGTTGTTTGTAATATTGAAATAACCGTTTTTTACTACTTGCATATGAATATAAATACGGTACATAATACACCAAAATAACATATTTTACAATTTTTGTCCGTCTGTCTGTTTGTTCCGGCTAATCTCTGAAATGGCTGGACCGATTTTGACGGGACTTTTTTTGGCAGGTAGCTGATGTAATAAGGCTACTACCTAGTAACTTAGGCTACTTTTATTTTAGAAAAATAAAGTTAAAAACCACGTGGACGAAGTCGCGGGAACAGCTACTGTATAATATATTAGAGATACCTACGTGTTTTTTTATTGATGACTAGCTGTACACGGGATTTCGTCCGTGTGGAATTTAACTTTATTTTTCTAAAATATAAGAAGTTAAATTCCACGCGGTACAGCTAGTTGTCGGTAGTCTAGCGATTTAGCTAGCACACTGCTTTGATTCCTGCTTGGTGGTCGAGGGTTCGATTCCTCGCACGCTGCAAACATTTGTATTCGTGAGTAGGATTGTTTGTAACGGTCTGGGTGTTTTCTATGTATAGATAATATATATGTATTTACGAAAAAAATCTTTGTATTTATATCAGTTGTCTAGTACCCATAACATAATCTTCAGCTAGCTTAACTTGGGTCTAGATGAAGCTGTGTGAATTGTCCTGAGATTACTATTATTATTAATTGGTACACAGGTAAACTACTAACTAGGCCATATTGGTGTTGTTTGTTATGGTGAAAAAACTAGTATATATATAAGTTACACGTACAATTTCAAAGACTTATTTCTTCAAAACTACTGGCTATTTTGAAATAAAACTTTAGGGTTTGTATATGTAATGTTTGCATATAAAATATGATTAAAGGTTACCAGTGTATTTACACTTTTACTGAACAAACAGAGTTGTTTAATAGTGAAAATATTGTGTGGAAGACATCAATTACTTTCAGTACATGTATAGCTTTTCTCTTTTCCTAATTATTATTATTATTAAGTTTAAAGTGGTTGAATTTTACGTAAGGGGTATTTATACATTATTTCTAATTTACCATTTATTTTAAGTTTTTTAAACTCTATTCATCGAGACCTATCGAATGAGTCCAAACACGATATTTCTGCTGTATGTAAGTTTTCGAAGAGTATGTTCATCATCTGATAATACTGGTGCCAGCATGAAGTCAAGGTTAACAGATAACTAATTACTTTTATTTCGTCAAAATCTTTAGATTACGTATAATAAATTCATAATATCGCTACCTATTCAAATCAAAACAAGTATTAGGTACTTCATGTACTAGTATATAAATTCATCAACACACAAGTAAATGATTTTTAAATATATTCAGAGCCAAAAAATCTTTGTGCATTTAAAAAAATTGCCGATACGGATTCACTATTGCAGGAAATTGTTGAAAAAATATATATCGCGTATAGGTATCTACTACTATCGACGAATACATTTGGCAACAACGCGCAACATATGCGATGTTGCCGTTCCGGCCGAGACCATTCCGGAACGGCAACATCGCATATTAGAATACAAAGATAGTGATAGAAAGAGAGAGACAGTGGAATCAGCAATATCTACGGATCGTGGCTGGATCAACTAAGTGTGCAAGTTTATATAAATGTATATATATATATATATACATTTGTCTTTAATTCAAAGGAAATATAAATAATGAACGAATCACATTTAAAACAGTATAAATATTTAATAATAAGTTAATAGTTTAATAAGTACGTACGTAATATTATCACATGGTAACAGCACGTATTATGGCAAAAATAAACATCGGCTGATTTGAAATGATTTATTATAGTAATAATAGTAATCTCAGGACAATTCACACAGCTTCATCTAGACCCAAGTTAAGCTAGCTGAAGATTATGTTATGGGTACTAGACAACTGATATAAATACAAAGATTTTTTTCGTAAATACATATATATTATCTATACATAGAAAACACCCAGACCGTTACAAACAATCCTACTCATGAATACAAATGTTTGCAGCGTGCGAGGAATCGAACCCTCGACCACCAAGCAGGAATCAAAGCAGTGTGCTAGCTAAATCGCTAGACTACCGACAACTAGCTGTACCGCGTGGAATTTAACTTCTTATATTTTAGAAAAATAAAGTTAAATTCCACACGGACGAAATCCCGTGTACAGCTAGTCATCAATAAAAAAACACGTAGGTATCTCTAATATATTATACAGTAGCTGTTCCCGCGACTTCGTCCACGTGGTTTTTAACTTTATTTTTCTAAAATAAAAGTAGCCTAAGTTACTAGGTAGTAGCCTTATTACATCAGCTACCTGCCAAAAAAAGTCCCGTCAAAATCGGTCCAGCCATTTCAGAGATTAGCCGGAACAAACAGACAGACGGACAAAAATTGTAAAATATGTTATTTTGGTGTATTATGTACCGTATTTATATTCATATGCAAGTAGTAAAAAACGGTTATTTCAATATTACAAACAACAGGCTTCAACATTCTCAAGTACCACAAAAAAGATGTTTTTATTAAAAACAAGCTGTTCCCGCGACTTCGTCCGCGTGGAATTAAACTTTATTTTTCTAAAATAAAAGTAACCTAAGTTACTCCTTATAAATCAGCTACCTGCCAAAAAGAAGTACCGTCAAAATCGGTCCAGCCATTTCAGAGATTAGCCGGAACAAACAGACCGACAGACAGACAGACTAAAATTATAAAAATTGTTATTTTGGTATATGTACCTTATATATATTCATATGCATGTAGTAAAAACGGTTATTTCAATATTACAAACAGACACTCCAATTTTATTTGTATGTATAGATGTATAGATTATTATTTATTTATTTATTTATTCATCCAAAATAATACAAATTGTGTAGGATAACGTAATAGTAACATTACAGTAAAATTTTGTCAACAACATAATAGCAACTTAAATATTAAATCTCGGTATATCTATAGACTAGCTGGCCCCAGCGACTTCGTCCGCGTGAAATTTTATTTTATTTTTCTAAAATAACAGTAGCGTAAGTTACTCCTTATTACATCAGCTACTTGCCAAAAAAAGTCCCGTCAAAATCGGTCCAGCTATTTCAGAGATTAGCCGGAACAAACAGACAGACAGACAGACAAAACTTGTAAAATATGTTATTTTGGTGTATGTACCGGATTTATATTCATATGCAAGTAGTAAAAACGGTTATTTCAATATTACAAACAGACACTCCAATTTTATTTACATGTATAGATGTATAGATTAAAAAAAAAGTAACAGTCATAAGGCTAGTCGTATGCCTAATATATATAATAATGTAATAAATTCATTTAAACAGAAATTGCGGCAACATTATTTAAATTTGTAACTTTTTTACTGTCCTTCTCCATTTTTCACATCTTTCTGTTATATCCCTATAGTTCTCTCTATATTTTCTGTTTTTCTTACTTTCAATTTGAGACTGTACTTATAATTTGATTATCAGATCATTATGTATTTATTAGATATTAACTATTATATTATGCATAAAAAATATTTGTAATAATAAAGAAAATACATTTAAAATGTTTTACTTGTTGTGTTAGTTATTTATAAGATCTTACTATAATTGTTAGCTGCTTTACAATTTAGAAAGTACAATAGGTAATGTAAATTAAAATTAATTGAATACTTAACAACGTTTTGTTCGATTAAATTCATTTAATTATTAAAATAGTTAATTTAAAATTAGAATAAAGACAAAAAAAAAAATAACAAAAAAAAATCGGTGGCGGGAATTGAACCTTGAGCGTCCGTTTGGTAAGTTGATTTGAAATTCAAAGGCTTATTTCTTCGAAATTACTGGTCATTTTGAAATAATACTTAGGGTTCGCATACCCTTATCGGATACTACTACTACACGGAGTTTCGTCAAAATAAAATATCTAGGTTAGGTATAATAAATTCATAATTAATAGACCGTTACGGTATTTGTATATATTCGGATCAAAACAAGTACTATGAAATAAGAACGAGTATATAAATTGATTAACACAAGTAATTGATTTTTGAAATATATTCAGAGCCAAAAAGTCTTGTTTCTTTATTTATGTACTTGTTAGATGCGACAGCGACTTTGTTTTATACTATACTAATGATTGATATACCTAAAATAAATAAAATATCTGAGGTTTGGACAAAAACTCAAAGGGTAATTTATTTTGAAAATACCTATTTTGCTTTTAGTGTTATAGTACTTTAACTGTTATGTTTTAAGTAACAATGTTTAATTATAATTAATACTACTGCACCAACACTCCGATCGTGCAAAAAAATTTGCTGTTTCATTATTTTTTAGTTCAATTAGTGGTCTACCTAAGTCCTGGGCTAAGGGGGGAGAGTCATGACGCCCCCATGACTCCCATGACCTCCATGACGCTCCCCCCTGGATCCGCCGTTGCGTCTTCTCTTTATTCGCTCAGTAACTTTGTTACAAAAGAAAAGATTCCCGTCCAAAAAATAATAAGTATTGAGGTTTGATCTGGAGTCACGTTACTCCAGACTGATTTCTATAAATATTTAGATTAGATAGACTATTATTCTTGAAATACTAGCTAGACATTATTAAGTTACTGTAGCCATAATGTAGTAGCCCAAACGTGCCAATGAGGAAGCCCTTGGCAAATGCTGCACCCTGATTGGCCCGTTTGAATTGGATCAAGAAGTGGTCGTATGCCAAAAAGGTGGATTTGTATAAAATCGTGTATAAATCGCTTAATTATTATTATTACTCGTCGTGACAGTTGTGGCTCAAAACGGATCAACATTTATATATGGTCAGCTGGCATTAGATCAACAAAAGGCCTCCGGATCAACAAGTGAAAAAGGATCAACAAAAAACTACCTATACGGCACGTCTGAGCCACAAAGTGCCCAAGGGGATATTTATATATATATATATATATATATATGTATATATATATATATGTATATATATGTATATGTATTGGTGTAGGTTGCTACTTATTTGGTTGTGAGGTTGGTATATTATTGCTCAAAGAAAACAATAACATTAAAAAATGAATAAAAAGAAACATTGATGTTCAATTTATTTTCTTTTATTTAATAAATATTTACAATTTTGTATTTTTTATTTATCTATACATATATATAGAAGTGTCTGTTTGTAATTTTGCAATAACCGTTTTTTACTACATACATATGAATATAAATATAGTACATACTCGAAAATAATGTCTGTCTGTGTGTTTGTTCTGTCTAATCTCTGACCGATTTTGACAGGACTTTTATTGGTAGGTAGCTGATGTAATAAGGGGTAACTTAGGGAGCTTTTTTTTTAAATTCCATGTGGATGAAGTTGCAGGTACAGCTTGTTTATATATATTTTGAGTATTATGAGATATTTTAACTCATTAGTGGAATATGGAACTGGCTTAAAGTGGTAATGAATGGATCAGTTCCTGGATTTCAAAAGGAGATAAGTGGAGTAACTGTATCTATAATACATGTAAATGAAATCCACAGATTGTTAATAATACACTTAAGCAGTTCCATGGAGTATATCTGGTTTCAAATAAATTGGAGTCAACTTTTCAGCTGCACAATGTCAGAGGAACAGGGCCCTTTAATTCTATGCATGGAGAATGCTGCCGGTGAAGAGATATCTCTGCGAATAGAACCAGAAGATGACTTCCGGACTTTCCTGGACAAAGCCAAGTATATTTTACCTTGTAACCTACAAGACATTCAAAAGCCTGACGGGTCTAGATAGCGAACTCTGAAAAAGGACTAGCATAATAGATCTATGTAGATTGCAGTGCTACTGGTCTAAGCAATAGACCAAACTCCCAATAAAAATAAAACCACTTTATGAAATTTGATAATTAATAATAATAATAATAATAATTTGATTTATTTATTTCTCCTCACAAACATGATGGCAACAATACATGTAGTATTCTTTATAGTAAAATACTTATATTTATTATTTTAATCGATTTGCTGTGAGGAGCTGGTGTCTGAGATAGGCATAACCTAGGTAGGTAGGATAGGTAATACAGATCACCATGCCCCCAACCGAAAATTGATATAAGTTAAACAAATTATGATGCTTATACTACACTAAATAAATTATAATTATACAACGTTTAGAGATATAAAGAAAAAAAAAAACGAAAAAAGTAGTAGGCAAATGAATAAAGTAGAGAGTACACGGTTGTGGAAAGAGAATGTTGGAATACCATTGAGAAGGGTAGGCCTATGTGTGTGTGTGTGTGTGTGTGTGTGTGTGTGTGTGTGTGTGTGTGTGTGTGTGTGTGTGTGTGTGTGTGTGTGTGTGTGTGTGTGTGTGTGTGTGTGTGTGTGTGTGTGTGTGTGTGTGTGTGTGTGTGTGTGTGTGTGTGTGTGTGTGTGTGTGTGCGTGTGTGTGTGTGTGTGTGCGTGTGTGTGTGTGTGTGTGTGTGTGTGTGTGTGCGTGTGTGTGTGTGCGTGTGCGTGTGTGTGTGAGAGTGTATGTTTGTGTGTGTGTTTGTGTGAGTGTGATTGATTAGTGTGATTATTTTATTTATTATGGAAGGCAACGCTTCTGTATGTACGTCAGCATCTTGGACCTTATATAGGTATATACTAGAGGTTGCGTGTGTGCGCGGGCCTCGCGAGGCCTGTATCTGCTTAGGAGTCGATGTCGGTGTCGATTTTGGTGTCGAGTTCAATGTCGGTGTCGAGGTCGGTGTCGGTGTCGGTGTCGGTGTCGGTGTCGGTATCTGTATAGGAGTCGATGTTGGTGTCGAGGTCGATGTCGATGTCTGTGTCGATGTTGGTGTGGATGTCGGTGTCGATGACGATGTCGGTGCCGCTGTTGAAGTCGATGTCGGTGTCGGTGTCGGTGTCGGTGTCGGTATCTGTATAGGAGTCGATGTTGGTGTCGAGGTCGATGTCGATGTCTGTGTCTATGTTGGTGTGGATGTCGGTGTCGATGACGATGTCGGTGCCGCTGTTGAAGTCGATGTCGGTGTCGGTGTCGGTGTCGGTGTCGGTGTCGGTGTCGGCGTCGGCGTCGGCGTCGGCGTCGGCGTCGGCGTCGGCGTCGGCGTCGGCGTCGGCGTCGGCGTCGATGTCGATGTCGGTGTCGATGTCGATGTCGATGTCGGTGTCGGTGTCGGTGTCGGTGTCGAGGTCGATGTTGATGTCGAAGTCGATGTCGATGTCGGTGTCGCTGTTGAGGTCGATGTCGGTGTCGGTGTCGATGTCGATGTCGATGTCGGTGTCGGTGTCGGTGTCGGTGTCGGTGTCGGTGTCGGTGTCGGTGTCGGTGTCGGTGTCGGTGTCGGTGTCGGTGTCGATGTCGGTGTCGGTGTCGAGGTCGATGTCGATGTCGAGGTCGATGTCGATGTCGGTGTCGGTGTCGATGTCGATGTCGGTGTCGGTGTCGAGGTCGATGTCGATGTCGATGTCGGTGTCATTTTTTAGTAAATTTTCATTTGCATTTTTTATTGCCATCTCGGATTTTATTTTTTCGTTTTTACCCGATATGCAACTGTAGTATGATAGTTTTTTTAGATATAAAGGTGGCCAATTAGCTGTAAGTTTATATTGTTTAATTGATTAAATAAATAAAATTACTAAAAAATAAAATATATATATTCTTGAATTTATAGTATCAGTATAGATTATACTGTTGGGTATTTTACGAACTTACGGCAATTTGTTACATAATATTATTTCAGATCAATTCTTGGCTTTGATATCGACATAAACTCAATTACACGGAACCAACCAGTTTCTTTAGACGACAACATATATCAATTCCTCATAAACACCGACCAGGTTGAAACTGAACTGGATTTGTCGGAAAATCTCGACGCAGCATTGGAACGAGATGATTTAGTTTACATTCTAGACGACGGTACACAAATAAGAGCTTCACAGATACATTTTGATAACGAAGATCCCCATGTAGATTTAACAGCTGAAAAAATACCATTCGTCAAATATGCTGATAGTGTTTCTGATGAATTAGATTCAGAGAATGTTAAGGAAGAAGACACCAGGAAGTATAACATTGTTGAAAGTCCCGTATCACGATGGCCTAGTCAAAGTTCCAGTCCCAAAAGCTTTGTCAATCGTCTACCTTTTAAATTAGTTTGTAACAATACCTCCAGCTTTGAAGCACAATTCAATAAATATCTAGAAACTAATTCTAAAACATACGCAACTTTGAACCCTGCTATTAATAGAACTAAGTCTCCACGAAGTGTAATAAGTGAGAATTATAAGAAGTACGATGAAAATTTTAATAAAAATGATGACGTTGTATTCACTAGAGAAGCGGTCCTTAATATGTTTAAAGATTCTCCTGTTGCATCATTACCTTATGAGAGCAATGTATTAGACAAAAGAAAGCATGTAAGAAAAACTGATCCTTCGAGGCTTGTACACAAGTCTTGGAATCCTAAACCGTATGATGATGTAGTTGTTATAGCAGACAATGAGAATAGAGATTGTTTCATTTGTGGAAAATATGTAGAGACAGATAAATTATATTTATTTGATAAAGAAGATCAAAAAATACATAGATCTTCACCGCAAAGAAAAACATCCACACAATTAAAGATTATATGTGAAATTTGTTTAGGTAAAAATTTCAAGCCGTGTCGAATGAAAGGACCTAACCAGTATTTGAGTTCTGACGAATATTTAGTAATTAAAAATAATCAGCAGTATATATTTCAGAAAACCAATGATTTCACTTATAACCGTGGATTGTCAGTGAACGACTCCATAGATTTCAATGCACCTGTATCGAAAGATAATGAAAATATGGAATTTGTAAAAGTTGAAATAGGATCTGATGGTGAAATTATAACTAAACCCATAGACAATGACCTGGACTCATCAGATGATGTAATTGTAGTTAAAGACGATGGTAAAGATGATAGTTCGAGCGGCGTTGAGATCATAGAGCCACAGGAAATAGACGACATTGTCATTGATAATTTGGATGAAGCTGACGAACGGGTTAAGGAGTTTTTGGGGAAATATCATTGCGACGAGAATGCAGAGTCGAGTGAATTGAAGTGCCGGTTAGTAGTTTATTGTTCTTACTTTTAAATTTGGAACTGTAGACTTAATGCACAGGCAGTCTAGACTTCGAAGAGGTGCAAGAATGAAATTAAAGTAATCTTATTAATATTAAAAACAGGAAAGTTTGTAAATAAGGATGGATAGATATTTGTTACTCTTTTATTCAAAAACTACAGAAAAGTTTTTGAAGTAACTTTGCGGTAATATAGATTGTACATCGGAATACCACATAGGCTATAAATTTAATGCTGGGGAACGCGTACACGCCTAGTAATTCAATAAAATAACTTTCAAATAAGGTTTTTTAAATACCGATAGAAAAGTGACTTTTACTGGCAGCTTGCCCGCCATTCTTTTTATAAATTATGTTATTTTGATAACCTTGACACTTTTGACTTTGTCTTGCGAGCCACAAGTCAAAGTCAAAAGGGACATAACAAAGAGACTCTTTAAGATTATTACATACATGTAAAAATTTATCTGGTTATATTAATTGTATCTATAGCCATCAGTCTTTGGAATACAGTTTATTTGAAATGTCTCTAACAGTATTCAGTCAAACTTCCATTTGAAGATATATTCCATTAGAATATTATATTTTATATATTATTATATTTCTTTTTCGGACTGTTGTCCGCAGCTGGCCTTTACATTTTCACCGGACGATAGGGGCGAATGCAGATGGCGACTTATGGAGCGGCTGAAGGCCAACTTCCGCCTGACGGATACGACTTTAGTCTGAGAGAACCGTAATTTTGATTCTCGTTTGTATTGGACGATCGATTGGAGGGGAATATTTATTACAATTTAATTCAAAATATGTACTTCCCTGCGCTAATAGTATTTGCTGGCGTTCACCAATGAAAGATGATTACATAATGAAGTCTGATTACTTAGGGATCATGACTATATCACCAGGGATTCATCACGACGGTTTCTAGGGGGACTGCAAGGTTATCTACCTGACATTGCTCACTTTTTGCCAGGACTTACACTAATGAAAGATGATGAGGACGTAGTCTGATTAGTTAGCAAACGTGGTGATATCAACAAGAATTCATCAGAAAAGTTTCTAGGGAGACTGCAGGGTCATCTACCTGATATTCCTCACTAGAGGACACTTTTCCCCACGACATAATGTTAATCACATAACTTTCAGATTCTGCATGAAAATATTCGCAACAATTACAGAGGTGACAGAACATAATGAGTTGCATAAATATGAATACGAAGATGGAGTTGTTTATCCTTGCCCGTTATGTGATTATGGTGAGTGAACTGATTGTTCTCTATGCTTTATTTTATTCTCCATGGCTATATTGGTGATTGTTTATGCTTTTTCTTTACAAATAAAGTATATTCTATCTAAAGTTGAGGTTGGATAAAATAGAAACATATGCGTAGCGTAGGAGAATGAGTTCAATACTGCGCATGTTTTATGTTCTATTGCTACGTAGATACCTTTGTTTTATATGAGAACAACACAGCGCCATCTAGTCTCAAGATCAAGTGTGGAATCTAAAATTTTCCCAATTAAAACTTAATGACTTAAAGTACTAAATTATAATTTTATTTCAGGATATGCTAATGTCAAATGGCTCAGAGGTCATCTGAAAGCTGCCCATGAAAAGAGAGAGAAAGATGTGAATAAAGACAGCACTGGAAATGAAGGTACGTAAATAGGTTTATAGTGTATAGATATTTAATCGAATTAGGTGTTATTTTCCGGAAGTCCATTTCACTACTTGATGGATTAATATGATTTTGTTTAATTCCGCTACAATTAGCATGTGTGAGACCACAAATATTCGGTGTGGAAACTTGACTGCCGTTACGACCTTCCCTAATAGCAATCAAATTCCAACCATTATTGAGTCTACACCCATATCGCGATATCAAAAAGTTTCCACACCGAATATTTGTGGTCTCACAATTTGATTTGGTAATTTCAGGAATTAGTGGTTCGAATTGAAAAATTCTTTTTGTGTTGGATAGTCCATTTGTCGAGGAAGGCTTTAAGCTATATATCATTACGCTACGAACAATTGAAAAATATTGCAAAAGGTGGGGAAATAAAATGCAGACTAAGTTCTGCGGGTCAGCTAGTAGTTTATATAAAGGAGAAAGCTATGATTTTCTCAAAATTATGCATAAAATTAGATTAAATCAATAAAAAAAACATTACACACATGTATATATACTCTATTATTTATTGTTATTTCTCGTTCAAAAAAGATACTTTTGTATTTTTATATATGGTCGCATTTCGACCAGTGGGCCAGCAGTAATTATTATAATTATCCTGTAATTATTTTAGGAGAAGACATTAAGTCAAAATCAGCATCACCAATTGCAAAGAGAACTAGAAGTGCTATTAAAAAGAGTGACGGTGATGAAAAACCGACGGGTCTGTTATTTTATTCATAGTTTGTTAATATATTTTTGTGTGAATAAATATGGCACCTGCCTGCGCTAACGGTATACGCTGGAAAGGCACCAGTGGAGGATGATAGGATGATAAAATCAGGTCAGTGAGTGGTGAATTCACCAGGAATTCACTATTTTGAGAATGTGTATCGAATATTTGTTATGATATTTATAACACAATCTCTGCTTATCTTGGAATTGCACTGTTATTTATTTGTATTCATAACACAAGCTCTGCTTAGCTTGGAACTAGATGGCGCGGTGTGCAAAAACCAAGATTATTATTTTTGTTGTTTTTTAAATCAATATTATGTATCAAACCAATGGAATGCGTAGGAACGAAGATAATATTTTAACAAAGGTGTTACATATGAATGTGGATGGTTATAACGGCAGAGGAAGGCCGAAAAAGAGATGGATGGACTGTGTGAAAGATGATATGGTAAGAAAGGAAGTAAATAACGATATGACTGCGAACAGGGATGAATGGAAGAGAAAAACATATACGACGACCACAAATAAATGGGATAAGGAAGAAGCAGATGATGATGATTATGTATCAAACCAAACCATGAGTGTCTTAAAAGAATTTGACAGACCTCGTGTTGCTTTAATCTGGCACTGAGTTCATTGTAAAGTGCTATAGACAGTTTTTTTTCGCACTACTCTAATGCTGTTAGCCGCAGCTGGCCTTTACAGCTTCACCGGACGTTAGGGGGCAAGTGTAGATGGCACTCCAAACGCGCGGAAGGACTTATAGAGCGGCTGAAGGCCAACTCTTGCCTGACGGATACGACATTAGTCTGAGGGCACCACTAGGGGTTCGAACCTCGGCTCAGGCCGTCGTAATTTCGATCCCCGTTTAAATTGGACGGGGGATCGATCAGAGGGGCGCCCGGGGGCGCCGGACTATAGAAAGTAATGGGACCTACAGGTCCCATAACTGACGGTTACTCTCTTGCCTTCATTTTATTTTAGCATTTCTAGGCATAGTAGTAGATTATCATCTTTATTTGCTTCTTCTTTGTACCATTTGTCGGTCGGCAGAATATGTTTTTCTCTTACATTCAATTTAGTAAATTTGCCAGAAAAAAAAATCAAATGTGTTATAAAATATTTTCTATTTTATAACACATTTGATATAAAATTGAAGAATTTATAAATGATAATAATGTTTTTGTAGAAAATATGTAACTTAAAATTCATAGCGCTGACAATGTTATCTGAATTGAACAGAGATAAGTGCGTAGCGGTTTCTATGTTAATTGTCGCATGCCTAATCCTTGTTGTTAATTAAATATAAGTAAATCAATATTTATTTAAAAGAGCAACACACAAGTTTCTTGCTTATTCTTCTTGTGATGAATCTGCATTCCGAATAAGCGGTAGAATAAAAAAACTTGACTATTCAAAAGTGCTTATATTAAGTTTATTTGAATAAAGATTATTTCTAATTTCTAATTCATCCCTGTTCGCAGTCATCACGTTATTCACTCCCTTTTTTACCATATCATTTTTCAGACAGTTCATTCATTTTTTGGCCTTCCTCTACCCTCATAACCATCCACATTCATATGTAATACATTCTTTAATTGTTTTTTTATTCTTGCAAAAACTAGTATCAGTCGGTATAATAACAGCAAATTATATTTTCTAGAAAATTCCGAGATTGAAGAAATAAAGCAAACAGAATTGAATCACGCATCGGTTAGTTCTATTGTATGTTAGATGTTATATATGATACTAAGTATATTCTCCCGGCTTTGCTCAGATGATCATAAATTTGTGAGTTTGGTATATTTATTATTAACACTAGCTACCTGCTCCGGCTTTGCACGGGTGTACATGTATTATATATATCTTACTGTTGAATCACTTTATCTATTAAAAAAAATTGCTTCTATATACCTTGCGTAGTTTTAAAGATTTAAGCATATATAGGGACGGACAGACAGCGACAGCGACTTTGTTTTGTACTATGTAATGAGATCACTGTTTTAAACTTTTTTCATAACAGTGTTAAGCATTATTAACATATTTTTTATCTAAAAGGGTCGTACATAGTGTAACTGATTGCTGCCTGTACTTGGATGATATATGAGGAATTTTTATGGGAGCCTTAATCTCACCCCCACCATGTTATAGTGTACATGATATAATTGGCATTTAGGAAAGTATTTTCACTTAAAACATAGTATAGCAATTGTAGAATAGTAGCTCAAATCTGGAGTGCAATTTATTAATATGGACATAATTCTTCAAATAGCCCGACTGTGGCCAGCTGACGACCACAGTGAAGGTGGAAGTAAAGCAGGAGCGACAGGAAAGCAGCGACGACGAGATCTGGATTGTACAGGCTACTGACGACGGCCTGCTCGACCAACTTCTGCATACTGCCGAGGTAGTTTACTATTTAAAAGTATTCTGTAAGAGGGAACTTTTCAACTATGAGGTATGAACACTTGGGAATGGGTAAATGGGATAATTTACCCATTCCCAAGAGTTCATATACATGTTAAGGTAATTTAATATAAGGTATTTCAAGACAATTTACACAGCGCCATCTAGTCCCATGTTAAGCAGAGCTTGCTTTTTGTATTTTAATAGTTTAAAAAAATAATTGACTATTTATTTATGAATGAATGAACACCATAGAAAATAGACGAGGAAAAATGTTAGGGCACTTGATACGGCACGATGATTTCATGAAAATTATTATTGAGGGGAAAATAGAAGGAAAGAGGGGGAGGGGAAGACCAAGGAATAGCTACATCAAACGAATTGAGGACAAAATGGGAGTCGTGTCGTATCAAGAATTAAAGAGCATGATGGAAGATCGCGGAAAGTGGCAAGAGCTCCACCGATAAGAGCGTAGCTCTTAAATTATGAATGAATGAATGAAGCTCTTTATTGTTCCTCTCACAGAAAATACAATTACATATACAATTATGTATAATATGATTAAAAAAAAAACAATACATATTTATATACACTTAACTGTAATTTTTCTCGTATACAGGACAAAAATAAAGAAAATAAACCTTCGAAGAAAACCTTCAAATGTATTAACTGCAGGTAGGAATGCAAATTAACTTTACTAGGTTTAGTTTAGTTTCGAAGTGGACTTTGTCGTACCTCTAAGGCATGGTTACCTCAGTATCACCAAATTCTATTGCGAAGCATCTTGAGTAAGAATAGCTTCGCTTGAAGAGTAGAATAGGCAGTGAAAAAAGATTCGTAAGTGATAATTAATTATGAAACTGTACTAGTTTTCTTTATAAATGAGTAGAAATAGAAATAGAAATAATCTTTATTCAAATTAGCTTATTATAAGCACTTTTGAATAGTCATATGTTGATTCTACCACCCATTAGGAACGCAGATTCATGACAAGAAGAATGAGCAAGAAACTTGTGTGTTGTTCTTTTGAGTGTGAGTTTACAAGTATTATATCTCCATCATATACCTCTAGCGTTATGACCAAGTGATGTCCATTTTTTTACGAACTACAGCACCTGTGGAGGTGCTGTAGTTCGAAAAAAAATGAATTATTAAATAATATCTACAGTCCGGCCGGTCAGAGTTTGCGTTTCTGACAGGTCGAGATCGAATGGGGGATGTAACTTTGAACTGACGTACAATTTGCGGCAAAATTTTAAATATCTTTTATTTACCTTATTAACGAGTGATAACATTAAAAGTTTAATAATTATTCCAACTTACAATGTACGTATTACTTTTGGCTTGATTTATTAACAAATATAAAAACAATAGTTTTTAAATGTCAAACCACATCAAATTGCGCTGTTTCAAGGTTATGTCAACTGTTTCTTTTTGTAGTGATTAAAATAATCTTGAAACGGCGTACTTTGATTTAGTTAGACTTTTAAAAGGTATTGTACTTAAATATTAAATGCAAACTCTGAACAGCCGGGCTTTACAGTGACTAGAAAGGATGATTTTGAATTACTTCTTGCAGCCAAACGTTCACATCCGCCGAAGGCCTCTCCTCTCATAAATGCCGTCGACGAGGCAGGAAACCGAAGGCACAGAGCAAAGGCAATATCTTATGCGTTCCTACAAAGGAAGATTTTATTAAAGTAAGTCATAAGTTGAATTGTTTTGATTTAGACAGTAATCCAAGATGGCGGTGATAGAGGTATTGTTAACTGTCGTCTAAATATGTATACTAAATAGTGGTCTCTCGATGGTCGAATTTCGACCATAATTAATTTAAATTATAAGTTTGAACATTATTAAGGTTCTATTGACAAAGACTACTTCTATGCATGTGTCAAATACATGTAGTGTGTGTAATAATTTTTTTAATCGATTTAATGTATTTTAAATGTGAAAATACATAGTTAAATTATGTATTTATTTTATTTATAAAATAAATGAATGTTATACAAATTCAAAATATGAAAAAGGTTACCTGTCAGGTTACAATATAGGTACCATACAAACCTCACAAAGTTATAAGCAACCGGGCGAATTCGGAGCAAATTACTAGTATCTACGTATAATAAAATCGTGATGAGGCGAAAACTATTTGTATATCTGTTTATATGTTAACCTTTCATGTAAAAAGATTTGAAAAAAAGAATTGTGTTGAATTTTCATAATACACTTACATATGGAACTTAAGTCGTACTTTAGAGGTAAAAGAGTCATTGTTTTGCCATATAAAATAAAAGCGTTATTAAAAAAGCTCAAGTCAACTTGTAGAATAAAGGAAGCCGAGAACAGTATAAAGATTAACATACAGGAGGAGCCGCCAAAGAAAGAATTGATTTTATGGATAGTGTAAAAAATGTTTTGTTTTTCAGAGAGCACAAGGTAGACTGCGCCCTGTGGAGAGGCCGTCCAATGATTTATTGGTAGAGGTATGTTACAAGTAAAATACTCATTATATATATACACATAACAAACACCGTGATACGAGAATTTTCGTGTCACGGTGTTTGTTACCATTAATAAATTATGTGTGCTTGACAATCAGATGTTCACCGATTCTCTGACCTACCCGATGGTCTGAGAATCGGTCAATATATATATATATTGACCGAATCTCAGATAAGGGTGATCCAACCCTAATAATAGATTAAACACAATTTATTTTTAAAATTTTCATGATTAAAAATACATACGACCTACATTTTCATCATATTTTTTAATAGTTAGCGGGGTTAGCTACTATATTTGTCTACTCTGACTATAAGATAACATTGTATGTATTACAGAGACCTCGCAAAAGGAAGAGCAAGCAGCCAACGTCAGATCCACAGATTGTCACGTGTCACAATTGCAATGAGTCTTTCACCTCTAAAGTACGACTTAAGTTCCATATGTAAGTATACTATACAAGTACTTGATGCCTCTGAAGGCGTAGGTCTGAACCTTCCTACGTGAGCTTACGTTTCACCTGATGGTAAGTGAGATTACCACCACCCTTGAGCACCCGCAACTCTAGGAGAATTGTAAGTGCGTTGCCGGCCTTCTAAGAAGGAAAACTCTTTTCTTCTTTAAGATTCTACAGCAGTACCAGTAGCAGTGGTCAGGTTTCCGCACTGAATGCAATGCAACCGCAATTATAATTTTTGTAATATGTTGTGTGATTGTTTTGTATGGGCTAAATAAATATACTTTACTTTCTTACTTCTTTCAGTGATTAGTGATCCCACACATACTAGTGGTAGCGGAATTAAACAAAATGATATAAGCAATAAAACCTATTTTTTTAATTAACAGGCAATTTCATGAGGCAACAGGCATGCTTTCCAACGGCAAGTATTCATGCCTGGAGTGCGCTAACGCCACCTTCAACACTGAGTCGGAGCTGTTCGATCACGTGCACTTCCAACATGACAAGCAGAAGCGCTGGCAGTGTCCTGTCGCTGGTTGTGGGAAGACTTTCTACCTCAGGTAACACTGACTTAGAAAGAAATTACGTATATACTATAATATCAACTCTATACAAATATATAATAAAGTACTGTAGGTATTTAGATGCGCTTAAATTAGTTTAAAATAGAACTACACAAATGGCTCGTAGAAGATGTTGTTACTCTTTGCGAGAATTGACTTAAAATTTAAAGTAACTAAAAAATTTAATCATTTAATCTTCTGTTTGTTAATTTGTAAGTCATTAAGAAGAATTGTAATTTGTATGCCTTCTGAATATGATGCGGACATTTGTACCTAAACACTTGTATGATTTATAATCCAAATGTCCAAGCAAATAAATTATCTATCTAACAAACCGAATATGAATACTAACTCTTCTAACAATTGCTATGAACGTTTGTCACAGTTTGTGAACCTTTGCCTATATACATGGATAGCAACACGCACATCACTTCATCATATAACCCTCATTTACCACTCATCTACGTTTTTCTTATGTACAGAGCAACACTAACAAAACACAGCCGCGTACATACAGACACGCGGCGTTATGTGTGCGTAACTTGCGGCAAGCGTTTCTTGGACAAGCAGACGTTGGACGAGCACGGCGTTACGCATTTACAGGTCAATTTTTAATGTAATTGGAATTGGCTCGTTCAATGTCTGCTTGGGCTTCTATGGCGTTATGCATTGTACGGCATTACGCATTTACAGGTATTTTTTTTTTATATAATTGGAATAGCAAATAAACTCAAGCAGACATTAGATGAGCACGGCGTTTCGCATTTATAGATCATTTTTTTACATAATTGGCTCGTCCAATGCTTGTTTCAGCTTGTATTACGGCGTTACATTTGTATGGCGTTACGCATGTACAGGTCATTTTCTTTATGTATATGAAATAGCAAACAGGCTCAAGTAGACATTGGACGAGCATAGCGTTACGCATTTACAGGTATCTTTCTCAAGCGGATATTGGACAAGCATGGCGTTAGGCATATACAGGTTATTTTATTGTTATATCATTGGAATAGCAAACAAGCTTAAGCACGACGTTACGCATTGACAGGTATTTTTCTCAAGCGGATATTGGACGAGCATAGCGTTAGGCATATACAAGTCATTTTATTTTTACTTAATGGAATAGCAGACAAGTTCAAACAGACGTTGGACGAGGACGGCGTCACGCATTTACAGGTATCTTTCTCAAGCGGATATTGGACGAGCATAGCGTTACGCATTAAAGGTTTTTTTACGTAATCGGAATAGCAAACAAGTTCGAGCAGACATTGGACGAGCACGGCGTTACGCATAGTGCGCTCCACTTCGTCTTATAAAATTTGTCTCTGACATAAAAAACAGATTAAGTATAGTTCGTTATAAATAGAATTCACACATCATATTGTAACGACTGTTATCCCGGATAAGGTAGTCAAAGGCATTGGTAATTGTCGACGTCGTGAGGAACTCATGTGTACACACATGCTATCCCACTCACTCAATTCACTAAACTAAAGGGTTTAGTGAATTGTCCGTACATTTAGATCTATTTGTACATGAGAAATTGGAGTGTATGTTTGTAATATTGAAATAACAGTATTTTACTACATGTATATGAATTAGAATACGGTACATACCAAATTAATATTTTTCACAATTTTTGTCTGTCTGTTTGTTCCGGCTAATCTCTGAAATGGTTGGACCGATTTTGATGGGACTTTTTTTTGGCACGTAGCCGATGTAATAAGAAGTAACTTGAGCTACTTTTATTTTGAAAAAAATATTTTATTTTAGAAAAATAAAGTTAAATTCCACGCGGACGAAGTCGCGGGAACAGCTGGTTTGTAAATAAAATAAATAAATAACTTGTATGGATTGGTAGTTTCAAATATTATTTTATGTCCCAACAAAACTCCAATAGATCAAACCGTTCCAATGTCACGTATGCCTGAAGCAGCTGACGCGAAGATCCCGTCTGAGGATGCACCTCCGAGCTCATGAGGAGGAGCTCACTCCCAAGCTGGTGCTGGTGTGTGCGGTGTGCAGCCGGGCCTTCAGGGACCAGCAGGATGCTCAGGTATTTTGAGGTGTTCTAAACATCTTTTCAAGATTTTTTAAATCTCTAAAAGTCCCCCGTCCAATTCAAACGGCGATCCAAATTACGAAGTCCTGAGCCGAGGTTCGGACTCCTAGCAGTGTCCTTATGGTGTATTGTATATATTTGTATAATAATCATTTCACATTATTACCTCTTTTCATGACAACTGGCCGCTTACAGACAACACAGACACGTTCCATAGGTCACCTATAAAATATTCTCACGTCATCCATCACTCGCCTTATACAGCTCTGTTCCATATATACATTTTCTTGTAAATCTTATATTCTAATATACCAATTATTTGTTGAGAATCTATTTTATTTACAAAACAATTATTACCGACCCCACGCCCTCAGACTAAAGTCGTATCTGTAAGGCGGGAGTGGTCCTTCAGCCGCTCCATAAGTCCTTCCTTTAGTTTGGAGTGTCATCTGCACTCGCCCCCTATCGTCCGGTGAAGCTGTAAAGGCCAGCTGCGGACAGCATTAGAGTAGTCCGATAAAAAAAATAACTTACATTATTGTATGGTTTAATCCAATTTTTAATATCTTTTAATCTACTACTATAATATACCACCGTTCGCGCACTTTTCGTAGAATGGAGTACAAGGTTTTTGCTTTCATTTATTAATATTATGATACTCATTGTAATATATTTAATAGGAACATGCAATAAGGTCCAGTGAATGCATACAAGAGTTTACCAACGAGCTGAAGGAAGAAGAGGACGTGCAGTTGTCACCGACCAGCGGACTTGTGCGGCAGGCTGTACATGTTGCTGGTATGTGTATTTTTTTATGGATGATAATGGAATGGTGCACCCGCCTGCGTTAACGATTTACGCTGGCGAGGCAACAGTGATGATAAGATGAGGGTGAGGTCTGGTCAGTTAGTCCATCGTGACAATTCACCAATTTATCACAGTTTCCAAGGGGAACCACGTGGAGGTCAACCTGACATGGTACATTGCTGGCAATAAGATTATCAGTCCACATTACTAACAACCCCCTTTCATTCGTTTATTCATAAAGATGAATAAAATCTCCATGACTGATTTTAATTATCATGGGGTTGATCAAGAATGGTATATTAAGGTTTCTAGGTCGTCAACGCGCACCTGACACCGCTGGTGTTTTGGCGTCCATACGCTACGGTAAAACCTATATCTGGAGTATAGCCTTGTATGCGTGTGAGACGTGGACATTAAATCAAAAGGAAAGAGACAAACTGGAGGCTTTTGAAATGTGGTGTTGGAGGAGGATGGAAAGAATTAGCTGGAAGGATAAAGTAAGAAACGAAGAAGTACTACACAGGGTAAAAGAAAAAAGATAAATATTGAACACAATAGAAAATAGACGAGGAAAAATGTTAGGACACTTGATACGGCACGATGATTTCATGAAAATTATTATTGAGGGGAAAATAGAAGGAAAGAGGGGGAGGGGAAGACCAAGGAATAGCTACATCAAACAAATTGAGGACAAAATGGGAGTCGTGTCGTATCAAGAATTAAAGAGCATGATGGAAGATCGCGGAAAGTGGCAAGAGCTCCACCGACAAGAGCGTAGCTCTTAAATTATGAATGAATGAACGCTACGGTAACCGTTTATTGTCAGTTGGGCCGTATGCCAGTTTGTCACCATCGTAGTATAAAAAAATATATATATTATATTTTACATATATTGCAGACTCTCCAAAACTAAAGAAACCAGTGCAACGTCAAGTGGAAGCCACCCTGGCTGAACCTCTGCTGGCCAGTTTAGCAGATGAAGCACGCTCCATTATACGCGTCGTTGAGATTGAGAAGGCTTTCCGATGCGAGTATTGTGAAGAGTAAGTAGAATTCAATGACCTCTGTGGTTTAATGTTTTTTTTTTTCATGGATGATAATGGAATGGTGCACCCGCCTGCACTAACGGTTTACACTGACGGGGCACCAGTGGAGGATGATAAGGTGAGCATGAGGTTAGGTCAGTTAGCACATTGGTATAAATTCATCAAGAATTTATTGGGGAACCGCGTGAAGGTCAAATCCTAACCCAATTACTAATAATCCTTTCCACTCCGGTCTAGTCTAGTCATAGGGCTCCCTAAAATATGGTCGAGCGCAGTGATGGCTGGCTCATCCGTCATACTCGTGAACGAGTGCTGCTTGTAGGGACTGGTCTGCTCTTATCACTACGACTGATTTAATCTTATTGCATATTTATATTTGCCCCAAAAAATTAGTGCTGGTTGGTAGTTTGTATTCACACGTTTCGACTTGTAAATGTAAACTTATAAGGATTATTTAAAAGAGCAACACACAAGTGTCTTGGTTCTTCTTGTGATGAGACAGCTTTCCGAACGAGTGGCAGATAAAAAACAAGTTGTTGTGACTATTCAAAAGTGCTTAAATTAAGTTTATTTGAATAAATGATTTTCTATTCTATTTTAGGTCTAGATTCCTCGCACGATGCAAACTTTTGTATTCATGAGTATGATTATTAGTATCGGTTTAGGTATTTTCTATGTATTTATATCAGTTGTCTAGTACCTATAACACAAGCTCTGCTCACCGTGGGACTAGATGGCGCTGTGTTAATTGTCCAGGGTTATTTATTTATTGAAAATACTATATGTTTAATTATAGGTATATATTTAATTGTATGTGTATATATGTATATGTACGTGTATATTTTTCATATTTATAAATATTGAGTATATGTGTAATTGTTTATTTAATATTATGTATTATATATAATTATGGACTGGTTTATAATCTTTGTTATTATTATTATCTTTTTTTTTAATTGTTATTTTAAAAGGTATACCTACATTTTTTTTATTATTATTATTTTTAATGCACTGCCCACACAGATCTCTGTTTGCCCGATGGTTGACTGGGAGAAAATACCTCATGGTGTTAAGTCCGCCATATGCATCTATATTTGTGTATTTGCACATAAAAGATTTAATAAATAAAATAAATAAATAAATATATTTACTTATCTCTATTGTCTGTTTCAGCATATTTTATCTGGAAGATGCCCTCAACAAGCACCGTTTGATACATAAAGGCGTGAAGAACCCGTTCACCTGTCACATCTGCAAAGTTACCTTCGCCACTTATTCCAGGTGTAATATCAGAACTAGCATAAACTGCATTTTTAATCGTAGTATCCGTCATGCATTTTCACAGCTTCTTCATATAACTGGGTAATAAAGTTTATAATATAAACAGTGTCTAAAATGTTGCCCCAGCTGGGGGAACATTTTAGACTGCGACTGGTGACCCCATTCCTAGGAATATACCTTGCACGTGGTTCCTCCTGGAATCCATCATGATAAATTCGAGGTGAATTTAACACGATGTGCTAACTGACCTGACCTCATACTCATCTTATCATCCTCCACTGATGCTCCACCAGGTAAACCATTAGTTCAGGCGAGTGAACCATTCCATTACAATCCGTAAAAAAAAATTGCCAGCTGTCATTATTTTTTATGTAATTGGAATGACAAGTAATCTGATGGTAAGTGGTAACCGTCGTCCATATATATGAACAGTACTACGGACATCATATCACGCTCGTGATACAACTAATGAGTTACCATTCCAGAGTAGTAAGATGTCACGCCTCTTATCCTGTAATTTCACTGCCTAATCTGCACCCTACAACCGAAACAGCTTACAAAGCAAGCTTCTTGGTGGCTGAAATAGGTGATACTGAGGTAGACACGGAAACGACTTCGTTCAAACTTTAGTCCAGTATTTATTATAGTAATGGTATACAACAGGTGTACAACCCATAAAACAACCCATGGGTTCTACAAGCGACCTCTAGCTGACGCCAAGAAGCAGGCCAAGTCTGAAGCCCTGGAAGCTGGACCTTCGGCTACCGGTATTCTCGGTTACGGAGGATTTCCGGTAGTCAAGCACTTTCTCTGTGAGGTAAGATAGACAGGGCCGTCTTTCACTTATTAGAGGCCCTGGGCACATTAGGATATTGAGGCCCTTGTGACCATAGTAATAAAGCACTATTTTGTTAGAATAGATAGTCATTTTTGAACATGACTCTTTAGACGTATATGGGGAAGCCCTACCTTCAAAACAAACCAGGCAAAAATAATTTCAAAAAGTCGTTATCTGATGAGGCGTTTATGTTTAATAACAAAAACGAACAAATTGACCAATGGTCTGTAAGCATTTGTTAAGACTGATTTTCAGGCGAGAGTAGAGTAGCTATCGGTTATCGTTTGGTAATCGAGTAGGGACAGGACTAGACTAGGGGGCCCCAATCCATCGCGGGGCCCTGGGTACGTGCCCAGCGTACATAGTGGTGAAAAGGCCTGAAGATAGATAATAGATAGATAAAATCTAAGGTGAGATAAGAATGTTTAATCGTACATCTTTACATAGTATACAATGAAGTCGCTTCCGCTGTCTGTTCGTTTAGATCTTTTAAACTACGCAACGGATTTTAATGCAGTTTTTAGCAATAGATAGATTAATTCAGGAGGAAGGTTTATTTGTATGATACACTGCCTAATCTGCACTCTACAACCGAAACACATTTTACAAAGGAAGCTGCTTGGCGGCTGAAATAAGTGGGACTGAGGTACACACGCAATTTTTACAGTCTACTTTTGGTAATTTTCTATGTATATACGTTAGAACTTGCATTATTCAAATTAATCGTATGCAAGAAGAAGAAAGAGCCTAAAAGACCCTAAAGAAGAGAGTGGAATTCTTCTCCAGACTTCTCCATCGATCTGTTTTCATTTTATTATCCATTTGTTCCCTACCATTTTAATGTTCAAATTAATCGTATGCAAGAAGAAGAAAGAGCCTAAAAGAACTTAAAGAAGAGAGCAGAGTTCTTCTCCAGACTTCTCCATCGATCTGTCTTCATTTTATTATCCATTTATTCCCTACCATTTTAATGTTCAAATTAATCGTATGCAAGAAGAAGAAAGAGCCTAGAAGAACTTAAAGAAGAGGGCGGAGTTCTTCTCCAGACTTCTCCATCGATCTGTCTTCATTTTATTATCCATTTGTTCTCTATCATTTTAATGATATTGTCCTGGCGTAATGTAGCCTCCTAAGAGACAAATCAAAATATCTTCATTCATGTAGGTCTATTACAGACTTATGATATGTCAAATCTACCATCAGTGCTATCGAACTAAGAAGAACTCTTATTATTTTGAAATGAGCTTGTACACGATTACAAAAACCACACATTAATTTCTAAATGGAATCCAAAATCAAAATATATTTATTCATGTAGGTCACACACTCTTATGATATGTCATATTATTTTTTACATTGCACTGAATAAAATATTTTTCTTTCTTTCTTTCTTTCTTTCTTTCTTTCTTTCTTTCTTTCTTTCTTTCTTTCTTTCTTTCTTTCTTTCTTTCTTTCTTTCTTTCTTTCTTTCTTTCTTTCTTTCTTTCTTTCAAATCTACTGACAGGAGATTTGACATATCATAAGAGAACTGACAAGAAACTCAGCTCGTATTATTTTTAAATGAGCTTGTACACGATTACAAAAATACAGATTCATTATGAAACTCAAATTAATGAGAATAGAGTGACCACTATTGCAATTTTGCCAGAAGGAAATAGTTTAATAACCGTAATTCGAACAGTCCAAGACAGCACGCCTACAATTCTCCGGCGGTAATGGCTTACCATCAGGCGAGCCATAAGTTCGTTTGGCATACAAAATTATTCTTATATATAGAAAATCTGTTGTCTTTGCAGGACTGCGGCCGGTCTTATCTACACTGGACGTATTTACAAGTGCATCGACGTATGAAACACGCCAACCAGAATTTTATGTACAAGTGCAGTCAGTGTGAAGTCACATTTCCTAACAGGTTAGAATTACCCTTACTAGCTGTGCCCGCGGTTTCAACTGCGTGAAATTTATAGTCTATATGTTGTTCTGATGTATAAGCTATATTACTGTAAAGTTTTATCAAAATCCGTTCAGTAGTTTTAGCGTGAAAGAGTAACAAACATCCATCCATACTCACAAACTTTCGCGTTTATAATATAAATAAGAATAAGATTTATTTTAATAGGATTGTAAACAAGCACACGTCCCACCTGATGATAAGTAAATAAATAAATAAATAAGTCTTGACAATTAACACAGTGCCATCTAGTCCCACGGTAAGCAGAGCTTGTGGTATGAGTACTAGATATAAATATATAGTTTTTTGTACATACATACATATTATACATAGAAAACGCCCAGACCGATACAAACAATCATACTCATGAATACAAATGTTTGCATCGTGCGAGGATCCGAACCGGCGATCATCGGCAGTAAAGCGGTGAGATGAACCACTAGACCAACAAGGACGTCAAATTTAAATATAACCAAAAATATTTTTAAAAACTTGTTTCAGTTGGAGTTTGGCTTATCACAGAAAGAAAATGCATGGTAAAGAAGATGGCAACATTACGAAAATCACAAAGGAAGATTATAGGTAAGTGTCCTTAATATCTATACTTATACATATAAATAAAATTGGTGTGTCTGTTTGTAATATTGATATAACCGTTTTTTACTACATGCATATGAATATAAATACGGTACCAAAACAACATTTTTTACAATTTTTGTCTGTCTGTCTGTTTGTTCCGGCTAATCTCAGAAATGGCTGTACCGATTTTGATGGGACTTCTTTTGGCAGGTAGCTGATGTAATAAGGAGTAACTTAGGGTACTTTTATTTTCGAAAAATAAAGTTAAATTCTATGCGGACGAAGTCGCGGGAACAACTAGTTAAACATATTAATATAGGATGGTGCACTCGCCTGCGCTAACAGTATGCGCTGGAGAGCACTAGTAGAGGATGAGGTCAGAACTGTTATAGCCCATCGTGACAAGTTCACTAGGATTTTATCATGATTGTTTTAAGTGAGAACCGCGTGGAGGTCGCCTGTATTACCTTCGTATGGTGTCATATTTCATAAAACATACACCTATTTAAAATATTTAGCTGTTTGAAAGAAAAAAAATGTATTTTTGACAATAGTGTACGGACGTAAATGTTGAAAATATGTTGTGGAAACTTCGTATAAAGTTTTAGAACATATATTCTGAAACTAAACTAACTAAACAAAACTAAAACAATTTGCATATAAATTTTTATAAAAATCGGAGGTATGGTAACTAACATTGTGACAATAGAATTTTATATATAAGATTTTCGATTGTGTGATTTTTTTTTCGTAGAATTCCATGCCGAGACTGCGACGAGGTGCTGCCAAACAAAACTGCACTTTATAAACACAGGAAAAAGGAACACAGTGACATGTCGCTTGGGAACGGGAAATCCGGTACGTCAATACATAATACTTTAATATGTATATATATATATGTATATAAAACTCAAAGGTGCTTGACATAGTGATCTATCAACGCACAGCCCAAACCACTGGACGGATCGGGCTGAAATTTGGCATCCAGGTAGATGTTAAGACGTGGGCATCCGCTAAGAAAGGATTTTGATTCATTCCACCTCTAAGGGAATAAATTAACGCGAGCGAAGCCGCGGGCAAAAGAATTGCCATATCTATGTATGTATGTGTATTATTATTATTATTTTATTATATTTATTATATATGAAGGTATCCACAGAAAACTAGCGTCGTGGCACCCCGTCACGACATATGCTGAGTGGAGACCTATTTGATACTGTAAAATTAATATAAACCGATAAAATGTAAATTACAATTTTAAAATTATTTTCAGTGTACCAAATAAACAATTTTATTTCTTTCTTTTTTTCTTTCTTTCTTTCTTTCTTTCTTTCATTCTTTCTTTCTTTATATTTGTATTTTTTGAGAATGGAATAGTGCACCCGCCTGCTCTAACGGTAAACACTGCCGGGCCAGTGGAGGTTGATAACATGAACATGAGGTCAGGTCAGTTAGCACATCGTGACAAATTCACTAGGAATTTATCATGATGCTTTCCAGGGGGAACCGCGTGGAGGTCAATCCGACATGGTACATTGCTAGTAATGATGTCGTAAGTCCACGTTACTAACAATCCCCTTCATATTTAAATCTAAAGAAATATGTGTGTTTTTGATGTTTAAATATAGTAAATCAATATCAAATTGACGGTTGTACTGTTTATGTATATAGGTAACGGTTATCACTTACCATCCGGGTGGGCCGTGAGTTATTAATCTATGATCTGTATCATATATTAATGTATATTATAATGTATGTGTGTTTGTCACCTAACTCATAATGGCTGGACTGATTTGGATGAAATGAGACCCAGTAGGCGGCGACGTTTTACGTGTCTTTGAGAATGACTATTTATTAAAGTAAATCATGATTTATATCAGTTGTCTAAGTACCCATAACACAAGCTCTGCTTAGCTTGGTACTAGATGGCGCTGTGTTAATTGTCCTGAGATATTATTATTGTAATCTACTTTAATCTGTTACGACAAGCAATTGTTAGGAACTGTGTTCCGTAATAAACAAGTTTAGTAAGAGATTTGTAACTCTATAGATACATTCTGGTGTTCCCAGCAGTCTGTGGAGGATCCTGAATATTATAGGTACGTGTTCACTTTCAAGAAGTAATAATTTGAGATATTTCTGTTATAGATTAACTAATTGTTTAATTAAAAGTAATGACTAATCCTTACTTTAATATTATAAACGCGAAAGTAACTCTGTCTGTTTCGATTTCACGAGAAAACTACTGAACTGAATGTTTAAATAAATGAAATTTGGTAAAAGATAGTCTAAACCCTGAGAAAGGATATGGGCTACTTTTTAATGCGAAAAAAGGGTTGTAAGGGGTTGAAAGGAAAGATGCAGGGTTGTATGGAAGAATCGTCATTTTTAAAGGTAGAATCTTGAAACTTATTTTTTAGGCTGTTGATGAAATATGAATAAATATTATTTATTAATAAAGTAAAATTTTACCCTGTGCCTGCAGTTTCACTTCTCGATTACATTATATTATATCTATACATATAAATAAAATTGTAGTGTCTGTTTGTAATATTGAAATAACCGTTTTTTGCTACATGCATATGAATATAAATACGGTACAGATAAAAAATATATTTTTACAGTTTTTGTCTGTCTGTCTGTTTGTTCCGGCTAATCTCTGAACGGACTTTTTTTGGCATGTAGCTGATGTAATAAGGAGTAACTTGACTACTTTTATTTTAGAAAAATAAAGTTATATTCCACGCGGATGAAGTCGCGGGAACAGCTAGTTATATATATAAATTTAAGTTCATTATGTGCGTCACTTACCCTTTTTCTTATTATTATATTACTTTCTTTACCCAAAGGTAGTTTGGGAGAGATTGCTTAGCGATAAGACCTCACTTATAAATTTATGTATTATAATTATTTTCTATATATATATATATATATTTGGTGCAATGAAGCGTATAAAGCTATACTAATATTATAAAGCTGAAGGGTTTGTTTGTTTGAACGCGCTAATCTCAGGTACTACTGGTTCGAATTAAAAAAATGTTTTTATGTTAGATTGTCCATTTGTCGAGGAAGGCTTTAAGCTATATAACATTATGCTACGACCAATAAGAGCGGAGCTGCAATTGCAAAAGATGGGGAAATTAAACGCAGACGAAGTTGCGCGGGCCTGCTTGTAAATAATATAAGTGTTGTAACGCGACAGGGAGGTAGCAGGTTCGAATTCAGGCGCGGCTGCAGCCAGGGGGTACGGGTGTCGTGAGTGTGGGCGGAACTTCCGGACAGCGTCGATGAGGAACGAGCACTTCCGGATACACACTGGAGAGAGACCTTACCCTTGCGACCTTTGCGGAGTCGCATTCCGCAGGTGAGGTACTCTAGGACCAGAAAGGGTCGTCTTCCGTATGTGATGTACTCTAGGACCAGAAAGGGTCGCCTTCCGCAAGTTAGGTACTCTAGTACCAGAAAGGGTCGCCTTCCGCAGGTGAGATACTCTAGGACCAGAAAAGGTCGCCTTCCGCAAGTTAGGTACTCTAGTACCAGAAAGGGTCGCCTTCCGCAGGTGAGATACTCTAGGACCAGAAAAGGTCGCCTTCCGCAGGTGAGATACTCTAGGACCAGAAAAGGTCGCCTTCCGCAGGTGAGGTACTCTTGGACCAGAAAAGGGCACCATCCGCAGGTGAGGTACTCTAGGACTAGAAAGGGTCGTCTTCCGCAGGTGAGGTACTTTAAGACCAGAAAGGGTCGCCTTTCCGAAGTCAGGTACTCTTGGACCAGAAAGGGCCTTCCGCCTTCCTAGTACCAGAGAGGGTCAGCAGGTGAGGTACTCTTGGACCAGAAAAGGTCGCCTTCCGCAAGTTAGATACTCTAAGACCAAAAGGGCCTTCCGCCTTCTCTTGGACAGAAAAGTCCGCAGGTGATTCTAGGACTAGAAAGAGTCGTCTTCCGTAAGTCAGGTACTCTAGTAAAGTTTCATTAAAATCCTTTAGTAGTTTTAGCGTGAAAGAGTAATAAACATCCATACTTACAAACTTTCCTGTTTATAATATTATTAAGATACATTTCCTAATCATCAAAAACAATTATACCAAGCAGGTCGACAGCAATGCGCAACCATAGACTAATACATACGGGAGTGCGTGCTTGGGCTTGCGGACGGTGCCCGAAGAGGTTCCGAATACGTTCCGATCTACGCACGCACGTCAGACTCAAGCATCCGGCTTACTTGGCTGTTATAGAGGTTAGTAATTTTTTTATAGTATAGGAGACAAACGACCTTGCGGCTCACCTATTATCTGTCTTTACATGTTACGCTACTTCACGCCAGGACAAAAGCACCACAGACATCACATTATAATATGATTTTTTTAATTAATGACACGGGAATGCTATCTTGCGTTTAAGGTTTACGCTGCGTGGGCGCCAGTGGAGGATGATAAGATGAACATGAATTTAGGTCAGTTAGCACATTGTGGTAAATTCACCATAAATATACCGCGATGGTTTGCAGGGGGAACCGCGTGGAGGCAGGTTGACCTCCTGCTCATTGTCCTGTCCTGGTCATTTAGTACATTGCTAACAATGGAGTGATTAGTTCTCATTACTGACAATTCGTTTCGTATATTATGTCTGTATGTATTTACAAAAAAATGTACTTAAGTGTCTATAAACTGTATAGTTAAAACTCTGCTTAGTTTGGGACTAGATGACCCTCAATGAATTGGCCTGATTTATTAATAACTAGCTGTACCCGCGACTTCGTCCGCGTGGAATTTAACTTTAATTTTCTAAAACAAAAGATTTTTCTAAAATAAAAGTAACCTAAGTTTCTCCTTATTACTTCAGCTGAAGTAATAAGGAGAAACTGCCAAAAAAAGTCCCATCAAAATCGGTCATGCCATTTCAGAGATTAGCCGGAACAAACAGACAGACAAAAAAATTGTAAAAAATGTTATTTTGGTATATGTACCGTATTTATATTCATGTAGTAAAAAACTGTTATTTCAATATTACAACCAGACACTACAATTTTATTTATATATATAAATTAATATTGCAGGTTGTGGGTTTGAATCCGTCGCCGGAAGAGGTGATGGAACAATATCCCACAAGAGAAAGTGTTAAAATGTCAAAAATATGTTGTATTTTAAATTGTAATATAAAGTGAGATTATTAATTCAATATGACATTTCCACAAGAGTGATGTGGTAGAGTTTTTACAATTAGAAATAATCAATATCAATTTGCCTTTATATAATGTTCGTTTAATTTCTCTGAATCTCTTTTTAATAAATAATGTTGTATGTTTTATATGTTGTATCGTTTGTTTAAATATTAAAAATGTCTTCGAATATAGTATCAGTGACAGTTGCATTTGTCATTTTACTGACTGGAATTAATAATCGCACTTTAGAATGATCACTGTACTATAGGAAACAAATACACTAAACAATGGCTGCAGTCATTTGAATGAAACTTTCATTCAATACGTTGCTAAACGTTGGTCAGCATATAAATGTGTCTATAAATAATATTGAAATCTAGAATTACATCATCCTTACTTCCTTACTAATATTATAAATGCGGAAGTAACTCTGTCTGTCTCGCTTTCATGCCAAAACTATAGAATCGATTTAAATGAAATTTAGTACACAGATAGTCTAGAACCTGAACATATGGACATAGGCTACTTTTTAATCCGAAAAAAGTGTTGCAAAGGGGAGATGAAAGTTTATTTGGAAATAAATTTACGCTAGACGAATGTCGCGGTTGACCTAAGTTTGCTTTAAATCAAATCTACCGACAAGAAACTCAGGTCTTTTTTTCATCAAATGAGATTGTTACAATATTTTCGCATTACAATCTCAACCTCGGTGTTATAAACAATGACGACCTCGGTGGACTAGCGGTCAAGCACACCCTTTCATATATCGCGGGTTCTTTCGCACGGCACAAACATTTTATACATTAAAAAGCTAATGATCATTTGTCATCGGTCTAAACTATGAAATGTATAATATGTATGTATTTACAAAAACGAAAAATATCTATGTATCAGTTATCTGATAAATCAAATCTAGCTAGCTTAACTCAGGTCTAGATTTGTTGAATTTCAAATGAGATTATTATATTATTATTTGAAATACCATTCAAAAATATAGATTTATTTCTAAATTCACTTACGGAGAATGCAATGACCACCAGCAATGTTATTGTATTTTCCTCAAAAGTAATAACCAAGTCAGCAGCCGTTTACGAGTATGACGGACGAGCCAGCAATTATAATACTCGTTCAAATAAAAGATAATCTATATATTAATACGTATAGCAAAAACTTGTACCTACATACAAGTAAAAGCAAAAGTTCAAAGTCTTCGTGTATCGTTGCTGCTATCCCCTATATCTGCATCTTATTTGTGGCATATGTAATGTGTATGGTGGTATGTCCCCAGGGTACACGAAGCCTGGTGCCGAGCAGTGCGCGCGCGCTCTCTCTGCTGGGTGGTGTTCCTCGAACGGTGACCTGCAGCCGGCCGCTACTACCGTACTCTGGTTAGTTTTCGATAGTAGAATAGAATAAAATAGAAAATAATTTATTCAAATAAAATTAACTTAAGCACTTTTGAATAGTCATAGTTATAATTTAGTAAAATTTAGTCTACCGCTCATTCGGAAAGCTGTCTCATCACAAGAAGAATGAGCTAGAACCTTGTGTCCTCTTTTGAATAATCGTTATAACATTACATTTCCAATTCGAAACGTGCTAATACAAACCCCAACTAGCACATATTTTAATAAATTACTGCTAGTTTAGTTTATTTTATTATATTTAAGTCACACTAATCTGTGACTTAAATATAATAAAATAATTTGTTAATAAATTGCTAGCAATGTCAGGTTGACCTCAAGCTACTTGCTTTAAACATGACGATACTTTCATACAACTTTTCATCCCTTTCAGCCCGTTACAACCCTTTTTCGTATTAAAAAGTAGCCTATGTTAAAAATGACGATACTTCCATACACCCTTTCATATATCCCTTTCAGCCCGTTACAACCCTCTTTCGCATTAAAAACTATGTAATTTCTCAGGGTCTAAACTATCTGTCTACCAAATTTTATTTAAATCGCTCCAGTAGTTTTGACGTGAAAGCGCGACAGACAGACAGACAGAGTTACTTTCGCTTTTATGATATTAGTAAGGAAGTAAGGATTTTCAATTTCTGAACGTTCAAATTTATAATGTATAAAGGTATGGTTAACATTTGTAGAAAGTCAGCCGGCTCGCCGTGGAAGGGGTATAGCTAAGAACCCGAGAAGACCCAAGATCCTGCAGCGCGGTGGTACACCCCCATCGGAGCCCTGCAAGTACCCCATGACGTTGGCAGTCACCGGCGAGGTATCTTTACACCTTTAGTTTTTTTTTCGGATTACCACTCCATTATTATCCATAAAAAAAACTCAATAGCTTACTGGTGCTCACTCTACTGTTGGTGGTCACTAGATTCTCAATCTATAGATATAAGTTCAATCTGGTGGCAGCGTGTTAGGAAGGACCAATGTCTGTAATATGGTGGGCTCATCCGTCATACTCGTGAACGGATGCTGCTTGTAGAGACTGGTCTGTAGCCTATTTCCATTTGACAAAATTGCAATAGCATATGTTGTGGTCACTTTATTCTCCCTTATTTGAATTTAAAAATTATTTTTTAATTTTGAAACAAACACATTTGAAAATAATAAGAGCTAAGTTTCTTGTCATTTCTTCTCAGCTCGAAAGCACTCTGGTAGATTTTTTTTATTGATGGTAATGGAATGGTGCACCCGCCTGTACTAATGATTTATGCTGGCGGGGAGTGAAGGATGATAAGATGAGCATGAGGTCAGGTCAATTAGCCCATAGTGACAAATTCACCAGGAATTTATCACAATGGGTTCCAGGGGGCAACCGCATGGAGGTCAACCTGATATGGTACATTGCTACATATTATAAAAGTCTGTAATAGACCTACATGAATAAAGATATGATTTGATTTGATTGTTCATTCCAGGATTTAACAGAAGCAGATGTCCAACTGCTGTTGCGCGACGGTATGCTGGTGAATGGTAATCAGATGGTGCAGCTCGGTCTTGACGATAACATGCTCACAGAGTGAAGATGACACATAATATATGGGAATTAAGAATATAAAGAGGGCAGCACATTATCATATACTCGTATGAGTAGTATTTGATACTCTACAACAATTAAAAATTTTGTTAACTGTGGTTTGTTTTTTATTTATTATTATTATAATGTAGCTAGTATGTACATGAGACTTCATCCGCATGGAATTTAATTTTGCTTTTCTAAAATAAAATAGCCTAAGTTATTACATCAGCTACTTGCCAAAAAAAGTCTCGTCAAAATCAGTCAAGCCATTTCTGAGATTAGCCGGAACAAACAGACAGACAGACAAAAATTGTAATAAATGTTATTTTGGTATATATACCGTATTTATATTAATATGCATGTAATAAAAAACGGTTATTTCAATATTACAAACAGACTAATTTTATTTATATATAAATACTAGCTGTCCCGAAAAGATGTTTTGCCATGTATCGCTATTAAAAAAATAGGGGTTATTGGTAGAACGGTGAAAATATAAAGTTGTATCTATTTTTTAATGCCACATTGTAAAAAAAAATCAAATAGAATCAGATACATAAATAATTGTACCCATAATATTTTACTAAGATTGTAAACGCGAAATTTTGTGATTATAGATGGATGTAGGTTTGTTACTCTTTCATGCAAAAACTGAACTGATTATGATGGAACTTTACGTTAATATAGGTTACATCAGAATTACACAGGCTGTAAATTTCACGCGTAACTGCAGGCACAGCTTATTTATAATGTTAGTAAGACTATTTATAGTTCGCCAATACAATCATTATTCAAATAATTTTATTGACGTTTCCCTCTATCTATTAAAATTTACACTTTAATTTGACCGCGCACATACATACATTATCAATTAATCAGCAGTCATTAATATTATCAGATAAATGTTTGATAAATGGTCATCGTATCATAATTTTTATGACAGTGATTTCCCGTATCTTTTATATTTTAAGTGCATTAAATAAAATCATTCAGTTGTAAAAATAATAATATATGAATAATATATTTATTTACACATTAGAAATGAAAGCGTCGTTCCATATTTGAAAACTGAAGTTTAGTGTGTAAACATGCTATTGAAATTTTGCGAAAGTTCCAAATAGATGTGTAAATATTTGAAATTCGAATGGAATTAAAATTTCCTTATTACAGTGAAAATTCATGTGCAAAAAACCAGTCAATCTGAAAATAAATGTGTACTTATTTTCTCTTCTGGCTCCGGTAGTGTGTTTCTTAAAATAATATTTAAATTTGGAATTGAAATACCCTTATGACAGTGAAATCAAATGTGTTTTTTTTGGAAATTACACTATCAAATTCATAAAATACAAGACATTTTCTTGCTTTTTTTTTTAACTAGTGAAATCAATAGTGTTTTTTTTTAATTACACTAATAAGTTCATGAATTAATAAAAAATTTTTTCTTGTTTATATTTAAACTACATATTAACACTAAAATGAGATTTCTGGTGCCCTGTCTGCCTGATCCTAATGAAGATGGCGGGAGAACGAAGAGGATTGACAAGGATATTAAAAATTGGATTAAACCTTACAATGATGTAAGTTTTTTTAATGCTGTTGGCCGCAGCTGGCCTTTATAGCTTCACCTCACGATAGGGGGCGAGTCCAAACCAAAAGAAGGACTTATAGAACGCCTAAAGGGCAACTCCCGCCTGACGGATACGACTTTAGTCTGAGGATACCGCTAGGGGTTTGAACCTCGGATCAGGGCGTTGTAATTTCGATCCCCGTTTGAATTGGACGGGGGATCGATCGAAGGGGAGGGTGTAAGTAATAATGGCTTAAAATGGAATGGCGGGATACCAGTGGAGGATGGTAGGATAAACATGAGGTCAGGTCAGTTAGTAATAAATTCACCAGGAACTTATGATTGTCAGGACAGGTCGCGTGGAGGTCAACGTGACATGGTACATTGCTAGCAATGGCCCATCAGTCCACATTCCTAACAATTCCTTCCCCTCTCTCATGTAGTTAGGAATGGTATAATAATAATAATAAGTTATAGTCACGACTATTATTCTAGTTGGGGTAGACAGAGGCATTGTCCACATTTCGCTTGGTTTAATTTTTGGGTTTGTTATTAGTGTTTTCTTCATTGGAGCATCAGTTTGTTAATTTAAATTAATATATTTTTTTTTATACTACTATGTTGGCAAACAACCATACGGCACATCTGATGGTAAATGGTTACCGTAGCGTATGGACGCCTGAAACACCTGGTATGTCACGTGCGCGTTGCCGACCCTAAATTGTTTTTTGGCATTTTGGTTTGGATTTGAATTTGCTACCTTTTGGTATAAGTACTAGTAGTAAACCACGAGGCTTCCACGCTCTATTTTCCAAATAAAATATAGGGAAAATAACACGGTCAGTGGCTCGGTTCTGTATCGGCTTAGTTGTTCTACGATATCAGTTAACATAACAAACAAATGACTCATATCAATATTATGGCCCCGGTGCGGTGGTCTAGTGGTTTAGTACACAGCCTTATTTCCGGTGGTCGCGGGTTTTACCCCCACATTGTACAAATATTTGTATTCCTGTAAATATTGTTTGTATCTGTTAATAACTCTTTAGTTCATGTAAGGAAATATAAATTTGAATTCTACGTGACATCTCAAAAACATTAGGAAATAAAGGACTGTAAATTTAGACTTCATTGTGAATATATTAACATATTTTACTACGACGAACGAACCTAATAATTAAATATCTATATATATATATATATATCATATATATATTGGGTTTACTGTACTGCCCGATATTACTATCAGTCTGGGTGTTTTGTACGTATATGTGAGTATTAAAAAAAATTGATCTATGTAATTATATCAGTTATCTTGTACTCATAACACTCTGCTTAGTTTGGGACAAGATTACCATGTAAATTGTTCTTAGATAAAATATTTTTTGGGGCCTCGAACTACAGTTACGCCACTGCATGGGAATGTATCTCGGTCTATATTACTTGTTAAACAAGAGTCATTGATTATTGTGCAACTTTTTGATATCTCAAATCTATTCCAAGATACGTAATCTGAAAATCCTAAAAGGTTCTTTACTTTTCATGAATCATGAATTGATTGTGTGACTTTTCAGGAAGGGGACAACTCATAGAACAACTAAAAGGTAGTGTTAGGGAAAAAATGGGAAAACGTTAGGTTAGAACTTAATTTATTAATAAAACTAGCTAACGCTGTACCGCCTCAGAATTAATTATGTCAAAGGTTATTTGAAGTTTAGTTACGCAATAAATTTCTGAACGCACCCTGTTTGACAGGTAGGAACAGTTTGTATTGGAAAATAAAATTGTTGTTTTTACCATTTTCTATGCAATATATTAATTTTTACTCACCACTTAAACATTCCTTGGAATTTTACAAATATTTAAAAACCAAAATTAGCCAAATCGTTCCAGACGTCCTCGAGTTTTAGCGAGACTACAAAACATCATTTCATTTTTATATATAAGAAAGAAGAAAGATGTTTTTGTAAATATGGTTTTGTGTTCTGAACATTTGCACAACAAGGGGAATTCAAATGATACCAATTTCGCCATTTATATTATGTTCGTTCTAAGCAGAAATTCTAAGATACTGGGTGGGACAGGTAATTCTTTAAAGGTTACATTTTTATAATATTTTGTTTTTATTTTTATTTTATATTGTACTAGCTACTCTCCCCGGCTTCGCACATGTATTATAATACATATACACCCATGCGAAGCCGTTAAGTAGTTAATTTAAGAACTGTCCTCTTGTCGGTAGAACTTCCGCCACCTTCCACGATCGTCTATCAATCTTTTTAGCTGTTGATATACACGACTCCAACTTTTTCTTTTTTTTACACGGGTGTACATGTATTATACATATAAACCTTCCTCTTGAATCACTCTATCTGTAAAAATAATCGCTTCATAATCCGTTGCGTAGTTTTAAAGATTTAAGCATACATAGTGACGGACAGACAGGGACAGCGACTTTGTTTTATAGAATAGAATAGAAAATCATTTAATCAAATAAACTTAATTTAAGCACTTTTGAATAGTCAACATTTTTTTAAATCTTGTGTGTCACAAGAAGAATAAGCAAGAAACTTGTGTGTTGCTCTTTTACTATGTAATGACTACTAACATAGGATAAGTTATATTATTAAGTTGTTACTAACAAAATGGACCATGTTGTTAGAAAATAAATTATAAAAAAAATCTATATTTGACGGCCTCGGTGGTCTAGCGGTTTAGCACACCGCCTTACTTCCGATGGTCGCGCATTCCTCGCACGGCACAAACATTTGTATTCATGAGTACGATTGTTTGATCGGTCTGGGTATTTTCTATGTATTTACGAAAAAAAAACATATCTATGTATAATATTTGTATTAGTTTTCTAGTACCCTAACCACAAGCTTTAGGTAGCTTAATTTGGGTCTAGATGGCACTGTGTGAGATTCTGAAATTATTTATTTATTATTTATTATTATTATTCTTCCGCTTGAATCGCCTCTGCTACTGTTATTGTTGTTATTTAGTACATGATAATGCTGCTGTTGGAAACTGCAGCTGCGGTAAGCCATTAATCATTAATTCGTTAATCCAATTATCGGAACATTAGAACGTTAGATAAGGATTATATTTAGTTAATCTATTGTTAATCCGTGTTTATATACATATACATACATAGGTTTTGCGTGGAACCATATAGCAAATGAAACACCGTTATGGCAGAATAAGACGTAAATAAAATGAAATGTATGGAAGGGGACTAGCTCCAGTAATGTCTAACAATACGCTACTGTCACCGGAAACTGACGATATCCGGCTGGCAACATAGTGATGCGTTTAGGGCGATATCTCAAGTCCCTCAGAGCGACCTTGCGAGATAAATTATAAATTCTGAACTATCAAAATGAGTGACTGAACAGACTCTGTTGGTGATGCGATATTTTGATGTACATGAATAGATACTTTGATGAGAAATGTTGTTCAGCATTACATATTTAACATTTTGTATGAATATAAACTGCCAAATAGCAAGTTTTACAAAGTATTCAACTATAGTCTCTATTTGAATGATGACACTGTGCTAGTCGTTCCGGCTATGACGACCGCTTCAAGGATTCCCATGCCTTCCATGTGCCCTCATGTGACTACCATATCTCAAAAACTACAGGTTAGAATTGAATTTTTTGTGTTGGATAGTCCATTACGCTACGACCAATAGAAGCGAAGCATCAGTGAAAATATTGCAAAAACGGGGTAACCGTGTAAACGAAGTCGCGGGCACAGCTAGTCCTGTTATAATTATAAAATTTCGCGCACATATTGGGCATTTAAATAACAAAGTTATAAATGAAGGATGTTAATATAATTTCTATATCTATTTCAGGCAATAAAACTACTGCTTTTGGGTACAGGCGAAAGTGGAAAGACAACTATAATAAAGCAAATGAAAATATTGCATATACAAGGATTTTCAGTGAGGTAATTTACTTGAAATTACTGTAATACTTGTTGTATACTTGATATATACCTAGGGAAAGAGGAGTGACATAATTGACGATTGGGCGATAGCCAAATTATTATATTTTAATTCAAAATGATCGCCCCTAATCGTGCATGACTATAGCCGGCTTAGCCCTTTGACATAGGGACCGAGAAGTCACGTAATTCGCGACCGGAACAGCGCCGGTCTGGAAAACGGTTCTAAAAATTATTTTATCATTAGTCCACATTATACCCTTCCCCCAACAATGGGCCTATTACTTCCCCATAACTTAAAAACTCGTCCCAGACGACTCAGTTGACAATGCAGGGACATTACAGGGCGTCTACCCTATTTTGTGTAGTCTAGAACAGTTTTTCCCAAAGTAGGCGGTAATGCCCCCTTGTGGGCGCTGCAGCCTTAAAGGGAAGCGATAGAGCGGAGACCCAGAAAAAAATGGGGACGTTGTGCAGAGACTTGGGGGGTGATGAGCTCTCAACTCTCAATCTCTAGAAAGTATACAATTATATGGGGGCCTGTGTAGTCTACCGGTATTGCACATTACTTTACTTTCGATGGCCGTGAATTTGATTCCTCGCACGGTATCAAATCAGATCAAAATATCTTTATTTATGTACAGATAATTAAATATTACAGACTCTTATGATATGTCAAATCTACAGTCAGTTCAGAGTGTTCTTGAGCTCAAAAGGCACAGTACAAATATTTGCATTCATGAATATGATTGTATTGATCTATTGTTTGGTTTCTATGTATATTACGTATGTATTTACATAAGAAAACTGTATTTAAGTGTTTATATCAGTTGTCTAGTACCAACGGCGGATCCAAAGCTCAGGGGGGGGGAGGTCATGACGATATATATATTTTTAAGTACAGTACTTACGTACATTAATAAAATACCTACTTTTTACTTGTATCTATTGTTATCAAAATTAAATTATAAGTTCTTGACTTGACCACGACTAAGTGACCCTCTCCTGGCGCCAAATCTGGATGCCTTGTCTAGTACCTATAACACAAGCTTGCTTAGCTTGGGACTAGATGGCGCTGTGTTAATTGTCCAGGGGTATTATTATAATTATATTTATTCCAGTGACCGGGAAGAGAAGGTAAAACATATAAAACACAACATACACGAGTCAATATATGACATAGTACGCAACATGAGCGCACTCAGCATTGGATTGCAGAATATAAAAAATGTTCAAGCCCAGCAGTACATATTGAAATGTGGGTCGGACGGACCCCCGGATTTTACGGAGGTAAATATATATTTTATTAATGGATGGTAATGGAATGGTGTGGGGGGAAAGTGGATTGTTAGTAATGGGGTCTAGTGTCACCATTGCTAGCAATATACCATATCAGGTTGACTTCCACGCGGTTCCCCCTGGAAACCATTACGTTAACTTCCTGGCGAATTTTCCACTATGGGCTAACTGACCTGACCTCATGCTCATCTTATCATCCTCCACTGTTGCACCTAGCTAGGGCTAGCGTAGCGTGTATCATTCCATTATCATCCATGAAAAAAAAAATGGATTTGTGCATCCGCCTACGCTAACGGTATACGCAGTGGAGGATGATAAGAACAGTCAGGTCATTTCACGCAAAAACTAATACAGATATTAATAAAACTTTACAGTAATATAGCTTATACAACAGAATAAAACATAATAAGATATGTTAAAGCAAATATTAAAAAAGTAGTTTTTGCTATTTCCGATCAACAGGCGCTGTTCTTTTTTATTATTTTGATACCTTCATGTTTATATGCATTATTACTGCTTCTTATTACATGTCTAGTCATTACCTAAATCTCTAATCTGTATAGAAAGTAAAACTGCGAAATTAAATGTATTGTTAACAAGTGTATGTATACAAATATATGAATTCAAATTAGCAGTATCTCACTAAATACATATTAAAGTATACACTTTAATTATATCAAAAAAGTAATTAAAAACGAATTGTCTGTCTCTTTATTTGTACTTGATAACCTCTAAACTGGCTGGACCGATTTTACCTGACTCGATTGTTATAAGGAGGTTATAATTTGGGATACTTTTATTTTAGATATTTTATTTTGATAAAAAAAGGTAAATAAACGAATCGCATATTTATTTAATATAAGGGTACTCTGCTTCCAGGAATACTATGACTACGTGAGAGCTTTATGGAAGGATGGAGGTGTGAGGGAGTGTTTCAACAGGTCCAATGAGTACCAGCTTATTGACAGCGCACAATAGTAAGTACGATCGCCATGACGGGCCTGGCAGCACTTGATACTACCATGTATTTTACGCACACACACACACACTCATAATACTATCATATTATATATGTGGTTTGCTTATACTATATGTATGTATGCTTATAATATGTTTGAATGTACATTATTATGTACTACCTGTGTTCACACGCAAATTTAGCCTATATGTTATTCTGGTGCATAAGCTGTATTACTGTAAATTTTTATTAAAATCCGTTAGTATTTTTTGCGTGAAAGAGTACAAACATCCATCCATACTCACAAATTTTCGCGTTTATAATATTAATAAGATAATTTTTTAGAATACCTTATATACCTTATTTGTGAAATGATGGTAAGACCTAGGATGTAGCGCGCTTACCCAAAGAAATCTATTCATCTTGAAGAATCCGGGGTTGTATATCTCCGGGAACACGAACGCTGTTACCATTCTTTGGCAGTTTATAATATTAATAAGATGATGTAGAGATGAAGTCCTACTGTTCGTCATGTAGTTCTGCGATTATATTAATTAAAAATAATATATTATGTACGCTTATATTTATAACTATTTAGGTAATGTCTTAATCTCAATAATATTATAACTTTACAGTAATATAGCTTATGCATCAGAATAAGATAGGTACAAGCTATATTTTTTATTGAAATTTAAGATGGATGAAACCGCGGGCACAGCTGGTATTATGAAATTTTATGAACTAAACCGACTTCGAGTATCTTTGCACTCCCTAAGATTGGCTGGTTATTCTCTACCAGACTACATTAACACTCTCACTGCCATGGGATCCGCTGGCGGACCCCATTTGAGTACAGAGGGCCGTTTTTATTTTAAAGAAACATTAACAACAGGCCGTGGGTGTCGCCAGCCGCCCACAAAACATTTAGTCCGAATTTGCCAGTGACGCCAACAATAATAATTGTCAGTTTACAGCGTGCTCAAAGCATTATTAACTAGACTAGACGCTGGCGGACTCTGGCGAATGGCCTGCTGTAACATTTTTTCATTTCACGTCGTCGTCACTTCAAATTAAATGCACCAGAATGCACCGTTGGCCCCCGCCGGCGGACTACATGGCTTGTTCAACTGGAAGCATGCTATATATTGCTGGCAGTGAGAGTGTTGTTGTATTTATTGTACAAAATTCAATAAACTTCAAATAAATAATATTCTTCTGTTTATTTTTAAAGTCTATGATCAAATTGAGAATAAATTAATATTGTTTGTCTTTATTATTATTTGTTTACACACTTCATTCATTCATTCATAATTTAATAGCGACGCTCTTGTCGGTTGAGCTCTTGCCACTTTCTACGATCTTCCATCATCCTCTTCAAACCTTGATACGACATTCTACATAGTTACTGATTGATAGATTAATAATAGACTTTAGTTTAATATAAGCTATGTTTTTTTTTCAGTTTTCTGGATAGAATAGATCTCATAGAAAAAGCAGACTATGTACCATCAGATGCAGATATATTAAGGTGTCGACAGAAGACTACTGGAATACAGAAAATCGAGTTTAAAGTTAAGGTGAGTTCTCAGTTTTGGTCCAATTCAAACGGGGTTCGAAATTACGACGGCCTGAGCCGACGTTCAAACCTCTAGCGGTGCCCTCAGACTAAAGTCGTATCCGTCAGGCGAATTTAGTCTGAGTTGGCCTTCAGCCGCTCCATAAGTCCTTCCGCGGGTTTGGTGTGCCATCCGCACTCGTCATCGTGCGGTGGAGCTGTAAAGGTCAACTTTGACCAACAGCATTGGAATAGTTCAAAAAATTAATACGTGTTACATCCTCAGGTACCTAAAACGATGCAGGGGGGCGTCCAAGACTTCTGGATGTTCGACGTCGGTGGGCAGAGGGGGGAGAGGAAGAAATGGATACAGGTAGATATCAGATGAAAAACAAAATAAAAAAACTGAACGATGCATATGAGTTCATAAGATCCTAATTTTTTATTTTTGACGGTCTCGGTGGTCTTGCGGATTAGCTAACCGCCTTACTTCCGATGGTCACGTGTTCGATTCCTCGCACGGCACAATCATTTTGTATGATTGTTTGTATCGGTCTGGTGTTTTTTAAGTATAATGTGTATGTATTTACGAAAAAAAAATATCTATGTATCTATTTGTATTAGTTATATAGTACCTACCTATAACACTAGCTTTAGCTAGCTTAACTTGGGTCTAGACGGCGATGTGTGAAAGGCGATTTAACTTAACTTTATAACATTCAACAGGTTTTCGAGGGAATCCACGCCATTTGGTTCCTGGTGGCTTGCAGCGACTTCGACCAGACCTTGAGAGAAGATGAGACACAGAACAGGCTGAAGGAAGCACTGGTGTTATTCGAAGATGTCTGGTTAAGTAGGTCAGTATATGCGTAAAGAAATATGACTGGTAGACTTTGTAAGAACTCGTCGGCGTGTGTACCTTAGTCTCACTTATTACAGCAACTTGCTTTGTAAGTTTTGTTTCTGTTTTTAATGTATGATAATGAAATGGCGCACAAATGCATTTGTCCACATTACTGTATATAGTAGTGAAATTATAGGGTATAGACTAGTGATTCCTAATTAGTTTTTGCTGCGTACCACTTCAAAAAAGACCTCAAACCTTGTGTACCCTTTATTGTACCAATCACACTAATATTATAAATACGAAAGTTTGTGAGTGTGTGTATATGTTTGTTACTTCTTCTCAAACGCCTGCGGGAACAAAACGAAGCGGGAACAGGTGACGGGTGGCGAGGCCAGCCGAATGACGAGATGCGGTAGGCGCGTGATAGCGCACGGTTGGTCACAATGCTCCGTGCTCCGTGCTTTTACGATGTTGATCGTTATAAAATAATATAAAAATAGCTGCACATACCCCTTGATGCAACTTCACGTACCCCTGGGGGTACACGTACTACTAATTAGGAAACACCGGTATAGAGTATAGAGGCATGATATAGTCCTGAACGGCTACACAGGAGTGAACTAAAGTGTCATATCTTAGTGGGAAAAAAATTAATACAAAAAATTTCACCTACATAAGCTAAATGTCCTACATGAATCACTTATTTTTGATGTGATTTGAGTGCACAGGAACAGTAATGCATGAATTGTTCTCAGGTTTCTGCTGCGGGCCGGTCTGATAGTGTTCCTTAACAAGCAGGACCTGCTGCAGAACAAGATCTCTCAGGGTCGCTCCATCGGCGATTACTTCCCTGATTACCAACAGTACTCGGCACAAGGCGATGAGTACAATCGCACCAAGTTATTCATCAGGAGTATGTTTGCTGTAAGTCGATTTTTTTGTATTATATCCGGTAGTTGATTCTTTTTTCCGTTTGCCTTGGGATTGTTTACTCATGCCAAAGAATGCAAAGAAAATTTGTTGATTTTGATGACATAGGTATACCCTTGCCTGCAAAAAATCTGTATGTCTTCAAAAAGCTGGCCAATTCTAATTATGTCCCCCCTGCGAAGCGCTAGACGGTAATATATTTTGGTAGCGAGCTCCTGATAATTTTTACTCATTTTGCCTAAAAATAAAAAAAAATCGTTGATTTTGATGAGATATTACCCTTTCCTGTAAAAAATCTATATCTCTTCGAAAAATTGTCCAAATCTAATAGAATTTCTCTGTGGCGCGCTAGACGGCAACTGATTTTGGGAGCGCTATCCCGCTCTGGCAATTTGTTTGTACTTTTTATAATAAATGTGCAATTGGCGAGCTTAATGCCATATGGCAATCTCTAGCAGCTAACCAATTGAAAGATTGTTAGTAATCGGGAATCTATCAATTGTTTTCTGGTGATGGTTGATACACACACCGCCTTCTTAAACTAGGCTGGGGCCCTTGGGCACACAAGAATTCGGGGCCCTTTTAGAAAGTAAAAAAAAATAGGAATAGGCAAAGTAATCGGTATAATGGCGTAGTATATGCCTTGTAAATACCTTCTGATAACATTACTGATTTGTGAAAAAAGTGTAGTGTGCCCGATAAAAATCTTTTGAAAATAAATGTGTGAGAAAAATTGTCAGTCCTTCGGGGGCCCCCCTGAGAATGGGGGCCCTGGGTAAGGCCCCGTGTGCCCTTATGGTAAAGACGGTATTGGATACACCCGCCTGCGTTAACGGTCGACGCTGGGGGGCCCCAGTGGAGGATGATAAGATGAGCATGAGTTCAGGTCAGTTAGCCCATCGTAACAGATTCACCTGAAATTTAGATAGATAGATAGATATATCGTTTATTTGTTTGTTACTAGTCACACTATTATATATTTATCACGATGATTTCCAGGAAACCGCGTGGAGGTCAATTTGACATGGTACATTGCTACAACGCGACAGACAGAGTTACTTTCGCATTTATAATATGAATAAGGCAATAAAGATAAGGATATTTGAACATTCTTTGTATACCTATGTATTATTGCAGGATATAACAAAGAAGAAGCGTGAAAGGAAACCAATGGCAGCGTCGACCGAAAGTTTCGTTATCCAAGAAGTGAACCGACCGAGGGAGTGTTACTTCCATTTCACAACCGCCACGGACACCGACAACGTCCGTACGGTGTTCAAAGATGTGCATCAGATGATTTTAGCAGAGATATTATCAAATATTGGTGTTTACTGAACGATTTCAACGAGAAATTACAGGTTATATAGGTATTATACCTGTTTGTTTTATAGGGAGCGTAATAAATAAAATCTGTATAGGTATATAAAAATGAATTGCTGTTCGTTTGTGTCGCTAAAACTCGAGAACGGCGGAACCGATTTCGCTAATTTTAATCTTGAAATATTCGTAGAAGTCCAGGAATGGTTTAAACGGAGATAAAATATGAAGAAATTGCTTAGACAATAGTAAAAACGACAATTTAATTTCTCATACAAACAGCTGATACCTGTCAAACGGTGTGCGTTCAGAAATTTATTGCGTAACTGAACTTCAAAAAACCTTTGACGTATTTCATTTAGAGGCGGAACGAAGGACGCGGGTTCAGCTAGTAAATAATAAATAACCCTGGACAATTCACACAGCGCCATCTAGACCCAAGTTAAGCTAGCTAAAGCTTGTATTACGGGCACTAGATAACTGATACAAATACGTAGATTTTTTTCGTAAAAGCATACATATTGTACATAGAAAACTCCCAGACCGATATAAACAATCGTACTAATGAATACAAATATTTGTGCCGTCCGTGGAATCGAACCCGCGACCATCGGAAGAAAAGGGGTGTCCTTTACCGTTAGACCACCGAGGCCGTCAAATAAATACAAGCGCGAGCAACTTTATTTTCCTTAGCTTCACATCGTTACTAATATTATAAATGTGAAAGTATGGATGTTTGTTATGCTTTCACGCAAAAACTACTGAACCGATTATCATGAAATTTTGTACACATGTTCTTGGAAGTATTAGAATGAACATAGGATTTTTAAACATAAAAAACATAAAAAAAATATCAATATTTTGCAACTTCAGCGCCATCTAGCAGCCAGTAAAGAAGTTATGCGAGCGAAGCCGCGGGTAAAAGCTAGTACTGTATAAATCATAGTTGAAATCAAAACGCCATGATGGTATTTAGTCATCTCTCTAAAAATATTTTTATTCTTAAAACAAATGAATGCGTAACGTATTCAAAATTCAAAATAAATACAAAAGAGGTTTTATGTCTCCTACAAATATTAATGCTTGGTGCTTCAGGCGTCCATAGGCTACGGTAACCATTTACCATCAGATGGGCCGTATGCTTGTTTGCCACCATAGTATATACTACTATGGTGGCAAACAAGCATACGGCCCATCTGAAAAAAATATGCATTTTATTATACGTCATACTCGTGAACGGGTCAATGTGCTCTCTCTAATATGAGTGCAATGATGGCTGACTCATCGGTCATACTTGTGAACGGGTATGAAAAATAGATAGTAGCCTATTCTCAGAAGTACTGAATATGCATATAAATTTTCATAAAAATCGGTCAAGCCGTTTCGGAGGAGTATGGTAACTGACATTGTAACACGAGAATTTTATATGTAAGATTATACTATATTATACCTTAGCGACGTTACTTGGTAGAAGTTAATAGGCAGTAGAAATTAATAATAAAAAATATAAAATTTCAAAACTAGCTGTTTAATCTGGCATGATGGATTAGTCCGCCATATTGGATTCAGTGTAACGACATTTTTTTTTTACTTCTTTTGGACGACATGTTATATATCGTAAAACATTAAAAACAAGTTATGAATCCGCCATATTGGTGTACGAACGACGCCATTTTGTTTATCGTATTACCAATCCTCTTTATTTGTTAGGACCTATTTAATTAAAGTGTATTGAAATTAGCTAGTCCGCCATTTTCTAATCAAATCCAATTTAGAATAACGTTTCTTAGCTGACATATATAACAGTAAATGATAATATCTCACATTATAAGTACTAGATAACTGATAAAAATACTGTACTTAAAATAATACTTATATAATAAAAACACAGGACAATTCATACAACGTCATTTTGTTCCAAGCTAAGCAGAGCTTCTGTTAATAGGTACTAGACAACAGATACAAATAGATATATTATTTTGTAATTAACACATGTTACTACCATGCGAGGAATCGAACCCGCAACCATCGGAAGTAAAGCGGTGTGCTAAACCGCTAGACCATCGAGGCCATCGATATTACAGATTTTCACCTAAAATTATCATGAAAACTTCATCGCGATTAGCACCTTAACAAACATAATAGAATAGAAAATCTTTTTGAATAGTCATAACAATTTGTTTTTTATCTACCACTCGTTCGGAAAGCTGTCTCATCACAAGATGAACGAGCAAGAAACTTGTGTGTTGCTCTTTTAAATAATCCTTGTAAGTTTACATTTACAAATCGAAACGTGTGAATACAAACTACCAACAAGCACTAATTTTTTGGGTCAAATATAAATATGCATTAAGATTAAATCAGTCGTAGTGATAAGAGCAGACCAGTAAATATTGTAAATTGTGTAAAAAAAATGTAAAAAGTAGTGTAACGTTCTCCATTAGGGGTTTAAATATAATATTGGTTTGTAATAATAAGAATACTGTATTTATTTATTTATAATAATAAATTTTAAAGATTGTAAATATAATTCTTTGTCTATATATTACATAGTTTTATTGTCCCCTCCGATCCATCCCCCATACAATTCAAATGGGTAATACCATTAGATTAGTCCTTTTTTTCAGACTACTCTAATGCTGTTGGCCGCAGCTGGCCTTTACAGCTTCACCGGACGATAGGGGGCGAGTGGAGATGGCACTCCAAACCAAAGGAAGGACTTATGGAGTGGCTAAAGACCAACTCCTGCCTGACGGATACGACTTTAATCTGAGGGCACATCTAGTGGTTTGAACTGCGGCTCAGACCGTCGTAATTTCAATCCCCGTTTAAATTGAACGGGAGATCGATCGGTAGATAAGTCCGAAAAACAACATTTTAAAATTTCTGTATCAACCAATCAGATCACTATAACTGTGTAGCTTACATAGTACTAGGTTGCGACGCACAAGAAAACATAACCGGCATGACTTAGCCGTGTTTTTTTCTATACCTATTCATTCAAGAAAATACCTGTATACTAAATTGCTCTGAGCTTTATTCAATTTAAAAAAAAAATCTGTCAAAATGTCGCTACCAGTTAAAAAAAACAAATCGCGCTCCTCAAGAGCCGGCCTGCATTTTCCGGTTGGAAGAATACACAAAATACTCCGTAAGGGAAACTTCGCGCCGAGGATTGGGGCTGGTGCTCCGGTGTACTTGGCGGCTGCTTTGGAATATCTCGCAGCTGAAATCTTGGAGTTGGCATCGGAAGCGGCCAGGGATAATAAGAAGGGAAGAGTCGTGCCGAGGCATATCCTGTTCGCAATTAGGAAGGACGAGGAACTGAACAGAATGCTAACTGGTGTGACGATTTCGCAAGGAGGCGTCATACCTCGTATACAACCTCAGTTGCTACCTAAGAAGACCGTTAAAAATAATACCACTACGTGAAACAGATAAAAAACATTAATTAAAATGTACTGTTACAATTATTGATGAAGGTTTCGTTGCCAGATTGACAAAGTCCCTCTCGGGACTGCTAATATATTGTTCCCTGTTGATAATGTCTTTATTATTAATTAAAATTTCTATTTTAAATATTTTGTTTGTTTACATATCATTATAATTTTATTGTCTTTGCCTTAAAATATTTATGTTGCATGAAAAAAAATAAAAAAATAATTATTAAAACTAAATTGACTTTCGTCGTGTAGATTGTTCAACGTAGACGAAGTGTGTAAAGTCTTAGTCGTGTTTTCTGGTAATAACTACACTTATTTTAGTAAATTTATGCATAAAATCATTGATAATTAATATTTGCTAATAATGCATAAAAGTCACTTAGGATCAGTGTGATATTTAATATATAGATCGTTAATTATATCCTAAATTAGCACAGCATAATTTGTCAACAAATCCCAGTTATATAATTTATGAACATACATACATTATTAATATGACGTTTAACCTCACAAGAAACAAATAATTGCGGTTCTTAAAAGAACCTTGTCAAAAAGCCAACCTAATTTAACCTAAAATCCCAATACCAAAGGTAAAAAAGGCGCGAAATCTACGCCCTTTCTCCTCTCACTCTTCGCGCCAACTGAATATCTTTTGGCATTATAGTAACTCTCTTTGCGTGGATTGCACATAGATTAGTATCTTCAAACAGCCCAACTAAATACGCTTCACTCGCTTCCTGCAGCGCCATCACCGCTGAACTCTGAAAGCGAAGATCCGTCTTGAAGTCTTGAGCAATTTCTCTTACTAATCTCTGAAAAGGCAACTTCCTTATCAACAGTTCGGTGCTTTTTTGATATCTTCTTATCTCACGCAACGCTACAGTGCCCGGTCGGTATCTATGTGGTTTTTTAACGCCACCGGTGGCTGGAGCGCTTTTTCTAGCTGCTTTTGTCGCTAGTTGTTTGCGTGGGGCTTTGCCGCCGGTTGATTTTCTTGCGGTTTGCTTGGTTCGCGCCATTTTGTGTCTGTGGTCGACTAAATCTTTTTGGTATTGCATGAGCGAGCAGGGAATTTTAATTTATACGCTGGCTATATGTCTATCCCTACCATTTCATTTTTTATATGCACAAAATGAAGGTAGTTGATAGTTTGTTATGAAATAAATAAAGTACCTACAAAGTAATATATAGATACCTCCTTAATTATGAAAACCAAACTTCTACAAACCAATTTAGGTAGACAGGATAGGTAAAGAATATTAATGCTACAATAAATGTAAGTGTAAGAATGTTTAGATATAAAAAAATGCAATAGGTACACTTTAACTCACAAAAGTAAAATTATTATTCTTAAAATCTATTGCAATGTTACGATTAGGTACATATCTACCTAAACTATGATTCTACACATAAATACAGTTATGTCCAACTTATTAAAGAAAGGACCGATTTTTTTTTATTAATATTCAGACTTCAGCTGCGATTAAAAACCGATTATGAGGTGTTTGTTTTTTGTTTAAAACCTTGTTTAGACGTCTTTATTTTTTTAATTTTATAATTATCACTACGTACCAGACTTATACATGACTATTTAATAATATATCAGTACAATGTTATATACATTTAGCACTGGCTTTCGAAATATGTATCTAACTTTGTGCCTCGAAAATAAGCTGTCGATTGCCATCCATGGAAAAAATATAAAAAAGTATAAATTAAAAAGTAATACAGGTTGTATTACTTTTTAATTTATACTTTTTTTATTTTTTTTTTCTCAAGTATGGCAACGCACGTATTTATTACCTGCCAGTTCTTATAGAATTATACAGTAATATTATGTCAATAAACAAATAACTCGAAAGACAAAACAATTCGTGAATGTACATAGGTATATTAGTTTGCAGTATTATGAATAAATGAGATACGGTTTTTATATGTAGCTTCGGTCTGTTCATAAAAGAAAAGAACAAAGCTATTGAACCATATTGGTTTTTAATAATATTTATATGAAGGGAGTACCTGCTAAGCAAAGTCGTGAAAAGTTTATAACAGTGTTTTTACAAAGTCGTCTGCGTGGGTGCCTATCTCTGCCTCGCTTATTTTAGCCGCCAAAGCATTGCTTTGTGAAATGGATTTCGGTTTGAAAGGTGATATATTTATATCATACATGATTAATGCAATAGTTGTTCATGCACGGGATTTTCATTTAATGTTAGACATAGATAACTATATGTATAAGATGTAAATAAACTGTTTTTTTTTTTATTCAATTGAGTTTCTTGCCAGTTCTTTAAATACATCTAATTAAAATTACTAGTAGTCGACAGTCGATCATAATTATTTGAAATTATAAGTTTATTATTAACGTATCAATTGTCAAAGATTCTATGCTTTTATAATCACAGACACTGGCAGTCGTAAATAAACAAAAGAGTATATATGTGTGTGTGTCAAATACATGGTAATGTGTGTAATGTTTTTTAAATTGATTTAATGTATTTTTAAAAATATTAGAATTCGCCACTCATTCTCTGTATAAACTATATTAGTCTGAGAAATTTCGAACTCCTCGGTCCACGCAATGAAGAATGTTAACTAATTTTGAATATTAGCTCTCTATATTCTCTGTCAAAAATTAAAAATATAAGTGAAAAAATTACTTCAATACGTCAATTAGTTTCTGATTTATAGAAGTAAAAATTTGTAAAAAGGTGTAGGTACTACGTTTTTGGTTCACTCTATACTTTGAATTAATATATGTGTTATCATTGTCGTCGATCTCATATTGTATTATTTTACTGATAAAGGCTATAACAGAATAGCAGAGAGGGTGGACTCACTGCCCTCACTGAGTTATACACCGTTATGTCTCCTTCATTAGTTTTAAATTATATTATTGTATGGGCAACAATTATATTAGTTTTTGTTTGAGACAAATAAAGATTATTATTATTATTGTTTTTTTATATATATATTATATATCTCCCTTTGATAAGGGTGTTAAACTTGTCATTGCGAGTGAATATCACCAAACAATGATAATTATAAAATAAACAATTACGATGACAAAAATTTGCGGACTATTCTACAGGTGTTTAGAATTACAGCTTTTTGGAGAAGTATGAAAGTAAGTGGGTGAAGTTGTAATATTTTGAGGCTAGCTTATTATTATTATTATTATATGTAGATATAGATAGACGTTATATCATCCAGAAACAGTAAATATGCGGCCCTCAGAAGGACCTTGTCAATAATCTATTCCCTATTTGAGTATATTATAATAAATAATGTGTTAAGATGACATATTACATCAACCACCAAAACCGTACAGCGTGCGTCCTTGCCTCTTCAAAGCATAGACAACATCCATGGCGGTCACAGTTTTTCTTTTAGCGTGCTCTGTGTACGTGACCGCGTCGCGGATGACATTTTCTAGAAATATCTTCAACACGCCGCGGGTTTCCTCGTAAATTAAACCCGATATCCTCTTGACTCCTCCTCTCCTCGCCAATCTTCGGATAGCAGGCTTCGTTATTCCTTGAATGTTGTCGCGGAGCACTTTCCTGTGACGTTTGGCGCCACCTTTACCCAGACCTTTCCCGCCTTTTCCACGGCCTGTCATTTTTACTTTTTAATTGCGCAACGGTTGATGGACAAATGCGTGCAAAGCGATCAAGTCACACTTTTATATAGTCGTTCGATAATTAATATGTGGGTAGTTATATAAATAATATTGTGATGGTGGAAGACAAATTATTTGATTAGTATTTTTTTACATCTAGTTCTAATAGGCTTAGCTATACCTACTAATTTATAAAGAAGTAAGATTTGATATGTTTGTTTAATTGTTATTAATGAATGAAGTAGGATATAGGTAATTGCCTAATTAAAAAAAAATCTATGAAAGCTATATTTTTAGCAAGTAATATCTATAGTGATTAATATTGTAAAATTCGACATTGATTTCTGTTTGTTGCTTTATTGATTAACTATTGGACTGATTAATTAAATTTAACGAAAAGGTAGATTATAGAAGAATGTCATGATGCGATCAATAGACAGAAAAAGAATAATTTCTAACATAATGAAATAAAAAAATAGCAACATTTATGATTATAATAGCTATTTTTATCCTTACTCAAGTAGACATTAGGTACAGAATCGTCTACGTGGGCACCTCAGTCTCACTTATTTCAACCACTAAGCAGTTTGCTTTGTAATTTAAACTTAAAAATGTAAAGTTACAACAATTATTTAAAGGAGCAACACGCAGGTTCTTGCTCGTTCTTCTTGTGATGACAATGCTTTACGGATGAACGGTAGATTAAAAAATAAGTCAATACATTTATTTGAATAAAGAATCTTCTATTCTATTCTATTCTGTCACGAACCTCATTTGGTGGAAGTCATTCAAATTAAGTGTCAATTGACATTCAAATTAATTTACACTCACTCAGCTGACTAGAACTGTTGTTGTTAACGAAGTATTTTAAATAAACAAATAAATTACTCGACGCCGTCAATACGTAAAAATAAATCTATACAACTAATTGCAAATTAACAAAATTGCAAGTAACAAAAAACTTGCAAATGAGCCATGCCTAAACATCAGTATCACAATTATCTACAAAACGTATTTTAGTACTAGTGACGTAATCATGCAAGTTTTAAATCTCGAACGTGATTGGTCGAAATCATATTTTTTACACCTTACACGTCGTACTAGTTGTGAGGCATAGGAATATCTATTTATAATGCCAAATAACAATACTGTGTATTGTATTGTAACACTATTAAAAAAAAATACAAAATGGTTCCCAAGAAACAAATGAAGCCGCCGAAAGCGTTGAAGCCATTAGAGAAACCGTTGGAGAAATCGATATCAAAAAACAAGAAGAGTAAAAAGAAGAATTACGAAGGCTTCTCCGTGTATATATACAAAGTTATGCGAAGCATGAGCCAGGATAATCTGAGGATATCAAGAAAGTCTATGTTGATAATGAATAATTTCGTCAACGACATGCTGGAGAAGATAGCTGTGGAAGCCAGCAGATTGGTGGCACACGGGAAGAAGACAACATTGGGAAGTCGCGAAATACAATCGGCTGTTCGTTTGCTTTTACCTGGAGAATTAGCGAAACACGCTAACATTGAAGGCATGAAAGCAGTGAGATTGTATCACGAAAATCAAAATAAAGAATGAGAAATACCGGTATAATGTATTAAAGAAATATTTATAATAAAGAAATATAATATTGTTGTTGTAAATTACTGTAAATATGAATATGATTATTTTAAAAACGTGGCTCTTTTCAGAGCCGAACATATTGTTTCTGGATTGATTTTACGTCTATCTTTATAAATATCTTTCTTATAGCATGGGGCGCAAACTTTAGCTTACCTAGTAAGTGTATATCACCGCCTATAAATACCCGCAATGCCAAATTGCAAGTGTTTTGCCGGTTTTTTAAGAAGAAATAAGCACCTATCTGGAAGTTGTCAATATCGTATCGATTCGGAAATACTTTTGCTGGAAGGTGATAGCACAATGTGGTTGTGCATGGCAAAAAGATGCTTAATATTATAAACTTCTTATTCACTTAATTGTTTGTGTAAACAAACTGAATGTATTTGTTTTAAGAATAACTTATTAAATAATAATGAAATTAAATTAAAAAGTATATTGTTGTCCTCACAGAAAAAAAACATTTACACTACTATTATGTACCCGTCCGATTGATCGCCCGACTAATTCAAACGGGAATCGAAGTTACAATGTCCGGAGCTGAGGTTCCCCTAGTGGTAGCGTCTAAAGTCGTATCTGCCCAGCAGGATTTTGCCTTCAGCCACTCCATAAGTCCTTCCGCAGCTTTGGAGGAAGGGAGTTTCGATTTGCTTTAGGAAACTAAAAATAAATGTATATGAAGCATCGCAAGATGTTGTTCCTTAGGACTAAAGTGCTACCCTTCACGTATTGCCATTCCGAAGGACTAAAATGTCCTACATATCCTAATTTCATTGCTATATATCTAAGTCTTTAAACAGACTAATGGTACAACTTTATAAAAAGTTGTTCGCTTTGGATACCCTAGTCTCACCTATTTCAGCTGCTTGCTTTATTAGCTGAGTTTCTGTTTAAATTTTTAATAAGACTGGTAAATTTGCTACGATGAGGAAACTAACCTTACTTTATCCTCATTCTATCTTACTTCACTGCGACCCGCAGCGTTATTATCGTTTAAAAAACCTCTTGATAACAATAGTATTCAGTAATTACATTCGATTGTCTATAAAACGTGTAAATGCTTGTACTATATGTGTATATACATATATATATGAGCTATGTTTATATTACTTTCATTAACACCTGTATTTAAACGAAAACATTGCGTGAAGTCTGCTTACAAACTGATTAATTTTATTGAAAGTATGAAGGTTGCACTTTTTGCTGTAGTTCATTTCGCATACATTTTAATTGCTGAAGCAGCTAGAATATTAGCCATATTTCCAACCCCATCAATCAGTCATCAAGTGGTGTTTCGTCCGTTAACGCTGGAATTAGTGGCGCGTGGGCATGAAGTGGTCGTTGTCACTACAGACCCTGCGTACCCAAAAGGAGGAGGCCCGAAAAACTTAACAGAAATCGATACAAGTGGAATATATCAAGAATTTGCAAGTAAAACAAATAAATATTTGATGATAAACGAATACGCTGATATAAGATCCAGTATGGAAAATGGTGTAATGATTGGTAATGAATTGTTTTATCACCAATTGAAGACAGAGATTCTAGGTAAATTTATACATGATAGAAGTATTAAATTTGATCTGTTGATAATTGAAGCTTGGCTGCGTCCTCTGTTGGCGTTTACACACAGATTTAAGGTTCCTGTGATAAGATTTGGCTCAGTGGGATCTTTTCTGTCTGAATATCAAGTTATGCGGGGATTCGGTCATCCTTTGTATCATCCAACAAGTTTATGCTCTCGGTGTGCTAATGTAGAAAATCTTACATTCCTGGAGAAGGTGTATGAAATATGTAACTACATATATATAAATAGTATACACAATTCCTACGAGAACGATGAAACTAATTACTTGAGAACTATCTTCGGATCTGAAATGCCGTCTGTGGATGAACTAAGTGATAATGTAGACTTGTATATAAGTAATGTGTATCGTGTTTGGGAACTGAATTCTCCGATGCCGTTAAGTGTTGTTCAAGTTGGTGGAATTCATCTCAATTCGGAGTGTTCGTATTCAAAGGTATGTATTTAATGGATTTATATTCTTTTGTTTAATTCCAAATGTATCTATTAGTTTCTGATTAATTATATTTTTATTTTAAATGTACCATGGCGCAGTGGTATGCTACCTAGGCTTCCACTCAAGACGTTGTAGGTTGTTGGACCAAAATAAAAGGAACTTTGTGTGTCAAATTAAATTTTTGACTGACTATCCGGTGAAGAAAAAATCCTATATGAAACCAAAAATAATAATTCCTTCATCGAATGGAAATATCCATATCAAAGCAAAAATGAACTGAGAGACAACGGTAGTTTTGTCATCGTTACTACGATGGGAATAGTTGATCATACTTCCAACTGCCCCATTTTAGTTAATAGTTTTGAAGGTACATTAATAATAATAATAATAAACTTTATTCATAAATGCACGGTACAATTAAATATAGTTAGCCCTGGCTTTCGATTTAGGTGAACCTGTGCCACGAAAGCCAGTTCCCTCCAACATTCTGTAAACATTTTTGGTACATCTGCAGTTGCATAAAGGAATGAAAAAAAAAACTTAAATTCTTTTGAATACAAAAAAAAATGTATAAAAGAGTCGCTATTCTTTTTGATATACTAGATTGTACTAAACTTTTATTTAACACAGTGTAGAGAGAAAAAAAAATCAAATTATACAAGAAAAATGAGGAAAAGAAAAAAAATAAAACTTAAATTATAGTGTCCATGTGTTTGATTAGGAGTATGGGTATGTGGGTAAGTGTGTGTGTATATGTATCTGTGTATGTGTATGTGTGTGTGTATTATTTATATAGTTTATGTAGTCATTCTTTAACTATATATGTATGTAATTATCTGAGTTAAATTTATTATTTTATTACATTATTTGTAATTGCAGGATTTAGAAGACTATTTAGATTCCTCTGTAAATGGAGTGTTGTACATAAGCTTTGGTACCAACATGAGGACATCATGGTTGGATACAGACAATTTACAAGCGATGGTGGAGGTTTTATCGCAAATGGATTACGATGTATTATGGAAATACGACGAGGACGAGTTGCCTGGCAAAAGTGACAATATTAAAATAATGAAATGGCTCCCACAGGAGTGTCTTTTAAGTAAGATATTGTATAATATTCGGTAGTGTATCGTACATCCTCTCAAATTTTGTTCTACACACATATGCATGAAGTATAATGTTTTGAGAAGATCTGTTAAGTTTAAGTAAAGAGTTTTTTTGATTATGTTTAGGATAGGTACAATTTACAATAATTTTATTCAGAACAAAAAAGTAATTGGTAGGTACCTAAAATACAGATTCAGGAAACAATTTATAATGTAGAAAAGATTGGAAAAATATAGATTAACATTATAGAATAAGGCGGGAAAATGGTGCAAATTTATCCTGCTTTACTTCACCTTTCGGGTCTTACAACCAAATTTGAGGTGACCTTGTAGGTACAACAAGCTACAAAATCAGTCTAAGTGTGTAATCGAGTCTAAGTGGGAACTTAGACTCGATATCTTATTGTAAAAAGAATGCCCATTCCTCCTACTAACTTTATTTTAACAGTACCTTGGAACATTACAAGTATAAGTAAACAGTAACTTTTGGAACAGTACAACTTAAGCAGTTGAATAATTACACTATGATTTCAGAACATCCAAAAATCAAGTTGTTCATAACACAAGGTGGCTTGCAATCCACGGAGGAGGCTATAGCTGCAGGAGTACCCCTTGTTGGCATACCAATAATTGTGGATCAATTTGGAAATACACAAAATTACGTTCGTCACAAAATTGGTGTAAGACTTTTATTTAAGGACTTAACGAAGGAAAGTTTTCGACATGCAATTTATACAGTGCTGAATGATGAAAGGTTAGTGTTGCTGGAAGCTTATCTGCCGTTCTTTTCATAAATTCTGTATTTTTGACATCTGTTTTTTATATGTCACTTTTGGTTTCATCACTGTGAGCCCTTTTGGGAAATATACACATTTATTACAGACGACCTCGGTGGTCTAGCGGTCTAGCACACCACTTTATGTCCAATGGTCGCGGGTTCGATTCCTCGCACAGCACAAACATTTGTATTCATGAGTATGATTGTTTGTATCGGTCTGGGTGTTTTCTATATATAATATGTATGTATTTACGAAAACAAAATTATCTATGTACTTGTATCAGTTATCTAGTACCCGTAACACAAGGTTTAGATAGCTTAACTTGGGACTAGATGGCGCTGTGTGAATTGTCCTGAAATGATTATTATTATTATTATTATTACAATTATTTTGATTTTTAATAAAGTAGTCGTTCAGTTCCCTCTCCAGTCACAGTTAGTTTTCATCATTTAATTAATATTAATGTTAAGTTACGTATATACAACATCGTTTTTTCGAACTATTCTAATAGTAGGCCGTGTAGGGGGGAAAGTGGATTGTTAGTAATGTGAACTGATGATCTTATTACTAGCAATGTACCTTGTCAGGTTGACCTCCAGGCGGTTCCCCCTGGAAACCATCGTGATCAATTCTTGGTGAATTTGTCACGATGTGCTAACTGTCCTGACCTCATGTTCATCTTATCATCCTCCATTAGTGCCCCGTCAGCGCAAACCATTAGCGCAGGCGGGTGCAACATTTCATTAACATCCATAAAAAAAAATAGTAGACCGTGGCTGGCCTTTACAATTTCACCAAATTAAAAAAAAATTCAATAGAGTTTCTAGCTACTGATATATATACTGATCTGGACGGTGGGGAAAAGTTATTAAAACCAAAAAAATTATGTTCATAAGCGGCTAAATCGTACAGGAATTAATAATTTTTTATTTAATTTGATTCGATTTGAACGATAGTGCAGATGGCACTCTAAAACTTATGGAGCAGCTAAAAGCCAACTGTTGCCTGACGCATATTACTTTAGTCTCAGGGCACCGGTAGGGTTCGTACTCAGGCCTTGATAATTTCGATCCCCATTTGAATTGGATGGGAGATTGATCGGAGGGGGTTACAATACCGAGTTATGTTGCAGCTACCGGCTGCATGTGGAGCGTCTACGCACGCTGATCGAGCTGGATGGCGATCGGAGTGCGGCGCGTGCTGCGCGGTGGGTGGAGCACGTGGCGCGGCACGGAGGCTCGCACCTGCGCGCGCCCGCCGCCCGCCTGCACGCCGCAGTCTACCACCACCTCCAGCTGTTGGCGGAGCTCGCTGCCGCCGCACTGTTCACCTGCTTTATTGCCTATACAGTCTTGAAGATCCTCTTTAGACTCATTTTGAAAACTGTGAAAAGAAGAATTAGGAACTTTAAATGATTAAATAAGATATATAAAAAGACAGGTTTAATACACCGCTTTACTTCCAATGTTCATGGATTCGCGATTTCTTGCACGGTGCAAACATTTGTATTCATATAGTACCTATGTTTTTTTTATATTGGTCTGGGTGTTTTCTATCTATATTATGTTTGTATTTACAAACAAAAAATCTAAGTCTAAATAAAATATCAGTTGTTTAGTATGCATAACACAAGCTCTGCTTACCGTGTGCCTAAACGGCGCTGTGAAAATTGTCCAGGGCCATTACTATTAAAATCTCTGCTTGTCATATTGCATATGGTATTAAAATTACTTATACTTCACCTTCATGACTGTGGATTCGACCCTCGTTACACAAGTTAAATTAAATTCTAATCTTCTTTAAATAAAACTCGTAACCACAGAGACTTGTGTATCCTTTACACACTCTTCTCAATCAAATTCGACCCTTCCTCTTCTACCTATTTGAAGGATAGATCATCATTCGAATCATCAGAGACTCCACGTATACTCCGTTCTGTTCATAACCTCCTTTTCTCGACTCCTCATAATTCAAACTTTAAATATATCCAACTCGTTTACAGTCATGTCAATTAATATTTAGAATGCAATACTGTGGACCTCCGACGAGCACCGAGTAAGCTCATATTTTAAAGGGAACTTTTTAATTACCTGTTTTGTCAGTTTCATATTTGAAAGGAAATTTTAGTCGTCAGAATGAGCTTTAACTTTTTACCATTGAGTTAAGTAGGACTTTCAACTATATATAGGTTTAGTATTTTTGTTTACTTTTTGTGAATATTTTAAACATAAATTAAATATATTATAAATAGGTTGGCGCTTGGTCTTATCTCATGTAATGGTAAATGATGGCAAAACCAAGAATGTAGCCCTTACCCAGAAGAAATCTATTTACCATAGACTTGAAGAATCCGGAGTTGTATTCCTCCGGGAATACGATAGGCGGAAGTGTGTTCCACTCTTTGGCAGTGCGTATTAGAAAAGACGATGAGAACCGCTCAGTGCGAATGTGTGGAATTTCCACGACGTACGGATGAAGTCCTAATGTTCGTCGTGTAGTTCGGTGATAAAAAGAGGAAGGTCAAGATCAAATTATGCAGGTCCTATGCGCACTATCCTATAAATTTATATATAATTTCATTATATATGTAGGTACATAGATATAGTTTTTAAGTTAGCTTGTAGATAATGACATGCTCACCTTTTGTGCACGTCATATTGTTCAAAAAGTAAAAATTAAATTTTTAAATTTCATTTCAGTTAATCTCGTATACCTAGAAAACATTGTTATTACCTACTAGATGTAGGTTAAGACAAACTTCCTATTAAAAATTATAGTTTAACAAAAGTCAGTAGGGTGAAATTTGTAGCTCATCCCATAAAAATCCCTACTGACTTTACGACAAATAGAAATAGAAATAGAAATATAAATAATATTTATTCAAACAAACTTAATATAAGCACTTTTGAATAGTCAAGTTTTTTTTATTCTACCGCTTATTCGGAATGCAAATTCATCACAAGAATAATAATGAGAAACTTGTGTGTTGCTCTTTTAAATAAATATTGCTTTACTTATATTTAATTAACAACAAGGATTAGGCATGCGACAATCAACATAGAAACCGAATAACCGAATAACCGATAAACTCTGTTCAATCAGATAACTTTGTCAGCGCTGTTGTTCAAAATGTTTACTTTAATATCTGAAGAATTCTAGAATTTTTTACTAACTGCCTATCTTTTATTATTATACACAGTGTGAAGTTTACTACTCACTAAATAATCGCTTGAACGATACACGTGTATGCTGTTGTCATATATTGTTTGAATGTAATGTTATCATTAGTATATACATACAGCTAAATTAATTTTATAAAGAATGGCAGTATTGTCTTTTGCCAATTGTATTCAACTTGATCTCTGGGTCGAATTCAATAAAAATTTACTTTCGGAAGTGACTAAAATGTCACATACAGATTAAGGCGGAAACCAGTTTGCACCGTACAAAAAAACTATTTTTTTTTATTGCATAAATTATTACTAGTCAAGTATATGTGGTCAAAACGACTAGATGGAACGAACTAAAAAGACTAATAGAACGACTAGTTGCGACTAGATGGCGTTGCGAGAATTGTTTGGAGATATTTTTGTCATTCTTCAAGCGAAACTCATCTTATAAAAATAAGCTGCTTGGCTGTTGAAATAGATAAGACTGAAGTACTACCTTTTTCTAGCAGAGTATATGTCGATGAAAATTTACCAGATAAATATTTTTCGGTAAGCATTTTAGCACACTTGTAGTTAATTATGCACGTAGTAAATAATTCTTAATTACTTGACATTATAGCATATGTATTACTTTACATGTTAATTACATTAATATCAGTAACACTTGTGCTAAGTCTATGTAAAGACTCGTTTATTGTTCACTAGACAAAAGTAATTAATTCCAAACAGTTGATATGAATCTACAATTATTTTTTTATGTAAACCTTATAATGTATATTGAAGCGTCTAAAATACTAGCTGTAATCCCTAGTCCTTCAATCAGCCATCAAGTGGTGTTTCGTCCTTTAATTCTAGAATTAGTAGCGCGTGGTCATGAAGTTGTTGTTATCACCCCAAATCCTATGTACCCAACAGGAGGAGGTCCTGCGAACCTAACAGAAATCGATGTTGGTCAACGTAATCAAACACTTACTAATTCTAAAAAGGGAAAACCTTCTATAGTAAATACATACGCTGATATTAGAATTAGTACAACATACGCGATAACATTATTCACTGATGCATTTTTTAAACAATTAAATGTAGACGGCGTGAAAAAGCTAATTGAAGATAAAGATGTTAAGTTTGATTTGCTGATAGTTGAAGCATGGTTTAGACCAACGTTGGCGTTTACTCATAAGTTTAAAGCACCTGTAATAAGAATTGGTTCTGCGGGATGTTTCTTTTCAGAATATCAGGTCACTGTTGGCTTTGGACATCCTTTATATCACCCGTCAAATTTGTGTTCGCAGTGTGCAAATTTAGAAAATCTTTCAGTCATGGAGAAGATTTATGAAGTTTATAATCAATTTGTCATAAATAATTTTTTTGATTCGAGAGTAGAAGTGGAAAATGAAGTAATGAGGAGATATTTCGGTGCTGATATGCCAAGTTTGGATGATTTAAGTGATAATGTAGACCTGCTTATAAATAACATACATCACATTTGGGAATTCAATCGTCCAACATCTTTGAACGTAGTTCATGTTGGTGGTATACATCTCAAGAGTGAATGCACGTTGCCAGAGGTAGGTTTTAATCCATTTTCTTAAATCTTTTTGTATATCCTCCTCTACCATGACAGTTTAACCAAGTGAGTAATCAGTTAAAGTGAGTAATCAGTGAATAATAAGTAAAAAATTTAATTAGTTTACAGCCTATCTGATGGTAAGTGGTAATATCAATGTACGGACTCGGTGGTTTACGATCATTTACACATACATTACGATCGATGTACGGTCTCGATTTAGCATACAGCTCCGATGGCCTCGGTTTAGTTCTGAGTAGTATTAGGGTCTGTATTAATACGGTGTTTTCTATGTACTATACATATGTATTTACAATTGTCTAGTGCTCTGTTATGAGCTCTGCTCTGCTTAATTTGGGACTAGATAGCGCTCTATGGTTTGTCCTAATATTTAATATAATATTTTTTGCTCCCTTTTCACAGCTTTTGCTGGTTTTACTTATCATCTGTTGGACGATATGGATAGTGATAGAAAGTCACAACTTGCTTAATTGCGCGAAAATGTCGTGTATCACTTTGACATTGTTATAATTTTAGAACTTAAAACAATATTTGGATTCCTCCAATAATGGAGTGGTGTACATCAGCTTCGGTACAAATGTACTTACATCAGGATTTAGTTCACAAATATTGGACGCAATGGTTAGCGTCGCATCTAAGCTGCCACTCGACGTGTTATGGAAATGGGATGATGATGAAATGCCCGGACGACCTAGAAACATCAAGATATCGAAGTGGCTACCACAGGAATGTCTCTTAAGTAAGATTTTGTTGTTATTTTTGATGCAGTTACGATAGTTTTAGGTATAACATGAATATTTTTAGACAGACAAAGTGACGTCCTACGTGATACTTAATAAGAATAATTTTAGCTGTATATCTATATACATATCTATGTGTGTTAAAATAGTTGTTTTATGAAGAAAGTATTAGATAAGAATGATTGTAATAGTAACGGAAGGTTAAAAAAGAGATTGATGGACTGTGCGATAGATGATATGAAAATAAAGGGAGGAAATAAGGAAAATGAACGAAGGAAGGAGCAGATGATGATGTAATAATAGTCTTTTTCGACTAGAGGTTTTGCGTGCACAATGCTAGAAGTGTTTATTAATTTTACTATTGTTTTAGAACATCCGAAAATCAAGTTGTTCATAACCCAAGGGGGGTTGCAGTCTACGGAGGAGGCCATAGTTGCAGGCGTACCCCTTGTTGGTATCCCCTTGAAAGTAGATCAATTTGGAAACGTAGAAAATTACGTGCGTCACAAAATTGGAGTAAAACTTTTACTGCACAATTTTAGTGAAGAAACTTTCCGAGATGCAATTTATACAGTATTAAATGATAATAGGTTAGTTTGTTTTCATAATAATTATAATCTTCTACCAGTTTTGCTGTAAACAGATTGGCAATCAGCCTAATGGTGACATATCGTGTATGTACAGGAACAGCACTATGGATATCATGTAGTGATGCTCTTACTTTATTCCGTTTCACTGTCATATCCTTATTTTTATGAAATAAGAATGGAAAGAAGTTGGTAGACCACCTGATGGTAAGCGCTAACCATCATGTTAAGCATGTGATATCACACATATATTGCCATTGCAGAAGACTAACATGTCATGCATCTTCTCCAGTAATTTCACAGCCTAATCTGCAGCCTACAACTGAAACGCAGTTTACAAAGAAAGTTGCTTGGCGGCTGAAATAGGTGGATTGAGGTACCCTTTTTTGTATCCAGGGGACCTGATTTCATATTCATCCAATTATTCACGTCAGACCTTCTTCGTGATTTCCCCTTCCATCCAGGAACCATCGAGACAAATTCCTCGTAACGTTACGCTCGTATCAAAGCGTAAATCATTATCGTGGGTAACCATTACATCATCACCATTATCATCAATTTAAAAAAGAATGCCCATCGCTTGGTGTCCAATATATGACAAGTTTAGCCCGTCTCTCTAAGGGCCTCTAACTAAGGACCGACCAACCTTTCAGAGCGCTTCTTAGTCAATGATCGATCCACCATTTAGAGGACATCCTGGCCAATGACCGGCCTATTCCAACAAATTGTCATTTATTTCCAGCTACCGCCAGAACGTGGAACGTTTGCGCACGCTGATCGAGCTGGATGGCGGTCGGAGTGCGGCGCGTGCTGCGCGGTGGGTGGAGCACGTGGCGCGGCACGGAGGCTCGCACCTGCACGCGCCCGCCGCCCGCCTGCACGCCGCAGTCTACCACCACCTCCAGCTGTTGGCGGAGCTCGCTGCCGCCGCACTGTTCGCCTGCTTTATTGCCTATACAGTCTTGAAGATCCTCTTTAGACTCATTTTGAAAACTATGAAAAGAAGGATTATTAAATGAAATGATTAAGTAGCGTAGGGAATGGTAACACAGAAAATTGTTGCTTTTCACGTACGCTCTTTAAGGTACGAGTAGTCTATCACCCAGGAAATAGAATAGAATAGAATAGAAAATCATTTATTCAAATAAACTTAATTTAAGCACGTTTTTTTTCAAGTCAACATTTTTTTAAATCTACCGCTTATTCGGAAAGCTGTCTCATCACAAGAAGAATAAGCAAGAAACTTGTGTGTTGCTCTTTTAAACAATCCTTGTAAGTTCACATTTTACAAGTCGAAACGTGTGAATACAAACTACCAACCAGCACTAATTTATTTAGGCTCAAATATAAAAACACAATAAGATTAAATCAGTCTAGTGATAAGAGCAGACCAGTCCCTACAAGCAGCACTCGGTCACGAGTATGACGGATGAGCCAGCCATCACTGCGCTCGACCATATTTTAGGGAGCCCAATGACCCGGCCCACCACGCCGCCACATGTCTGGACATTTTAGTGAGCGTGACAACTCATTCCACTCGACCACGTCACAGCTACAAAAATTACTATATGGTAGTTACAGTATTCGCATTTTACATGAGGATGCATGCGGCAATCAATACAAAAGCCGCTACGCTATGATATATCAAGAAAGCAGTATGAAAATAAATTATAACTTTGTCCGCAAATAAACTTATACTTGCTATATATTGCTATCATCTATAAATTCATCTATCCTATAATAGGCTTTTTTACATAACATTTGTTTAATATAAAATTTGAATTGCCTGTCTGTCAGATTTAGCGTAGATTCTGGCAGTTTATTATAGAATCTTACGCAATTACCATAAAATGAATTACTAACTTTGTGTAAACGGCATTTAGGTAAAATTAACTTATTTTTATTGCGTAAGTTTCTACTTGTACAGTCTTTAAGTTTCTTGAAATAAGAAAGAAAGAAAAACATTTATTGACAACCATTATTGATATAAATATACATTTACACATTTAACATTGGTACATTTTACATTTTTACATATATGTGTATATCTATGTACACATACACACACACCCCCACATATACATATATATACATACACATACATACATACGTAGAACAATTACAAAAAAAAAAATAACGAGCATGTAAATATAGACAAAGAATGAAAAAGACCGTGCGCGCCGCCAGCTCGCGCATTCCGGCACCCTTCGACCCTGTAGCCTTATCCTCAAGTCTTAGCTCTTATTTTTTTTTAAATTAGTTATTATTGCAAAATAGCTTACCATAGACCATAGAGCAACTCTAATTTTAAAGTTATTGATAACGTATAAATCGTAAACGTGTTATTGGAAAATAAAATCTCTGGAAACTTATTAATATTACAATTGCGAAAATTTGTTATTATGGATGCATGTTTGTTAGTCTTTCACGCAAAAAGTACTAAATGTATTTTGATGAAGTTTATAGTAATATAGCATATACTTAGAATAACATAGGCTAAAAATATCAACCGAGTGAAGCCGCGGACAGAGCTAATAGAAAGTGAAGTTACATGAAACACGCGCTATCAAGCGCGAAAGAGTGAACACAAAAAATAGTAAAATGCAGTACCTCATGATCTTTGAAGCTATTGGATATAACTAACTATTGTTAGGGTTCGCATGGATATTTTCGAAAAATCTGATATTTAATATTAAAAGAAGGTAGTTTCATTATTACTCGGTATCGTTAAACTAGTTGCATATAACCCCCACTCATATCTTCTCTGTATAAAAGGGAGGGTTTTTGTAAGCCGCGGCATTCGGTCTTGGAGCACAGGATGTGCTGGTTGTATTTTAATTGCTAAAGTGAATTGTGTTAGAGACATAGTTAAATTAATGTTATATAGTCGTTATTTTATTATAATACATACTTTTACTAGTACATAGAGTTCGTATACCTAACACTATCCATCTAGATTAAGAAGACCTAGCCTGGCCAGCATCAGAAACAAATCAATGAAATGGCACCTCACGGCATGTGAGGTTGTGAACCTTGTGTTCTAATACCTTACCTTACCTTACCTTATGCCCGTAACACCACAGAATAGCTGGAAAGGCTGATTACAGATGATAAAGAAATAATATATAGTATAGCGAGTTAATTGTAATTTTATTATTAACTAGCTGCACCCGCGACGTTGTCCGCGTGGAATTTATATTATTTTTCTAAAATAAAAGTAGCATAAGTTACTCATTACATTAACTACCTGCCAAAAAGTCCCGTCAAAATCGGTCTAGCCATTTCAGGATTTGCCGGAACAAACAGACAGACAGACAAAAATTGTAAAAAAAAATATTTTGGTGTACGTACCGTATTTGTATTCATATGCATGTAGTAAAAAACGGTTATTTCAATATTACAAACAGACACTCCAATTTTATTTATATGTATAGATGTTATAGCTTATAGATTAAATTATATTTATAAATATCATCTGTCTGTCTCGTTTTCACGCCAAAACTATTGTACCAATTTAAATAAAATTTGGTACGCAGATAGTCTAAACTCCGAGGAAGGACATAGGCTACTCTTTAATCCGAAATAAGGGTTGTAAGGGGTTGAAAATGGAGGTGCAAAGTTATCTTATGCGGTTGAATCATATAAATGTGTTGTACGTCATTTGTATAGGCAGCGCACATAGGAAGTTATTATTGTCAATTTGTTGTCTCCTAAAAATTAAAATGTATAAACATTTGCTCTGCAATTTTATTTAATAAATACTTAAATATAATCCTGGTACAGCCTATAACTGTGACTCCGCTCTTCGACAAGAACGTAAGAATAATTTTAAGAATTAAAACTACATATTATAATAACAATTTTGTCGATATTTATGAATTACATTTCCTAGGAAGAAACAACACCTACCGTTCCATCCAAGCTATTCAGAGTTGGCATACGCATTTTTTCTGGTCGGAAGAGCCAGAGATATGGTTCGCTCAAGTAAAGGGACAGTTTGCAATTTCGAATATCACATCCGATTTAATAAAATTTAATTATGTTATTGGGTTTGTTTATTAAATACCTTACTAATATTATGAAGGTGAAAGTAACTCTGTCTGTCTCATTTACATGCCAAAACTACTAAACCTATTTAAATGAAATTTGGTTCATAGATAGTTTAGACCCTGAGAAGAGATATAGGATACTTTTTAATGCGAAAAATGGTTGTAAGGGGTTGAAAGAGGAGATGAAAGGTTGTATAGAAGTATCGTCATTTTTTAATCTTATATTGTTAGCTATTGCTTAAATATAAATAAAGAAAAAAGGGTTACAAGGGGAGTCGAAAGGTTGAATAGAAGTATTTTTATTTTTACAACTAGAAGTTGTAAAAATAACAATACTTCTATTCTAATAGTTGAAACTTATAGATAAATAAAGAAAAATAGTTGTAAGGGGTTGAAAGAGTAGATGAAAGGTTGTATAGAAGTATCGTCACTTTTTAAAGTAGAAGCTTGAATCTTATATTGTTGGTTATTGCTTAAATATAAATAAAAAAAAATGGGTTGAAAGGGTTAAAAGGGGAGTTGAAAGGTTGAATAGAAGTATTTTTATTTTTACAACTAGAAGTTTGAAACTTATTTTTAGGCTGTTGATAAACTATAAATAAAGAAAGGGTTGTATGGGGTTGAAACGGGAAATTTAAGGTTTGAAGTCGGAAGGATCGTCATTTTTAAAGCTAGAAGTCTGAATCTTATTTTGATTAAATATAAACAAAAAAATTGTCTGGAAGTATCGTCACTTTCAAAGCAAGAACGATGAAACTTTTTTACTGGGTTAGATTACTAAATATTTTTTCATTATTCGTTCAATGTCACTATTTTACGCGGACGAAGTCGCGGGAATAGCAAGTAAATATATAATGGAAGAATATAATTAAATGAGTCATACAAATATATGGTTTATTGAATTTCAACCGCGGAAGTGTCAGTCTGCAAACTGTGTAAATACCTACGACTGGATGTTATTGTATTTACATTATAATGTATTACTATGACATCACTATGTCAGCACAGTATGTATATATGATCAAATTTAGTGTTGCCAATTTACTGTGTTCAATTTACGGTTTATTTATATTTTAATTTCAAAATATATATATATATACATATATTATAAAAAATTAAAATATAAATAAATTGAAATTTTTTATTTATATTTTAAATAAAAAATTTCAAATTAAAAACTCAATACGCTGCTTTAAAACTAACCAGGACGTGCCAGGACAGTACAAAAAGTAGGACTTGTCCGGGGAAAACAGTAAATTGGCAACACTAAATTTGATCATAGTACATACTGTGGTGACGGTGACATAGTGATGTCTATATATATATATACATAATATATATACTCGTGAACGGGTACTGCTTGTGGGGACTGACCCCACAAGCAGCACCCGTTCACAAGTATGACGAATGAGCCAGCCATCATTGCACTCAACCATATTAGACATATCGCGCTCACGCAGCAACGGTAGTTGTAGAGTGGAGAATTTAGTAATTTTTGCGACCAAATGTGCGACGATAATGTCCCTGAATAATTGACACAACGCCATCTAGTTCCAAGCGAAGCAGTTCTCTCAATGCTTGCGAGTGTTACTCCCAACAATTAGAAACTTTATAGTATCACTAGGTGTTCGAAGAATCTAAATCTTTTTTATTAAATAATTAAAATTTCTAAAATATGGTATTTCCTATAACATTAGGTATCTGCAAGTAATAATCTACTGAAAATCGTCGTTTCAGAGATTAGCAAGGACAAACAGGCAGACACGTATTATTACAATTATTTTTTGACGTAAATACCTACCGTATGTACATGTTACAAATTTAGTGATCAGTTGTTAATTTGAAATTACACGCAGACACTTTTATTTGATAACGACCTCGGTGGTCTAGCATACCGCTTTACGTCCGATGGTCGCAGGTTCGATTCCTGGCACGGCACAAACATTTGTATTCGTGAGTATGATTGTTTGTATCGGTCTGGGTGTTTTCTATGTTTAATATAAAAAAATATTACCTATGTACTTGTATCAGTTATCTAGTACCCGTAACTAGATGGCGCTGTGTGAATTGTCGTGAGATTATTATTTTATTTATTTGTATAGATTATGCACTTTAGATTTCTGGAAAATCAATTTCATTTACATTAAGCTTTCTTTTGTTTATGTTCACCCAATATCAGCTTCCTACCTGCTTCTTCTTTATCCCATTTATTTGGGGTCGGTGTAATATGTTTTATGTTCATAATAGATATGAACATAAAATATACCCACCTACCCTAACCTAAATCCAACTTTATTTATATGTAGGTATAGATGTGAAAATAAGGATGTTTGTTACGCTTTCACGCAAAAATTACTGAACCTATCATCATGAAATTTTGTACACATGTTCTTGGCGTTATTGGAATGAACCTAGGATATTTATTAAAAAAATCATATATTTTTGATTCAATGTGAACGAAGCCGCGGCTAAAAGCTACTTAACAATATATTCTGTTAAAATTTCCCATCAATTCCTTCAGTACTTTTACGTAAAATATTAACAGATAAACATACATACAGACAGTTTTTGCCTAGTTAGTATTTAACACAATTTTATTATTATTAGGTACATGTAAAGATAAACCTTCTAATGGGACTATTCAAAAGTGCTTGTATTGAGTTTATTTGAATAGATATTATTTTTATTTCTATTTCTACATTTTTAATTTCATGGTAAAAAAGACAATTTATAAGTCAGTGGCCTGTAGACTAACTTGTTGTATCTATATACTTATATTTTTTAAATATATATTAAACATTAAACTTGATGTGCCTGTTTGAAATTTCAAATTAATATCACTAAATGCATGTAAAAGTATATAATACGGTATTTACATCAAAAAGAATAATTAAAAAGAATTGCAGTCTGTTTGTTCTTGATAATCTCTGAAACGGGTGGACCGATTTTGATGGGACTTTCAATCGCAGACAGCTAATGTTATTTTAAAAGAAATATTTATAGGTAGTGTAAGGTATATATAAAAGAGTTCCATGCCGATGAAATCGCGAGTAACAGCTTTAACAATAATATCTCTGGACCGTGCCATCTAGTCCCAAGGTAAGCATAGCTTGTGTTATGGGTACTAGACAACTGATAGAAATATTTAAATATATTTTTTGTAAAGATATCTGTTTTATTTAGTATAAAACACCCTGCCGCTGTCTGTACGTCACATCTTTTAAATAACATAACGGATTTGAATGTTGTTCTCAGTAATAGATAGAGTAATTCAAAAGGAAGGTTTATATATATAATAAATGCGTGCGATTTGTATTTATAATATACGTACAAAACACCCAGAGTCATACAAACAATCATACTCATGAAAATAAATGTTTGTATCGTGCGAGGACTCGAACCCGCGATCATTGGAATTATGGCGATGTGCTAAATCGCTAGACCATAGAAGCCGTGTCGCAATGTAGATAAATCGTAATTTAAAGGATTTTGTACTTAAAGTATCCAACAAATTATTTATTATTAAATGTGAAATTATTTATTATTTATATGAAAATATAGTGGAGTTTGTGGATCCTACACTATAATGATATAAAATAGAAAGCGAAGAACTATTTTTTTTTTATTAAATTAAATAAATAAATAAAAGGCTAATCAACTTAAACAGGGAAAGGACTCCTTCATTTATCAAATGATTTCGTATTTATTTAAGAATATTCTTTCAGATTAATTTTTTAGAAATTTCATCAGAATCCGTTGAGTATTTAAAAAGAAATTAAATAAGTAACTCAATTGAGTTTCTTGCCAGTTCTTCTCAATTAGATCTAGATATAGACTGAACTGGACGATAGGAAAATATAATTTACAAAAAATTGCGTTCATAAGGGACTAAAATATTCTACATGAACAATAGATGTTTGAATTTTAAATTAAAATAACATGAATCTAGTATCAATAACATAAGTTTAGCTTGGGATGAGATGGCGCTGTGTGAATAGTCTAATATTAATATTATTAAATCTATATTTAGTGCATGATAAACCACTTATTATGATATTTATATCCACAGAAGGTCACGCCAAACTGTTGTACAAAATAGTGTGACGTTAATAAAAACCACTTGTTTCTACCCAGACTTTCATTCCACGTGTAAAATTTGGAAAGTGTACACTTTAAGAAAAGATGGATATAAAAACGGTGATCTTCAATTTAGTAATCATTGTATCTATTGAAGCCTTTAGAATACTTGCTGTGTTCCCAACGCCATCGATCAGTCATCAGGTGGTATTTCGTCCGTTGGTACAAGAACTAGTGACCCGTGGCCATGAAGTCGTTGTTATCACTACAGACCCTATGTACCCTACAGGAGGAGGTCCTGAAAACTTAACAGAAATAGACGTTGGAGACACTTATGAACTCCTGAAAGATGTAGGCGAAACAAGACTTACAGTAGTAAATGAGTATGTTAATATTAGAACGAGCATAGAAACAGCTATACCAATGCTTTCAAATGTATTTTATGAACAATTGAAGAATGATGCTGTGAAGAGAATCATTGAAGATAAGAATGTTACATTTGATTTGTTGATAATTGAAGCGTGGTTACGACCAGTATTAGCTTTCACTCATAGATTTAAAGTCCCTGTAATTAGATTTGGTTCTACCGGTTCTGTGTTGTCAGAGTATGAAGTTATGGGTAGTGTTAAACATCCGTTGTATTACCCATCAAATTTGTGTTCCCGATGTGCAAATATAGAGAATTTGACGTTTCTTGAGAAGCTATATGAAATATACAATGATATTTATATATCTAATGTGTTCAATGGTGCTGTAAAACATGAGAATGAAGTTATGAGGAGTTTTTTCGGTGCTGATATGCCAAGTTTGGATGATTTAAGTGATAATGTAGATCTGCTAATCAGCAATGTACATCGAAATTGGGAATTCAATCGTCCAATGCCGATTAGTGTTGTTCAAGTTGGTGGAATACATCTCAAGAGTGAATGCACGTTACCAGAGGTAGGTTTAATTAATTTCTTTTCAAAAAACGAATAATTTTACTTAAATTATAAACGCGAAAGTTTGTGAGTAAAGAAGTAACAAGTAAAAAGTAAACAAATATGCTTTTGTCCCATTCGGTGTCGAGACCCTTGGTCCGTGGCGTCCTAGCGCTATAAGACTTTTTAAGGAAATAACAAAAAGGTTAGTCGACATGACAGAAGACCGAAGAGCTGGCAGCTACCTTGGACAAAGAAGTAGTCTAGCTATTCAAAGAGAGAACGCTGCCAGTATCTTCGGAACGTTGCCTAAAGGGACCCCTTTTAATAATATATTTTAGTTATTATATTATATTTTTTAAGCTTATTAATTTTAGGTTCTTAGTTATACAATTAAGTTATGTAAATAAATAATGAGTAACAGACATTCATCTAACCGTATAGATGAATGTCTGTTACTCTTTCACGCAAAAACTACTAATACTCCTAAATATCAAGTGTGATGCAGGCGAACTTGCGCGAGGCAGCTAATCCCACCATGTAGTCCCAAGTTAAACAGAGCTTTTGGGGTACTAGACAACTGATATAAATATTGTTTTTTTAATACATAGAAAACATCCACAAGCTGGGGGGAAGGGGACGTGGTGCCCCTGGAAACCATCATGATAAATTCCTGCTGAATTTGTTACGATGGACTAACTGACCTGACCTCATGCTTATTTTATCATCCCCCACTGGTGCCCAGCGTCCCACCGTTCGCCATCGACAGGGAATTCATCCCCACACGCTGGAACCTAAGTGGTTCCGAACAGTGCGGTTTCAGAGGAGTTTCCTCCCGCGTACACTTAGATTGTGGAATGAACTTCCTGCCGAGGTTTTCCCACGAGACTACAGCATGGGATTTTTTAAGAAGAGTATATTAAGGTTTCTTAAGAGTCGGCAATGCGCAAGTGATACCCCTGGTGTTTCAGGCGTTCATAGTCTACGGTAACCATTTACCATCAGATGGGTCGTATGCTTGATTACCACCATCGTAGTATAAAAAAAATACAAATGTTTGCACCATGCGAGTGATAGAATCCACGACCATCGAAAGTGAAGCGGTGTTCTAAACAGCTAGACCAGTGAAAGAATTTATACACATTTTTGTTATGGTGTCGGCCAATTTCGAAATACATATCCAGGCCATGGTTAACACTAACGATCTTGTAACCCATCCGTTTGTTTGTCAAGCGGAGTAGGTACATAAAATGAGTACATTCCGTAATGTTTATATTTGTAGGTGTATACAATTGCTACATTTAGATCTGTATGTATATGTCTGTCAGACTAACTATACTAATGTTAGTAATAATAATATATTAATATAGTAGTGCTCTAGTCTATTCTTGCGCCTTTCTTCTATCTTCTACCACTTTCTGTCTTCTCTCCTCTGCTCAAAAGTTGTCTGGAAGAGATTGCTTACGCAATAAGAGCGCCTTTTGTACCTTATTACTCTGTTTATGTTCTTTCTAATTCTGGTCCAATAAAGAGTAAATAAATAAATAAAAATTATAAAGCTGAAGAATTTGTTTGTTTGTTTGAACGCGCTAATCTCAGGAATTACTGATTCGAATTGAAAAAAATATTTTTGTGTTGGATAGTCCATTTGTCGAGGAAGGTTTTAAACTGTATAACATTACGCTACGACCAATAGAAGCAAAGCATCAGGGGAAAATGTTGCAAAAACGGGGGAAATATTTGAGGGCTTCTAAAGATAATCGCGATAGTGTTTTTGATCACGCGAAGTCGCGGGCACAGCTAGTACATAATATATATATGGTGTTGGGCCACACAAAATTTTTGGTTGTTTTGTTTGTAACACTTTATTGTACAGTAACTATCTTTAAAATAGCAGCAAATAGATACACTTAAGAAATAAGTTGGCGAAACAAAGGTGGTCTTATCCCAAATAAGGTATTTTTTACAATCAACCTTTGAACGACTTAGCATTAAAAAATACTGTATGTATTTTTTAATTAAATTATTACTTCAAATTTTTATCCATTTACATCATCTGCTTCTTCCTTATCCCATTTATTTGTGGTCGGCGTAATATGTTTTTCGCTTCCATTCATCCCTGTTCGCAGTCATATCATTATTTACTCCCTTTCTTACCATATCATCTTTCATACAGTCCATCCATCTCTTTTTCGGCCTTCCTCTGCCCTTATAACCATCCACATTCATATGTAACACCTTTCATATATTTATATGTAAAATTTTCATCCTTTTACAATCAACCCTTTTTATAGCGATTTTGTGACCACGTAGGTGGCAAACAAGCATACGGCCCATCTGATGGTAAACTGTTACCGTAGCCTATAGACGCCTGAAACATCAGGACTGTTACCAGCGTATTGCCGACCCTTAAGAAACCTTAATATACCGATTACTGTGTGTCTGTCACGCCAAAACTACTAAACCAATTTAAATTAAATTTGGTACACAGATAGTCTAGACCCTTATTGTAGGCTATGGTAATCGTTTACCATCAGATAGGCCATACGCTTTTTTTGTACCTTAGTGTTAGAAAAATACAATAAAAAAAATAAAGTGTTATATTTTTTTTTAATTTCAGGATTTACAAAAATATTTAGATTCTTCTATCAATGGGGTAGTATATATTAGTTTTGGTACTAATGTAGTGATTTCGGCACTCAGCAATGATAAGCTGGAGGCGATGATTAGCGTGCTATCTCAGCTGCCTTACGACGTTTTATGGAAGTGGGACAAAGACGAAATGCCTGGGAGGCCTAAGAACATCAAGATATCGAAGTGGCTCCCGCAGGAATGTCTGCTGAGTAAGATATAATTTATTTATTTATATCTATAACTAGTTTTTACCCGCAGCTTCGCTCGCATAACTTTATTACTGACTGCTAGATGGTGCTGAAGTAGAAAAATGTTGATATATATATATATCCTATGTTCAACCTAATACCTCCAAGAATATGTGTGTGAATATGCCCGGGCGCGCGCAGGGCCCGGTTGAATGCGCGATATTGTGTGTTTGAGGTCGTCGTCTTCGCCGGCGAGGACGGTGTTGTGTGTGTGTGTAAAAGTGTGGTCGGGGTGGTTGCGTGAAAGCGTAACAACCATCCCTACTTTCACATTTATATTATTTGTAAGGATTGAGATAAGAAAGGGGAAATGTCGTTACTTTACTCGTGAACGAGTGCTGCTTGTAGGGACTGGTCTACTCTTATCACTACGACTGATTTAATCTTATTGCGTATTTGTACTTGGCCTTAATAAATTAGTTCTAGTTCGTAGTTTCTATTCACATGTTTCGATTTAAAAAATGTGAACTTACAAGAATTATTTAAAAGAGCAACACACAAGTTTCTTGCTCGTTCTTCTTGTGATGAGACAGCTTTCTGAATGAACGGTAGATTAAAAAAAATGTTATGACTATTCAAAAGTGCTTAAATTAAGTTTTAAAGCACTGAATAAAATATTTTCTTTCTTATTTGAATAAAGCTTTTTCTATTCTATTCCATTCTATTTTTGTAAAACAATACTTTAAAAATATTTTATTTAAAAAATTCATATCTGTAAAAATATTATCAGAAAAGATTATAGAAAGTTGAATTTACATTTCTATCTAGACAAATATATGAGATATGGATTTTTGAAACAGTTTTTTGGGTCTGGTATAAAGTTGGGTTTTTCAAGGTTTTCAAGGTTCCCTTTCTTCCGTTAATATATTCAAAATTATGTATTAAGTAATGAGTAGGTACCTAGTAGATCCAGTAGATGAAGTATTTTAAACTAGATGTGTCCGCGGTTTCACCCGCGTTTAATTTCAATAAAAAAATATGGCCTATGTGTTATTCTGATGCATGAGCTACATTACTATAAAGTTTCACCAAAATCCGTTCAGTAGTTTTTGCGTGAAAGAGTAACAAACTAGCTGTGCCTGCGTTGAATTTCAATTTATAAATTTCATTTCATTCATACCCACATACTTTCGCATTTATAATATTTATAAGATAGAAAGTAAGCTACTTATACTATGTTGGTAATATGTTTAATATAATCTAGCATTTTGTTTATCTGCCTTCACGAATTTTCTGTAAGTATCGCCTTTTTCTATCACTAAGTTCTTTGTCATCCAGATGAAACATAAAAGTGAAATTTCACGGTAGGTACCTTAGTACCTACCGCCAACTGGAGATAATAAGGTCTCACTTTAGCCCTTAAATGGACGTGGAATTATAAGGTACTAGAGGAAAGGCCAGAATTATCAGCTTAGTCAGAAATAGGAGAGCATGAGTCTTGGATTGGAATTTCCTCCTTTTCTTGCCATATCATCTTTTACACATCTCTCTGTTGGCTTTCTCCTGCCCATAAGGTCGTCAAGCAACCATCCACAATTCATATATAATACTCTCTTTAAAGTATTTTTTTTTATTGTGAACTTAAGTACTCATTCATCAGTAATGAGAGTGTTAAATCTGCATTTGTTTTAGGACATCCAAAAATCAAATTGTTCTTGACCCAAGGAGGGTTGCAGTCGACGGAGGAGGCCATAGCTGCAGGCGTACCCCTTGTTGGGATGCCAATAATGGCTGATCAATTTGGAAATACACAAAATTACGTCCGTCACAAAATAGGGGTGAAACTACTATTCGATGACTTGACTGAAGAAAATTTTCGAAATGCACTTTATACAGTGTTAAATGATGAAAGGTTTGTTACTTTATGTCTTTTTATGTCTTACTTTCTTATTTTATATTAGCTTTTGCCTGCGGCTTCGCCCGCGTTATTTTATCCCCTTAGCGGTGTAATTTATCAAAATCCTTTCTTAGGGGATACCTACGTCATAGTAGCTTTATGCATGCAAAGTCTCAGTCTGATCAGTTTAAAATTGACAAAGTTTCATATAAACTTTCATCTCCTATTTCATCCCTTTGGGGAGAGAATTAATCAAAATCCTTTCTTAGCGGATGACTACGTCATAACATCTACCTGCATGCCAAATTTCATCTCGATCCGTCCAGTGGTTTGGGCTGTGCGTTGATAGATCACTATGTCAGTCACCTTTGAGTTATATATATTTAGATAATGCCTACCTAACTTTTACCATTGCACTGTTTGAAATACATATCATTCATTCGCTGTCCCAAACAGCTTAGGTTTAAGTGTGTGACGCTGAAACCTAAGCTATCTCGGACAGTGCGGTTTCTGAGGAGATCTCACTCGTACACTAAGATTGTGGAATTTCTCGAGAGACTACAGCATGGGGTTTTTCAAAAAGGATATATTTACCTTCCTTGTTTTTCATGAGTCCATTGGCTATGGTAACACCCTTTACCATCAGATGAGGCGTCTACTTGATTGCCACCTTCGTAGTTTAGAATGCCATCTGCACTTGCCCTCATCATCGTCCGGTAAAGCTGTAAAGAATAACAGCGACTGCATTAAAATAGTGAGAAAAAAATGGACTAATGAAGAAACTGCACCTTAATTTTTCATTTATCGAAATTCTTTCCAACATATTTTAAAATTTTCTATGTTTAGGTGTCTAAACTTGATTGATTAGGCATAGAGGGTGTTTAGCTAACTCTATTTCCCGCTCCCAGTTACCGCCAGAACGTGGAGCGTCTGCGCACGCTGATCGAGCTGGATGGCGGTCGGACCGCGGCGCGTGCTGCGCGGTGGGTGGAGCACGTGGTGCGGCACGGAGGCTCGCACCTGCGCGCGCCCGCCGCCCGCCTGCACGCTGCAGTCTACCACCAGCTCCACCTGCTGGCGGAGCTCGCAGCCGCCGTTATCCTCGCCGCGTTCGTCCTCTACCAAGCCACTAAGTTTCTTGTAAGATTCGTTTGGAGAATATTTACCATGAAAGTCATAATTCATGTAACTAAAAAAGATTAAATAGTTGTCTTAATATGATGTTTGATTTTTTTACCGCAGTGGTGAAAATTAACATATCTGTGTGACGGTAAACGGTTACCGTAACCTCTCTAGGTACTATCAACAACAGCGACATCTGTTGTTCGCCAATAGCATGATATAGGAAGCAACCACATAAGATTTTTTGTTAATTTAGAATTGTCTTGTCTTTTTTTTTAATGGGATATTTCGTCATGGCGCCCGCCTTTTCCAGTACTCCTACCAGCTAAACCCCATTATGTTCTCCTCTCGCTACTAGCGCCAGAGTCACAGGATCGAAGACGCTGTCCATCGTGACCCTGGCAGTACAGGCTCTAAAGCTCACTTCTTAAAAGGCGCGCCTACACCTTGCCCCACCTTCTTGGGTGATGGCAGAAGCCCCTGCGTCTACCGCTGAGAGGTTCTGGATTGGTGGCAACAGGCCTTGAGACTCGGCGTCCATCGCCTCAGTTTCCTCCTCCAGCGCCTTTACGCAACTCCATCGCGAGCTGTACTTCTTATGTCCACGGCGTGATTTGCTGGACGTCGACGACGTAAGGTACTCAAGGGACTATTTTGTTAAGGATCAGGCTCCGCTGTTGTCGATAGTACCATTAATATACCAGGGGTGTCACGTCATTGAAATATTTTTTGTAAATGTATATAATATAAAAAAATATATCTACACACAAATATAACTCATAATTTTTTAAAATTCCATCTGCTGTATTCGTCAGAGAAAACCTAGGAAGATAATTAATTATTAGAATTAAGAAAACTTTTCAAAGGGAGGGAAGATAACTGGAAAAAATTATAATATAAAAAAAAATTACGTTCATAAGCGGCTAAAATGAATAAATGATTTTTGGTTTCATTTGATTTGATTTGATTCTGAAACCGCAATATTCGTGACCACATGAGGTGTAAGGGATTTCCGATTTTTTTTCACCCCCTTCTAATACTATTCACCGTAATTGACTTTTACAACTGTATGCGCATACGTTTAGAGGGCACTTTAAACCTACGGAAGGACTTTAGTTATGACGCCGTTATCGGTTAAACTTCAGACCATTGTAATTTTGATCACCATATGAATGGAACATTTCCGCTACACAATATAGTCGGGGTCATTGTCTTCCCCGGAGCGGACGGTGTTGTGTATTACAAAATTAAAAAAAAGTTAACTCTAGCTAGCTACCATCAGTTTTCTAATAATACGACTCCTAATCTGTCCATTTTTTCAGATCACGTCCATACCACAGATAACCAGAGTCGTCGAACTTATTACTTTTACGTCGGGGGTTCATATTTTCGAGAAAATTTATATTTTATTTAACATTAAACATAGAGAGCTATAGTGATGTCGAATTTAATATATGCGACTATAAATTATTCATATATATTATTATGCAGTATACTATAAATTATTTTGCAGTCATTATACTTTGGTGGCTTTATCGTACATTATGTAAATAAACTTGTTTCGAGGTACAACCGTGCGATAAGACACAGACAATTAAATATTCATTAAAATACATCAAAGAAAAATTGTTATATATATTATTTAATCCTTTATTTATTAAAGGAATACTAAGCCTAACTATACATATGTTGAATTGTTATAAAAAACACGATAAGCCACTGACAGGCTTTCACAATTAACAACAGATTAATTGTGTTAAATTCAACATCACTACATATAAAGGCAAAACAAATCGAGATTATAAAGTTAGGAAAGAACAATAGTAGAGTGACAAGTAACGAATTTTTATATGTATAGATATACTAGCTTTTGCCCGCGGTTTCGCTCGCGTTTATTTATCCCCTTAGGGGTGGAATTCATCAAAATCTTTTCTTAGGGGATGCCTACGTCATAGTAGCTTTATGCATGCAAAGTCTCAGCCCGATCGGTTTAAAATTAACAAAGTTTCATCCCCTATTTTATCTCCATGGAGGTAGAATTATTCAAAATCCTTCCTTAGCGGATGCCTATACGTTATAACATCTACCTGTATGCCAAACACAGGACAGATAGATCTCAATGAAGATTGATATGATGATATTTATCACGATGATGGAGTAGCTAGGATAATTATAGTTTTAAAAGAGCAGACTAAAATGTCTGCTGATTAGAAGTCTCTATTAAAAATAATATTATTATTAAAATGATAACACAACGCCATCTAGTGTCAAGCTCAGCAAAACTTAAGATATGTAATAGAAAAAATCTTTATTCAAATAAACTCAATACGAGCACTTTTGAATAGTCATATTTTTTATTCTACCATTCATTTGGAAAGCAGATTCTTCACAAGAAGAATAAGCAAGAAAATTGTGTACTTCTCTTTTGAATAGATTTTTTTATATGAATAATTACACAATAACAAGTGAGAGGCATGCGATAATCAACATAGAACAAACGCACTCATTCTTAGAGCAATCAGAGAATATTGTATGGGTAGTAGACATCTGATAAAAATACTTAAATACGTTTCTTTTGTAAATACTTACATAATAATATAATAGATAACACTCAGATTACAATCATACTCATGAATACATATGTTTGCATCGTGCGAGGAATCGAATCCGCGACCGTCGGAAGTAATGCAGTATACAGTAGGTATTAGGCCTCCGAAATCGTCTGGTAGGAAATATATAAATAATTTATGTGATATGGCTGTGTTTTAGAGATAGCCAGCTTTGCCTCATTATTTAAGTTTATATACTGAATTTTAAATTAAAGGTATTGTTTTTATATATGTACAAATAAATGTATGTGAAAATGTCGCAATAAAACTGAACAGTTTTATTGAAGCATTTTCAAAGAAAACAGTTTATTTGGTAATCCATTTGTGTTTCTTTTTATTATAATATATATTTTATAACAACATTTCTACGTTATATATGTAAATAAATTTATTTCTGTAATAAAGAATAGCCATTTATAACAATATTGTTGGTAACGAATTGGTGCTTATTTTTATCTAATTAAAATTGTGGGAAGTGATAACAGTTGTATTATACATGTATAGCATGAAAGACATCACATTATCATGTCCGTGAAAACATTCAGGAGTTGCCATTCCAAAGGACTGAATCTGCCTCTGTGTCATCATGTAATTTCGCAGCATAATCTGCACCCTACAACCGAAACAGTTTACAAAGCAAGCTACTTGGCTGCAATAGGTGACTGAGGTACCAACGCTGACGAGTTTTTATACCTCTGGTAAAATAGACTGTGGATAAATCTATAAGCCTATAATTGTGTCAAAACACCAATAAACTGACATGTTTTTGTATGAAATAATTAATGAATTACATATTACTATATATAAACTTATATTAACTATATATTACTATATACTACTCTTCTCAATACGACTGATTTAATCTTATTGTGTTTTTATATTTGAGCCTATTAAATTAGTGCTGGTTGGTTGTTTGTATTCACACGTTTCGACTTGTAAATGTGAACTCACAAGGATTATTTAAAGTTCTTCTTGTGATGAGACAACTTTTCGAATAAGCGGTAGATTAAAAGTCATTTACTTTTAATCTACCGCTTATTCGATATTATATATATGACCATTGAAAAGTGCTTAAATGAAGTTTATTTGAATAAATGATTTTCTATTCTATTCTATTTTTTAGCGTAATAACTACATTGCGAAACTTAACATATTATGTTTTTAATGGGATAAGTACACAACTCAAGAAAACAAGCAAGTTTCACGAGTAATATCCAACTTCTAAATATGAAGAAACTATTGCTAATCTTGTTGTTATCAAGTCTATCATACATGGAGTCAGCTAAAATTTTAGCACTTTTCGCTACGCCTTCACCAAGTCATCAAATGGTATTTCGAAGTTTAACTCTGGAATTAGCCAGAAGAGGACACGAATTAGTTGTAATCACACCTAGTCCTGCTTTCAAAGAAAACGAGGCGCCTGAAAATTACAAAGAGATCAGTGTTAGAAATAAATCTCAAGAAGCATGGAAGAAGAAACCTATTAATTCTGGTTTAAGTGGTGAATCAGCCGCAAAAATTGTTTTAGGAGCTCAGGTTGAAATTGTCAATGCACTATTCTTTGAATATTTGAAAAGCGATGATGTAAAACGACTAATAGAAGATGCAAATGCTAAGTTTGATTTGCTTATTCTAGAGGGATGGTTTCGACCTAGTATTGCGTTTGCGTATAAATTTAAAATACCTGTTATTAGATTCAGCTCATTTGGTACTGGTTTTAATGAATATGAAAATATTGGTACCGGTCGACATCCTATATTGAACCCTAGCATATTTAGTACTAAATTAAACGATAACACATTTTGGCGAGAAGTTTCACTGTTGTACGATAGTTTCTTTCACGCGAACCTACATAAATGTAACGACTACAAAAACGATGTACATCTGCGTCAATATTTTGGTGCTGATCTTCCTAGTCTGAGGGAGTTGATGAAGAATGTGGATATATTCCTGGTAAATGTGCATCGTATCTGGGAAATGTATGTACCGACTCCGCTGAGTGTGGTACACGTTGGTGGCATTCACTTGAATGCAGAAAAGAAATTGCCGGAGGTAAGTGACACTTCAACTATTATTAAAGTATATACATACGATTGTTGTCCAGCCCCAGAAGAGGTATTGTCCACTGTTGATGTTATGGTGAACGCAGCACTTGGCACCTACATTTTCTCGATATGTTCGTCCGTCGTCTTTTGAATTTATATAGATTTCCGGTGTTTATACCATCGGAGAATCAGGTCAGAAATATTAATTAACACAAAGTTTTAGGTGACCGCAGATTCGAATGCGATAGCTTTCAGTAAATCTGAGTAGTAATTTATCTGTTCTTATTCTAACATCTTCGACTGGAAACCTCATTAATATCTGGTAAATCTAAATTCTTTATGAGACCTTTATTCTCATTCACTGTTGTCAGTCCCATCGTACCTTAATCTCTAATATAAATAAAAAATACATATTTAGTCCAAAAATAGGTAACTAGACAATATACTATAAAAAAATTACATTATCATCATTACGTCGGGGCCTTAACCGAGGACACCACTTATAACCCAATTACTTTAACTAAGTTTTTTTTAATCTTATAAAATATTGAGCCTTTATTCCGCAAAATATGTCACCGCCATCGGGGCAACAAAACATCATAATATAAATAAACTACAGTTCATTTCCTACTGATGCCTACTTTATATAGATTAGAAATTGTAACTTATCTCTTTCCATATATATTCATTAAAAAAATATACCATATTATAGATACATATATAATATAGGTTTTTTTGTTCATAACCCTCTACACTTTCTCTACAGCACGTATCTATTCATGCATATAATAATGCATTAATAAAATTATGAAATATTTCTATAATGTCTTCCGATTAATACAGTAATATAAATTAATATATATATACATATATTTTATGTTGTAAATAAAAAGGTTAAAGACTTAAAGCAAACAGTTGAATACACACAGACATATTCACAATGTGTAGCATTTGTTGCGATAAAAAAACAAGTATCTAGACAAATTTTGTTTTTAATTACTGAAAAACATTTGGCCATTCCTATGCTAATACATTAATACAAATATTCAGTTTTATTGTAGCCTCTTTATGGATAACATGAAGCTATATGTTATTTACTGTTGCATACACGTACATTAAATCCAATGTCAATATACTAGCTGTATTTTAATGTTAATTTCTATTATATACTATCAAAATATATCGTATTGAGGAGTAGTATATTAATAATGAAGAAACAGTTGACAGTAGTTGTGTTATTATCAAATATATTAATGATTAAATCAGCAAAAATATTAGCTGTTTTTGCAACTCCGTCGAAGAGCCATCAGATTGTATTTCGTTCTTTAACACATGAGTTGCTCAGTCGAGGTCATGAACTGGTAGTAATCACACCAAACCCTGCTTTTCGAAAGGGCAAAGCACCTGAAAACTTCACAGAGATCGATGTAACAAAGAAATCTAGCGAAGGATGGAAAAAGAAACCCGTTCCTGCTGCATTCAATGACGCTATAGATACAAAAACAGTTTTAAGAACTCATCTTGGAATTGTTGCTACTGTTTTTTATGAGTATCTAGCATTAGAAGATGTAAATAGAGTTATACAAGCACAAAACGATACGTTTGATTTGCTTATACTAGAAGGATGGTTTCGACCGAGTATAGCTTTCGCCTACAAGTTTAATGTGCCAGTGATTAGATTCAGTTCTTTTGGTTCAGGATTCTCTGAATATGAAGAATTTGGTGCGGTTCAACATCCGATCTTAAATCCATGTATGTTAATTACAAAACCGCATGACCAGACATTTTGGGGTAAACTTACCGCTTTGTATGAATATTTCATTTTTGTTAACATGCATAAGTGTTTTGATGAAGATAACGATGTACGTTTGCGAAAATACTTCGGTGCTATTCCGAGCATACGTGAGTTGAACAAGAATGTAGACATTTTCCTTGCAAATGTGCATCGTGCCTGGGAAATGCACATGCCGGTGCCACCAAGTTTAATACATGTTGGTGGTATTCACTTAAATGCGGAAAATAAATTGCCAGAGGTGAGGTTGATTACTATGATCTTTTGTCGTGGTCCTGTGTAAGGGGATAAAAATAGCTAAATCAGACTAAAAAAATGATAGTATCACGTTTAGTTAACAGGGATTGCTGGATGACGATTCAGCTTACGATCGTTCCGCACCGCGTGTGTCGTCAGAATATATCTCTCCTATCAACCACCGTTATCCCCACTACATTTATTTCACAAACGTAATGTGGGAAATATGGCGCTGCTAATATGGCCAAGCGTTATACAGTAACGCCCATAGCTAGCAATTTACCATGTCAGGTTGAGCTCCACGCGGCTCCCTCTGGACACATCTTGGTAAATTGCTACTTAACAAGATGTGCTAACTAACTTAACTACAAGCTCATTCTATCATCCTCCACTGATACCTCATCAACGAAGACCGTAAGCGCAGGAGGGTGCATCATTCCATTATCATCCATAAAAACAATACAGTGGCGCCTTAACTTGCTTATAACAATTGCTACAACCGACATTTTATTCCAATAGTAAAAGATAAGTTACAAAATCATTATATTGTCAAATGCTACAACAATTTAATAACAGTTATTATTAAATTACAGGACTTGAAATCCTATTTGGACTCTTTGTCAAATGATGTCATTTACATAAGTTTCGGCACCAATGTGGAGACGTCTTGGTTACCAGCCAAACAACTGAACATTATGGTGGAAGTGCTGTCCAGCCTTCCATACCAAGTTATCTGGAAGTGGAATGAGGACGAGTTACCTGGACGAACTGAGAACATCAACATATCTAAGTGGTTACCCCAAGAAGCTCTTCTAAGTTAGTAACGATTGTTTGACGATTTTTACGATAGTTGACATTTTCTCTCGCCTTTATGTAGGGGTACTGGTAGATACTGTGGAAATCTTTCCTGCTAAAACTCCCATTGTAGCACTCTCATTCTTCCGAAACGCCAGCCGTCTTCTTCACTGAAGAAACTGCCGCCATGATGGTGTGGAGACCACTCCGTCACCACCCTCCACGGGCCACTCACTGTCTGAGAGCACAATAGCTATATTAGACGGCTTTAAATGGTCTAGTGGTTTAGAACAAAGTCTTACTTCCGATGGTCGCGGGTTCGATCCTCGCACGGTGCAAACATTTGTATTCATGAGTTGAGAGTTCATGAATACAAATGTTTGCACCGATTCAGAGAGTTTTTTATATTGGTCTGGATGTTTTATATATTTATTATCTATATGCATGTCTTTACAAAAAGAAAATATAAGTATTTATATGAGTTTTATCATTTTATCTATCCATAACAGACGCTTTGCTGGACAATTACCACTGCGCGATCTAGTCCTAATAAGTCGGGATAAGCGGGCGAATAAGCAAGTTATAGTAATGAATATTATATTGTGATCTTAATTTTTACTATACTTATTTTAATAAAAAAATCCACGTGGTCGAAGTAACAAGTAACAACTAGTATATACCTAATTCAACTTGAAAATTCAAATGCGCGCTATAAATATTTTCAGAGCACCCAAAGGTCAAGTTGTTCATAACCCATGGGGGATTGCAATCAACACAAGAAGCTATAGCCGCTGCCGTGCCTCTACTAGGCATGCCACTCAATATCGATCAATTTTACAATGTAGAAACTTATATTAAACTGAAAATAGGCTTACGAGCAGATTTAAAAACATTGACTAAAGAACAATTCAGACATGGTGTAAATACTATTTTGAAAGATAAAAGGTAAGTGTATAATAATTTGACATTATTTCATCATATGTATAATAATTTAATGAGTGATATTTCAGCTGTAGAAGCATTAGTAAATATCAACGCAGTGTTTAATATAATTATATATAACTCAAATGACTGACATAGTGATCTATCAACGCACAGCCCAAACCACTGGACGGATGGGGCTGAAATTTGGCATGCAGGTAAATGTTATGACGTAGGCATCCCCTAAGAAAGGATTTTGATTAATTCTACCCCCAAGGGAATAAAATAGGGGATGAAACTTTGTCAATTTTAAACCGATTGGGTTGAGATTTTGCATGCATAAAGCTACTATGACGTAGGCATCCCTTAAGAAAGGATTTTGATAAATTCCACCCCTAAGGGGATAAATTAACGCGAGCGAAGCCGCGGGCAAGCGGTATACCGGGAACCCATTTTCTAAGGAGAGATGCCTACATGTATGGATAGTTTCTTCGTTGCGAGTTTCGGAAGTAAGGTTTTGAAAATGACGCACTTATCCCAATGCCTCATCTATCGATTTTACTCTATTACTTTACAAATTTGACCGCGTCCGCCTCACTCATATAATAATAATAATAATAAGTCTATTACCCCATCAAAGGGAGATATATAATATATAGATATATAAAGAAATAATAATAATAATTTTATTTCAAACAACATGATCCATTTTGTTAGTAACAGCTTAATGACATAACTTATCCTATGTTAGTAATAAAATATAAAATAAAAAATATTATTATTTACGTAACCTAATTGTACAACTAAGAACCTAAAATTAAATAGCTTAAAAAAATATAATATGATGACTAAAATATATTATTAAACGGGGTCCCTTTAGGCAACGTTCCGAAGATACTGGCAGAGTTCCCTCTTTGAATAGCTAATTCTTTGTCCGAGGTAGCTGCCAGCTCTTCGGTCTTCTGTGATGTCGGCTAACCTTTTCGTTATTTCTATTAAATATAAAATTAAAATGTAACTTTTAACATATTACCTGTCCCACCCAGTGTCTTAGAATGGGCAATGTCCTGAAGGCATTTGCTTGTAAAGTAGACTGTACTTTACAAGCAATTGCCTTCAGGACACTGTTGGAACTCGCCCGCACTCTGCTTAATAGGGACGTTATTCGTTTCCGCCGTATAGCATAGAAATCGTCTGTCTTATGAACGTACTCGTATTATGAAAATTGCACGGATGGAGGGTTAAAAAATTTCGCAAACAGAAAAACAGAACACAATGCACCCAAATTTTAAAATTATGCACAAAAATACTTTAAATCGTTAAAAAAACTTCACACACTCTACCATTTATTTCACACAAACACGCATATAGGTATACTATTTTGTTTATTGAAAGTCTGTGATCAAATTGAGAATAGATTGACATTGTTTGATTTTAATATTATTTTTCTATAGACTTACAGATTTTAATGAATTATAGATGAATTTGATCACTGTGCTACAACTAATAGGGTTAAGAGGCTTTTAAAATTTGATGTTACTTCTTTAATTATTAAAATATTGTTAAAGAAATATCCGGTTGATAACCAACGCTGCACAGGATCCTTTTGCGGTCTTTAATTAAGTATCCTTGAAATGTTTTTTTTTCTGACTACTCTAATTCTGTTGGCCCAGCTGGCCTTTACAGCTTCACCTGACGATAGGAGGCGAGTACAGATGGCATTCCAAATCCGCGGAAGGATTTCAAGAAATTAAGGAAAGCCAACTTCCGCATCACGGATACGACTTTAGTCTGAGGGCATTGCCTAGCAAACTTTTCGGTTCGAAACTCGGCTCAGGCCATTGTAATTTCGATCCCCGTTTGAATCAGACGGGGGATTGACTGGAGAGGAAAAATAAAAAATTCTTTCATGGAATTTATTGGCAGCAACAAATTATTCACATTCTCATTCTTGATTGCAGTTACCACGAGAATGTTGTAGCACTTCGTGCACGATTGCACGACCAGCCACAGAATCCCGTCCAACGAGCCGCGTGGTGGACGGAACATGTCCTGAGGTACGGAGGCGGGCACCTACGAGCTCCCGCCGCTGGCATGCATTGGGCACGCTACCACGAACTCGACTTAATCGCAATTCTCGTCGCAATTTTAATTATAACCGTCATTCTCACCGCTATCTGCATTTACTATTCTCTAACATTCCTTTCGATGTATTTGAAGAAATTTCTAGTCGATATTATTGTATTTAAGTAATATATTTATAGAAAATATAAGGTTTTAAATATACCATTTCATTTTACTTGTTCTTGTTGTAAATGTTTTGATTTGGTAATGATAACTGAGGGCAATTTATAGAAGTATTATCTGTCCTGACTGCATATTCATCATATCATCCTCCACTGGTGGACCGCCAGCGTAAACCGTCAGTGCAGGCGGGTGCACCATTCCATTATTATATACTAGTTACTCGCCCCGGCTTTGCCCGGATGTACATGTATTATATATATAAACCGTCCTCTAGAATCACTCTATCTATTAAAAAAACCGCTTCAAAATCCGTTGCGTAGTTTTATAGATGGAACGGACAGACAGCGACAGCGACGTTGTTTTATACTACGTAATGATAACAATAATTTAACTATGTCTCTAACACAATTCACTTTAGCATTTAAAATATCTATAATTTAAACTAAATAAAATCTTACGCAACAATAACAAAATGATTTTACCTAAATGTCGTCTCACTAAAGTTAGTAATTCGTTTTATGGCAATTCATGAAGGAGGACTACTGGCCGAAAGGTGTGGTATATCGGCGCTACCGTGGGAGATTGCCGTCGTCAGTGCCGTGATCACACATACAATATCAATGGATTAGTTTTTTTATATTAAATTTTATGTATGTTAGTCTGTAAGGTATTTTTAATATGGACCTAGTTGCCTGAAATAAATCCTTACTAATATTACAAATGCGAGAGTAACTCTGTCTGTCTGTCTGTCTCTCTCCCTTTCACGTCAAAACTACTGAGCAGATTTAAATGAAACTTGGTACACATATAGTCTACACCCTGAGAAAGGACATAGGCTACTTTTGAATGCGAAAAAAGGGTTGTAAGAGGTTGAAAGGGACATGAAAAATTGTATGGAAGAAATGTCATTTTTGAAACTAGGAGCTTAAAAGTTATTTTTGTAGTTCCTGATTAAATATAAATAAATATGAAATTCAAAAATTTTAAAATAAAATTAATAATTAGGGGGTACATTTTTTTTATGTTAATTCATTATTTTTGAAGCTAGAAGCTTGAAACTTATTTTTGAGGCAGCTGATTAAATGTAAATATATATGACATACAAAGTTTTTCAAATTTTTACCCTTAAGGGGTTTAAATACCCTTAAAGGTTATTGATTAAACATAAATAAAGAAAAAGGGTTTTAAGGGGTAATAGAGAGATGAATCCTTTTGAATCCTGATTGAAAATTTTCCTTTTTGAAATCATACTTCATTGAATGTTTTCTTTATGAAATGTTTTTAAAGATTACAAGTATGTGTAAGTATTTGTTTTTTTCACGAAGAGAAACACCTGATTCAAGTTTCATGTACGTAATTGTATTGTTCTAGCAGATGTACAGAAACCTGTTACAGGAAGTAAATTAATTACAATAATGTTTCAGTCACCTGTGTTAATGGCTGATGTAATTCATTAACATTTTATAATGTTAGTATGGATCTACGCATTTCGATAAATATCTTCAGGGTACAATCTGTATTGAAGTAAAGTTTCGTTGAGATCTGTTCAGCCGTTTAAGTGTTATAAGGTAATAGACAGACAGACAAACTTTCGTATTTATACTGTTATTATGGACGTACGTATTTCGATAAATATCTTCAGGATACATATGTATTGATGTAAAGTTTCGTTGAGATCTGTTCAGCCGTTTAAGTGTGAAAAGGTAATAGACAGACAGACAGACTTTCGCATTTATAACGTTAGTATGGAAGTACATATGTCGATAAATATCTTTAGGATACGATCTGTATTGAAGTAAAGTTTCGTTGAGATCTGTTCAGCCGTATAAGTGTGATAAGGTAATAGACAGACAGACAAACTTTCGCATTTATACTGTTAGTATGGACGTACGTATTTCGATAAATATCTTCAGGATACATCTGTATTGATGTAAAATTTCGTTGAGATCTGTTCAGCCGTTTAAGTGTGAAAAGGTAATAGACAGACAGACAAACTTTCGCTTTTATACTGTTAGTATGGACGTACGCAATTCGATACATTAATGTCATCATAACATACGGGCAGGGACACAAAATGGTCGATATTCAGATAACGTAAACATTTTACAAATGTATAAACTACGAACTAGCGACTTGCCTCGGAATTTCATGATTTCATGTTATAATATAATTACTACCTACTCGCCCCGGCTTCGCACGGGTGTACATGTATTATATATATAAACCTTCCTCTAGAATCACTCTATCTATTAAAAAAACACTTCAAAATCCGTTGCGTAGTTTTAAAGATTTAAGCATACATAGGGACGGACAGACAGCGACAGCGACTTTGTTTTATACTATGTAATGAATAAGCAGACGAAGTCGCAGGTATCAATTAGTACTTATGTATTTATACAAATAAATAAAATTGAAATGTCTGTTTGTAATATTAGACTAACAGCTTGTCACTAAATGCAAAATGTGAAAGAACGGGTATTTGCATAAAAAAGTTGTCTGACTGTCAGTTCTTGCTAATCTCCAAAACTCGCAGATAGCTAATATCATAAGGAGTAACTTAGGCCACGTTTTTTTAGAAATTTTATTTATTTCACAATAGGTTTGTAATATACCGACTTTGATTCGTCTTTTCGTCATCCGTTCTTTCATCACTTTACTTTTTTAATTGTAGTATTTTAATTAATAATATCAACCAATTCTTATTGTTTTCCTAATATATTTTCTCCAATAATGTAACAGCAAATTTTTTAATAAAATACCACATGAATTTGAACGCGCGACCCCTGCCCGCAGCTGGCGCCGCAGCTGCGAACGACCGTTACGGGTGAGCACGTGCCCTTACGATCCAGTGCACACACACACACAAAGACAGACAGACAACCTATCTCGTTATTATATCAAAGAAAAGTCATATATATTTATATGGTCCAGTTTAGGATGATAGAATGAGGATATTGAGGTTTGTAATCTCAGTATATGACAATATAACAATCAACTATCATTTTGTAAAATGATTGTTACTTAGCAACGGTTGTTTGAGAAATAATAAAATCTTACACCGAATAGTTTGTTTCTCTAATAGAGGATAGAGTTAACTCTGTTTTTTTATGGATGATAATGGAATGGTGCACCCATTGCGCTGATGATTTACGCTGGCGGGGCACCAGTGGAGGATGATAGGTTGAATATGAGGTCAGGTCAGTTAGCCCATCGTGAGAAATTCACTAGGAATTTACCAGGATGGTTTCCAGGAGGAACTGCGTGGAGGTCAACCCGACATGGTACATTGCTAGCAATGGGGTCATAAATCCACATTACTAAGAATCACCTTTGCAGGTATTTGAACCCCTTCCGAGGATTGCCATTTATAAATGTATTACCACACATAAGGTACTAGAACTCGTTACTCGTTCTGCACATTGCTGTTTAAAAGCGGGGAAGATGTTACCTATACCCGTTTAAATAACTAATTTTAAGTGACACAAGGGAAAAATATATATATTATATACTGTTTTAAACTTGACGCGGTCATTATTTATACGTATAATTAGTAAAAATCACGACAACCACCATGATCACGGGTAAACTGATTACCAGTTTACCCGTGATCATGGTGGTTGGAACACTACCGAAATATCGGGAACTCAGCAAATATAAAACGTGGTAAGATCCCGTGATTTTGACTAATTATACGTATAAATATATATATTATATTTATATCTATACATATAAATAAAATTGGAGTGTCTGTTTGTAATATTGAAATAACCGTTTTTTACTACATGCATATGAATATAAATACGGTAAATACACCAAAATAAGCTTCCAGCTAATCTCTGAAATGGCTGGACCGATTTTGACGGGACTTTTTTTAATAGGTACCAGACGAATTTGCACGGGTCAGCTAGTTATAATCAGATTAACACATAGAAAGACATTGTGTTATGGGTACTAGACACCTGATACAAATAAATCCATTTTTTTTGTAAATACAAAAATAATATACATAGACAATCATACTCATGAATACAAATGTTTGTACTGCGCCAGGAATGGAACCTGCGACTATAGGATGTAATAAAAATTTAAGTGCTTATCTTTTTATAGGCAACAGAAATATCAAACAAACAAATACAGCAACCGTCATCTATATTATATACTTACATGAACAGAACTACCTATATATATCACACATGTGATTACCCGTTGCTATTCCAGAGGATGATAGAGATCTTTGGGGGAGGCCTTTGTCCAGTGGACGTCTTCCAGGCTGAGGTGATGATGATGATGATGATGATTCCAGAGGACCAAGATATCATACTTCTAATCTTGTAATTTCACTACTTAATCTGATCGTACTATATTTTACAAAGCAAACTGCTTGGCGGCTGAAATAGGTAAGTCTGAGGTACACACACAGTCGAATTTTATAAAGTCTGGTCTACCTTTAGTAAAACTTTTAGGATTATAATAATAATAAATAACCCTGGACAATTAACACAACCTAGTCCCACGATAAGCAGAGCTTGTGTTATGGATACTAGACAACTGTTATAATTACTTAGATTGTTATTTTTTTATAAATACTTACATAATATACATAGAATACACCCAGTCTTACACAAACAATCTTAGTCATGAATACAAATTATTACACTGTGGGAGGAATCGAACCCGCGACGATGGGAGACCACTGGACCACCGAGGCCGTCAGGATTAACTCTGTTTAGTAATAATAATAGATGAATCATCTCCAAAGTAAAGTATATCTATAAAAATGTTAAGTTATAACGGAACTCCACTCTCACTAAAGTTCACCCCACATAAAAACTTCTTTCCGTCGCTCATTCAATAATTGCGCAAAGCGAAAACTTGCAGAAGCTACATATTCAATTTAAAATCATCCTTATGTCTAACTGTATTAAACATCATTTACAATCGTTACTAATAATACCTTATCGCCTTTTTATATTGTGACAATAAAGATAAATATGCACCCACTATACACTATATTTTCGACGTAATACTCGACGCAATAAAACTTAAAGTCGAGAGTATTGTTGAACTATTGAAATTGGAATTCGAATAGCTCGTGCCATAAGCAGGGGTGCGCTCGCGCCGTTTCCGACCCTTTTAAAAAGGGAATGCCTCAGTTTACAAGTGACCGTTAAAATGAATGGACGTTTGTGACAATTTCAAATAATAAAATTTTTCATTACTATAGTGATAACATATCTAGTTTTAACTGTATATATTAGTGTTAAATATACGTGTTTAAGTTCTAAACTAATTACTTTAAAAGTCATGACCTGAACGGTCACGGTTGAAGAACACTCCAAGACAGGAATTATTCTTTGAAGCACACTTCTTAAGAAACCGGGGGAACATTTACGCTTAAACGATGGAGTCGCCTAAAATCGTATACAAATATTACTCAAACCCAGCTTTCTGTGCACAAAGCGAAGTTTTGTTCGCACAGAAATCATGTGTAACGAAGATCGTATCACCAAACAGGCAGAGGATGCCGCCATTAGGTGCCAACTCGCCAAGAAAACATACAGAAGTAAACAATAGAATAGTTAGAACTGATATATCTGATAATCCATTAAGAATGTCACCGGCCGGTCGTAACAGAGACGAACCTCCGGAATTACCGCCTAAACCAATTAAATTTCAATCCAGAAACTTCTATAGACAATCATCTTTAATGTACAAACCGACACGTTCGACAGTCAGATGCAGAACAAGAAGTGAAGACTTAGAAATGGCAGAATTTAGACAAAGGAGGAATACAAAATACGATAGAAACGCTGAAAGCGATGATGGATTAGAAGATAGCAGGTATAAGCATAGATACGAAGTTATACCAGACGATATTGACGATTTAATTGATTATTCTCCAACGAAGAAGAGAATAGTTGAAGCAGATGCAGCAGAGGTTATAGAATATAACGTAGATGGACCTGATGACAACGAATTGAAAGAGATACCTACAGAAATTGTTAAAACCGTCAATGGGAAGACGCACAGATATGCTATTGTTCCGTCGGACGACGAGGAGCTTGTTAGGAAGAATAATGTTACCTTTTCTTCTCCAATGATGTCAAGAAAGGATTTAATAGCAACGCAGAAGCTACACGAGCTATTATCAACGCCGAGGAAGTTAAAGAGCTATGCCAGTCAGCCATCAGTTAGAATTACGCCCAATAAATCATCAGACAGTCCAAATAGATATGTGGGAACACCGAAGAAGATCATCGCTAGTACGCCTACCAAAGGAGTCTCTTCCTCTAAATCCTGTGCGAATTTGGCTTCTAGAAGTTTAGCAACGTCGCCAATTTCACCTAAAGCTCAGCAGAAATTGAATTACGGATTGTCAGATGAATTTAATAGGTCGGATGTATTTGTGACAAGTTTTAGAGAGAAGAGTCATGATAGAAGTTTAGATTTTGATAGAAGAAATAGTAATAGAGATAGTAGAAGAACGAGGGAGCCGAAGAAGGATAGAACAACTGCTGTTATAATGCCCAGGTAAGCAATAAACACTCATTTTTCTTTTCAGCTTCTTGTATTAATACAATATTATCTGATTACAAACCTAATACCAAACAGCATTATACATTATATAATTACTAAATACATCAATATCATTATTTATAACTACTACTACTACTAGCGGTTACTCTAGACTTCGTCCTCGTGAACTTCACTTTATTGATTATAATAAATAAATAATATATTACAAAAATGATTAAAATATCTAAAATAAAAGTAGCCTATATCCTCTCTTAGCAATAACATTAGCTATCTGTGTGCAAGTCCTATCAAAATCGGTCAATCCATTTCAGAGATAAACATATAAATAGATAGACAAAATATGTACAATTATTTTTTTTAATGTACTCACTGAGCTTATAACCTTTTTGTATTTCTGCTATTATATATAATGACACGAACTATAAATCTTTGTATTGTCTATATTTATTGTTATTGTTTGTGACGCTCGCCATCAACAGGGAATTCATCCCTACACGCTGGAACCTAAGTGGTCTCGGACAGTGCGGTTTCAGAGGAGCTTCCTCCCGCGTGCAGTTACATTATTGTAGAATGAACTACCTGCCGAAATTTCGAAGGTTTTTTAAAGAACTCCCACGTAAACTTACATCGTGGAAGGAACTAGTAAATGCTAATTTTTTTGAAGGTTTGTTCAAGAAGGGTATGTAGTTTTCTTATGTATCGGCAACTCGCACGTGACACCCCTGGTGTTTCAGGCGTCCATAGGCTACGGTAACCGTTTACCATCAGATGGGCCGTATGCTTGTATGCTATTCGTAGTATAAAAAAGGTGATTAAAGAATTCAAATAAACGTCTTATCTATTTCTGCTTCCAGGGTTGCACCGGCTCCTGAATCGATATATTCAGATGATACATACAAATCAATCAATAACTTGAAGACAATCAATGCTGCTACTGCCTCTTTGACCATTGCTGCACTGATGCTGACTTTATGCGGTGGTCTGACTACTGGGCTCAGTTTCTACATGATGTATGCTGTAAGTATATATTTTAGAAGAGGATTTTTAGAAATGTGGATTAATAACCTAATTGCTAACAATGTATAATGTCAGGTTGACCTTCTCGTGGTTCTCCATGGAAACTATCGTGATAAATTCATTGTGAATTTACCACGTGATCTCATGCTCATCTTATCATCATCCACTGGTGCCCAGCGTAGACCGTTAGCGCAGGCGGGTGCGCCATTCCATTATCATTTAATATTATTATAGACTGATACAAACAATGAATTCAACTTTACCGTACAAGGAATGGAATCCCCAACCATTGGAAGGAAATTGTGGTAACTGCTATACCAAGGCCGCAAATACTAGCTATAAAAATATAGTAATAACTGAAAAAAAGCAATGTTTTTTTCTCCCAAATGTCAAGCAGTTATTAGACACTAGCTGTTCTCTGTTTTCAACCGTATGAAATTTATAGCACCTGTATTATTCTGATGTATAATCTATATTACTGTAAGATTCACTAAATTCCGTTCAGTTGTTTTTAGTGACAGATCAAACATCCATACATCTATCCGTCGATACTTACAAAGTTTCGATTTTAAAATAATAAAAGTAAGAAGTAAGATTTCTCAAAACATGTGACTGCCAAAACCGTCAATTCTACACGTTTAAAAACGTATAAATTTATCTTTTTTATTTACATAGACCTCAACAATGCACTCTAGTCATATTTATCTGAATGTATCTACAACGGATATGATTTTAGTGTATTTAATAATTGATAATATGTATATCATTATGAGAAGGCATGAGAAATGCGTATACTTGAATATACAAATAGATTTAAAGTGTCAATAAGTTTGCATATGCGATAACGGTTTGATCTCTTCAACATTATATACATTACTAGCTATCACAATTTTTTTTTAATATAATAATAAAAAATTATGTTCTTGGTGGTCTAGCGATTTAGCACACCGCTTTAGTTCTGATGGTCGTGGGTTCGGTTTCTCGCACGGTGTAAACAATTGTATTCATGTGTATGATTGTTTGTATCGGTCTGAATATTCAGGGTATCTTTTATATTTATAATAAAGCCATGGGGAAACCGAATTAAACCAAATTATCAATAATAATTCAAAAACTACTGACTACTAAACTAAGATATAAAATAGTTTATTCTAATAAATTTCATTTAAGTACTTTTGAATAGTGTTTTTTAATCTACCGCTAATTAAGTAATCTATCTCATCACAAGAGAAACGAGATATAAACTATATAATTGTTCGTTTATAAAAAATAGAATTTTATACTAGTTCCTTATGGTATGGTAATAGGTGTGTAATTTTATATTATTATATAAATTTATATTTTTATTTTATATAAATAATATAAATTTAATTGCTATATTTTTTTGAGAAAATTTATATGTAAATATCTTCATATATCTAAATCTCTGAAACCGCATCAAAGTAATCAGAGAAACGACTAAAATAGCGGTTTTCCTTTAGCTCTTATTTACGAGTAGTTGGCTGTATCACAATGTGGTGTCTCTGCATTTATTTACAATAAAAAAATAAAATAAATACGGTCGTCTCTTTCGTTTTCCCACAGTTCCATATTTAAACAAGATAGCGTGGTAGGAACAAGTTTTGCCAGCGTTTCAACAATTTGCAACTTTGTAAATATACAGTATAAGATATGTTTTACAATATACGATTGCTACCGTAGATAGAGAATTATTAACGGATACATAAGACCTTCAAAGCGTAGGACTTGTCAACTTTTTTTTTATTTACGGCACTTTTCTTAGGAAATTTGTCTCAACTGACATAAAGTGCTCAATACAATTTTACAATATTTGTCTATTTTTTTTAATGGATGATAATGGAATTGTGCTTCCGCTTGCTAACGTTTACGCTGGCGGGGCATCAGTTGAGGATGATAAGATGAGCATGAGATCGGCTGAACCCATCGTGACAAATTAACCAGTAATTTATCACGATGGTTTCCAAGGGAAACCTCGTGGATGTCAACTTGTCAACAGTCCCCAAATTATTGAAAAAGGATTGTACGGATTTTGATGACACTTTATACTAATATAGTTTGTACTTCAGAATAACATATAGGCTATAATTTAAAAAGATATTATGTAAATTGGGCGGAATATAATGATAAATGTCAAGTAAGTGTGACGCAGACGAAGTTGCACGGTTCAGTAGGGTTGCCAACAATACTTTATAATAACGTATCCTACTTTATTTCTGGTAATTGTACTTGTGTCTACACTTATATTATATTATATACACAATATTTCTAAACACTTGATACCCTTCCAATTAGTTTACGTCTCCACTAACATAGATTTAAGTTAAGTGTAAAATCAGTCTACGTCCCGACTCCGCGTTGACTGGACGCGTTATTAATAAACCATGTAGCAACTAATAAACTAATAATGTCTAATAAATAGTGCAAATTTTACTGGTATACCAACCTACATACTACAATAAATAATATATTATGTAGCGCCACCTCATCACAAAACATATATAACGCTACAGTGATGAGGATAACCACCGCGCTTACTTTTATATATAAATATGCAAAAATACTTTATTTTCAACTTTTACTGTGATAAATCAAAATACTCATTATGGGTATTTAACGATGTATAATTACTGAATAAATGTTAGATATCAGTTGAAGGTGATATTTAACACAGCTCTAGTGTTAAAAGCACACATACGTTTTTCAAAGTAATAAAAACATAGAATTTGAAATTTTTTTTCATTTTATTTTTTCCTATCCAAACCATATTATACAATTTTTTTGTCAAAAAAAGTTGGCAACCCTCTATATATAATAATATATCAAATTATTACTCTTTTCATGACGACTGGCCGCTTACAGGTGAGACAGAGACATCCATAGTCCATCTATAAAATTTTCTCACGTCATTCGTCACTCGCCATATAGAACTCTGTTTTAAATACATTTTTTTAAGTATGTGAACCATCTAATATAATTTATTATTGTAGAGGTCTATAGTAGAGTCTATTTTATTTAAATATCAAATACTACCAATTTGTTTATGTACCTACTTATATAAAATAAATTCAAAACGTCTGTTAAATCAAATTTACTGAGCAAAGCATTACTCACTAAAGGATCACTTGAAGGACCAGCGTGAATGGCAATTGTGGTTCATGCACGGGATTTTCATTTAATGTTAGACATAGACACCTATATACATTGTAATCTGGCTTTAAAAAAAAAGTATTTCAATTGAGTTTCTTGCCAGTTCTTCTCAATTGGATCTATATACTGAATTGGGCAATAGGGAAAAATTATAATAAATATTTGACGTTCATAAGCGGCTAAAATGTCTTACATGAATAAATGATTATTGAATTTGAATTATAGGTTTGAACAGTATTACGGTTCTTTAGCAGTTATGAATGGGCTATTGTTTATATACTATTGAGGGTTTTTTGTAGTATCAGAAAAGAGGGAGGTGAAGAGATTATTGGGCTACAGTAAACCCAATATATATATAATAATAGATATTTTATTATAATTCACACAATAAAAGAAAAGTAAAATATGTTAATATATTCACTATGAAGTCTAAATTTACAGTCCTTTATTTTCTATTGTTCTAGGAATGTACAATTTTCAAATTTGTATTTTCCTTATATAAACTAAAGAGTTATTACAACACCAATTATCCCAATTATATATTTACATTATGTATCATCATTTTATCCCATTATTTGTGGTCGGCGCAGTATGTCATTCTCTTCCACTGCTCTCTATCGGCCGTCATATCTGAGCATACTCTCCTTTTATTCATATCATCTTTCACACAATGAATCCATCTTTTTTAGGGCGCCCGGCGCCCTATCCCTTTCCATCCACGTTCATATTATACACTTTCCTTAAGACATGATCCTCGCATAACATGCCAATACCAGCTATATACACATAACTGGCGCAACTTTTAAACTCCCTGTCATTCCTGGTAACCCCACACATCCACCTCAAGATTCGCATTTCTGCCACATGCACTTATGTGTATTTATGAAAGATTTACAATAGATATATACATAAGAAAGCGATTCGGTCTCGATTGACAGGCTTGGTAAATTGTTTTTCAACGTCATAACTAGGCAACGGTGGTGTTGCCGCGCGATAATAGTAAATTTATCACAGATCTTTTGTCAAAGACTACTTCTATGCTTATGTACTACTTGTATGTTTGTCAAATACATGTGTCTGTGTAATGTTTGTTTTATGCACAATTATGGAAAAAACATTAGCAGTCCGCATTCTGGGCCCATAACCTGAAGGTTTTTACGAGGAAAACTGGAGTAAAAGAATTTTAGGCCTTTACAGAACTACTATTATATTTAGACATCGCTTGTGACATCCTTTTAAAAAACAAAAATACATATTAATTTCTTCATTTTTACACATTCTTCTATAAAAGGTATTCATTCATTCATAATTTAAGAGCTGTGCTCTTGTCGGTGGAGCTCCCGCCACCTTCCAAAAGGTATAAGTGTGCGAAATTTAATACTCCACCGTTCACACAATTGTCGTAAAAAGGGGTAGGTTAGTACAAAGTTTTTGTTTCACGTATTAATATATATAAAGACAGTGATGACCACACACCGCCGAGCAGTCAGCATTTATAAATAACGACTACTCATATACTGTTTTAATCAGTCTACGAGATCATGGCGGTTGAAATAATGCCGAAATATCGGGAACTCAATAATAATAAAACGTGATAAGATACCGTGATTTACTAATTATACCTACAATGTCATTTACAGATGGGTCGTCGATACTATCTGGACTTTGGTGTTCTGGCTGGTTTCACCTGCTTCCTGCTGGGTCTACTCGGCTTCAGATCTAGGAGGCAACAGCTGTTGCCTAACAGGAATTATGTTTCTGGTAAGTACCTTCTTCGTTTGTCAATAGCAACCTGAACATGGGCGTAGCCACGATGGGGCCTTTATATCAGATTTTTTTTCGGACTACTCTAATGCTGTTGGCAGCAATTGGCCTTTACAGCTTCACCGAACGATTGGGGGCAAGTGCAGATGGTAGTCCAAACCAAATAAAGGACTTATGAAGTGGCTGAAGGACAACTCCTGCCTGATGGTTACGACTTTAGTCTGAGGGCACCGCTAAAGGTTTGACCTCTGCACAGGCCGTTGTAATTTCTATCCTATTTTGAATTGGATGGGGGATCGATTGGATCTTCAGTATGCGAGTCCCATACAATAAATTGTTATAGACAAAAAATATTCCATTTTTTGTCTATAACAATTTATTGTTATATTAAGTATGATTACAATAAAATAAGCATAAAAGAGACGCCTGTGTCGGAGAGGTTGAAGAGTAATCGTCTGTCGTGGTTTTGCTTGTAATGCGTAGGAATGAAGATAATATTTTATGGAAGGTGTTACACATAAATCTGGATGGTTATAAGGGCAGAGAAAGGTCGAAAAAGAAATGGATGGACTGTGTGAAAGATTATATGTTAAGAAAGGGAGTAAATAACGAGATGATTGCGAACAGGGATGAATGGAACCATAAATAAATGGGACAAAGAAGAAGCTGATAATCATGAACAATTTCTTGTTACAGGGTATATAGTTCTCTCGACGTTCTCTCTGCTCAGTGCCTTCGGACTCCTCATTCTTCTGACCGTTCAACCTCAGCCTGGCTCTCCAGTCAATGATATCACGTCAGGAGCTGTTTGTGGAGTCAGCATATTGTCTCTTGGTCTCGCCTCCATTGGGGTATTAGCCTCGTATTGCTGTGCGAGAGATCCCCCTGACAATCGAGTGGGGACTGCAACGTGGTATTAAGGTTCTATGATCAATTTGTATATGTTGATTTTGTGTAAAGTTATTTGTATGAGTAACTTTTTTTTATATACCATGTAGGTGGCAAATAAGCATTCGGTCCATCTGATGGTAAACTGTAACCATAGCCTATAGTGACTCTTAAGAAAGCTTAATATACCCTTCTAGAAACCCTATGCTGAAGTCTCTAGAGAAAACCTCGGCAGGTAGTTCATTCCACAATGTAAAACAGTAGAAATAGAAATAATCTTTATTCAAATACACTTAAAAAAAATATAAGCACTTTTGAATAGTCATATTCTTCTTATTCTACCACTCTAGTTATGGTCCGTAAATTGATTGTCGCATGCCTCCTCCCTGTTAATGTGTGTTTATTTAAATCAGCATTTATTCAAAAGAGCAACTCGCAGGATTCCTGTTCATTCTTCTTGTGATGAGACAACTTTCCGAAAAATAAGTAATTCGTATCCAAAAGTGCTTAAAAGTGGGTTCATAAATTTTGTTCTAAGTAAACACATTAACAAAGATTAGGCATGCGACAATCAACATATGAACCACTATGCACTCAAACTTTGTGGAATCATATAATATTGTAAGCTCTATGAATTTAAGGCAGATTTTATTCTACAAAAACATTATTATTATTTATAAAGTCGTCGATTTTATAATAAGTTTGTTTACAAAATAAATTATTTATAAGACATTTTCTGGCAGATTGAGGACAGACTCTGGCAGTTTGTTGCAAAACCATACGCAATTCCCATAAAACTCTGAGCAACCTGAACCTTTGTTATATCTGTGTTATTGCTCTTAATTTTTCATCAGGAGTATCATTGCATTATGATTACATTGAATTTAACAGATTTCAGAAGTATTAATTTCTAATATATAACGTAAACTATGTAAATTACAAACGTAGATATTGTTATAAAGATAATGTAAGTATATTTAAACGAATATTATAAGAGTATTATTTTAATTACATTATTTGTTTCCTATAAATAAACTACCAAAATACATTCCTGACATTATAAAACATTACTAAATGTGTTTGTATTGTTTTAATTCAAATCTGTTTTGAATTTAAAATGTTTATAATAATATTGTATGTCTATATCTTTAATGTAATTTATAGGCTATTAATAAGATCACAAAATAGTGTAGAGTACATATATGTATAATTCTTTTATACCATACATTTATACAATACCCTTCTTCAGGCGTTCTCTTCACAAACAAATTCACACAAGCACATACACGCACTCATGCGCACACACACACACATACACACCACTATTCACTTTGATAAAAATATTCTCATCAATTCCCTCATAAGTACACCATAATATGGAAGAGGACTCAGAAGTCAGGGAATTCATAAATTAATTGTACAAAATATGTGAAATAAAATAAATGATTATTATTTAGGTACCAAAGGTTCCAGCTTAGTTTTATGCACGTCTTTGCTTTTAGTGTATTTTAAATGGACTTATGACAATCTTTTGAGCTGTAGTACAGGTTCGGCGTGTGCTAAGCTTTTGACCGTGTGTACGCATGAGGCCGGCAGGAAATTAATTTAAATACAGGAACATTTCTTGAGCCTCAGACGCTCCAAATAGCAACCTGTCTACGGCGTGGGGTTCCGGTCTGCATCATCATAAATGTCCCTGTGGTAGTGATGTCGACAAACTAGGACATCACGGACTGTCATGCCAAAAAAGTGCAGGCCGCTTCTTGAGATATGCCGCAATTACCGATATCATACGCCGGCCTTGCCACCGTCGACGTGCCAAGTCTACTTGAGCCGGTATTGCAACAGACGATGGCATGAGATCGGACGGTATGAGTTTGATTCCATGGAAGATGGACCGGATGCTGGTATGGGATGCAACCTGTTCAGACACGCTGGCCCCATCCCATCCACAAGGAACCAACAATAGAGCTGGTGCGGCTTGTGAAGCGGCTGAAAAAACTAAAGCATGCAAATACATGGGTCTAGGCTCCGAATATGATTTCGTCCCATTCGTCCGTCCTTCCCACCCTTGGTCCGTGGGGTCCTAGCGCTATAAGACTTTTTAAGGAAATAAAAAGGTTAGTCGACATCACAGAAGACCGAAGAGCTGGCAGCTACCTCGGACAAAGAATTAGTCTAGCCATTAAAAGGGGGAACGCTGCCAGTATCTTCGGAACCCTGCCTAAAGGAACTCCTTTTAATAATATATTTTAGTTATTATATTATATCTTTAAGGTTTTTAATTTTAGGTTCTTTGTTGTATAATTAAGTTATGTATATATAGTATGATTTGTTTCAAAAATATTTTAAGAAGTGAAAAATATATTGTATTATTAATTATTGAAAAAGGTGTTGCCGCCAAAAGTACATGTAGCTAAATTTGCAAGACAATTCTTGAAATCAATATTTGTTATTTAAAACCGTTGTAAGGTTTAAATAAGGCATTATGTTAATTGTAATTGTTTATAACTGGGCTCGTCACATATAAAAAAATAATTTGTCTATGGTTTCTTATGAAGATATTATTATTGTGATGAATTGATTTGTAAATATTTTTTATTTAAATTGTTAGACAAGAATAAAGTTTAAATGAATAATAAATGTACGAGTACATTGTGTTTCTTATACTGAATGAAATTAATTAATAAACCAGTTTTTTCATTATGTATTAATAGTCCTCTCCTCTTCCTAGTTGATGATGATGTATCATGAATATACTTGGGTTAACAGCACACGCTGGCGAGACACAAGTAAACAATGGAGTATATTCTGATCTCAGAGTCATTTTGTCATCCTCCACTAGTCCCCAGCGAGCGTAAACTGTCAGCGCAGTTAGGAGCACCATTCCATTATCATACATAAAAAATGGAGTGTAAACATGAAATCATTCAGGACAATTAACCGATCTACCTCATCATCATCATCGCAGCCCGGAAGACGTCCACAGCTGGACATAGGCCACCCCAAAAGATCTCCACGACAATCGGTCTTGCGCTGCTCGCATTCAATGGCTTACAGCGATCTTGGATCGTCGGTCCACCTTGCTGGAGGCGTTCCCACGCTGCGTCTTCCGGTCCGTGGTCGCCACTCGAGGACTTTACTGCCCCAACGGCCATCTGTCCTACGAGCTATGTGCCCTGCCCACTGCCACTTCACCTACCTACCTATTAAAAAAAATGTATGTCTGTTTATCTTGGCAATCACTGAAACGGCCGGTACGATTTTTACGTGACTTTCACTTGGAGATTGCAAATATTCACTTAGATTACTTTTATTTTAGAAATGCATTTGCTTTAAAAAAAAAGTTTCATTAATATTCTGAACATTTATATATTTTTTATACATCAGTGTAATGAATGATTTGTTTTCGAACGCAAATGTCAAAAATAAACGTCACTCATGACATTACAATAATGACAGCTTACTGATAATTTATTATTGTAGGAGTTTTGTATTATAAGTTATAATTTATTTTTATGTACAAAATCTATTTAAGCTTTAATTATTATTCGATTAAACAGTGCCGTGATTTCGTTTGTGAAATTAATAAAAATATTTGTTTTTGATAAGGTTCAAACATGATTGAGATAACAGCTCTTAGTAACAAACCATAATAGGAACAAAACATCTATTGTTCCTTACATTGAGTGGTTTCTATAAATATGTGTATGTTAATTTGAAGACTGCAATCAAGTAAGTCGTTATATTTGTTAATTATTGACTTAGAAATCTAATGGATGCTATATGTTTATCAATAGAATATTGTTTACATAAAATGTTTTGTCTTTGTCAAAAGCAACTAAGAAGTACTAACTTGCTGTTGTAGGTTGCGATTAGGCAGTGAAATTATAGGATAAGAGGCACGACATCTTAGTGTTTCGGATTTATTTATGACTCCATATGCTTAAGCAATTTATCACCTCAACTGTGACATTAACTATAGTGCAACTGGCATGTACATTCTTGCAAGAATAGATTATTTTTATGCCATGATAAGGAAAAAACTGCATCCATATTAATCAGAATGTGTGTCAACAAAGTTCTAAAACATTGATGTTCAAACTTAATACACAAATAAAGGTACATTTTGTTGGTGTGCTTGTTAGCCAGAGGTTTAACATAATATAATTATTGCTCCTTATTGTATGTTCGGCTCACTTTCATTTAAATTATTATTTGATCTTGACATTTTCATTATTATGTATTGAAAATTCGGTACTTTAAATATTATATTTATTGATAATTCTTTTGTTATTTTATGTTGCACCTGGAATAATATAACAAACAAAATTTATGAAGTATGAAGGTGTAAAAGGCTTAGCTTAACTTAAAGGTGTCTTATCACTTAACATGTTAAAGACTGCATGCCCACTGGTGGGTCACACCGCAATTAAAGTAAATTTATATGTTGGGATCGGGTAATTGCTTGTGGGCACTTTAATTGAAATAAATCTAGGGGTTAAATAATGTCTGCCTCCGATCATTGTACACTAAAAACATATTTAAAAAATAATATATGTAATCTATACATAAAAATAAAATTGGAGTGTCTGTTTGTAATATTGAAATAACCGTTTTTTACTACATGCATATGAATATAAATGCACCATAATAAAATTTTATAATTTATGTTTGTCTGTCTGTTTGTTCCGGCTAATCTCTGAAATGGCTGGACCTATTTTAACGGGACTTTTTTTGGCAAGTAGCTGATATAATAAGAAGTAACTTGGGCTACTTTTATTTTAGAAAATTTCTTTAATTTTAGTAAAATAAAGTAACATTCCATACGGATGAAGTCGCATGTACAGCTAACTAGCTGACATGCGACAATAAAAAAATATCTATATGAAAAATAAGATTTTTCAATGTAGTCTTCAATGTGTTAAGCTATCTCTTCATGATGATGTTTCGGGAGAGGAGAAAATGCAGAAAGCAGTATCTATGGGAAATGAAAATTGATTAATTGGTTTACTTTCATAATTAGCTTTATCAATTGTGTTCACAGGATTCAATATGACTGACCATCGCATACGGGAGGCAGCTGAGTCACTGCTCAGTACAGTGTCCAACCCAAATTATAGGACTATATGTAAGTATTCTATAAGTACATCATTTTATATATTCTTTTCACAATGGGGACTAGAGGCCCAATTGCTAGCAATGTACCAGGCATTTCGACATGGAAACTATTGTTATAAATTCCTGAAGAATTTGTCATGATGAGTTAATTGACATGAGTTTAAGCTCACACTGTCATCCTCTACCGTAGTTCCATAGTTTATTAGTGCAGGCACCCACCATTCCATCTTCATTAGTAAAAAAAACTAGAACAATTCACATAACCATTTGCTTGGTCTCACCTCATCTGATGGTAAATGATGGCAAGACCTAGGATGTAGCGCGCTTACCCAGAAGATATCTATTCACCATAGACTTGAAGAATCCGGGGTTGTATTTCTCCGGGAACACTAAAGCTGGAAGTGTGTTCCACTCTTTGGCAGTGCGTATTAGGAAGCATGATGTCCCAAAAATAAGCAGAGCTTATACTATGGATGCTAAACAAGTGATAGAAATAATTAAATACATAGGTATTTTTGTACATACATACATAATACACAAACAACACCCAGATCAATACAAATATTATAGATGATAATGGAATAGTGCACCCGTCTGTGCTAACGCTTTATGCTGGCAGGGCACCAGTGCAGGATAATAAGATGAGCATGAGTTCAGGTCAGGTAGCCCACCATGGCAAATTCATCAAAAATTTAACATGATGGTTTCTAGTAGGAACCACATTTAGGTCAACCTGACATGGTACATTTCGCTCAATATAAACAATCATACTTAAACAACTAGGTGATGTTAGTTCAAAAAGGGTACAACACCATCTAATGAGCAGTGAATGAAGAAAAATTAGAAAGGAATGTGACCCACCAGCACACAATACCAGGTCACCAGTTTACCACGATAGGATGAGGATTAAGATTTCGTCAGTAGCTTGTTCTTTCATCATGGCGAATTCACCAGGTATTAACGTCGTGGTTAATTCCAACCAGGTGGAAGTGTGTAATGTAATGTATTAGTGATAAACGACTTAAAAGAATATATGGATATAGTCTATGGCGACTCGGGACCCATAGAGCATTGAGTGTGTACTAATGATAGATTTAAGACAAGTCATATAATAAACGGTTTTTCTAGAGATAACTGAGGAGTTTAAATTAAATTAATTAATACAAAACTAGACAGGAAGTCAATCTGACATGGTACATTGCTAGCAATGGGGTCATCAATCCACATTACTAACAATCTACTTCTGCCTAGTATAATATAAGTTGTTATGGATGATAATGGAATGGTACACCCTCCTGCGCTAATGATATACGCTGGCGGGGCACCAGTGGAGGATGATAGGATGAGCATGAAATCAGATTAGTTAGCTCATCGTGACAAATTCGCACAGATCTTTGTTATGATGACTTTGATGATTGTCATTGACTTTTCCTTTTATTTATTCCAGCTCAGTCACAGTCAGTGAATCTCGTGTCGGAAGATCTGGCGGCAGGTCACAGGCCTCAGGGCAAGATGTCGACTGTACGAAGGTTCTTCTGTCTGTTTGTCACATTCGATATATTGTTTACTAGTCTCATGTGGCTTATATGTGTAATGGTGAGTTTTTTTTTTTAATATTTGTAACTGGAATAGTAATTTTTAGCCAGCGTCATGTATCTTTGTACTTTACGAAGACTTGACTGGTAAAGAATGTTCTGTAACTGATTGTGTAAATATCCTGCAGGAACCAGAATTTTCATATTCAATTCAATTCAAATCCTTACAATCATCTGCTTCTTCCTTATCCCATTCATTTGTGGTCGTGGTAATATGTTTTCTCTTCCATTCATCCCTGTTCGCAGTCATCTCGTTATTTACTCCCTTTCTTCTTCTTCTTCTAAGAAGGGCTGAGGAAGACCGAAGAAGACTTCGGTCTTCCTCAGCCCTTACCATCCACATTAATATGTAACACCTTCCTTAGGATATGATCTTCATTCCTACACATGTACAATCCTTACCAATATTATTAATGCGAAAGTAACTCTGTCTGTCTGCCTGTCGCTCTTTCACGCCAAAACTAAATAACCGATTTAAATGAAATTTGGTACACAGATAGTCTAAAAAAACTCTGAGAAAACACATAGGCTACTTTACTATGCGAAAAAAGGGTTGTAAGGGGATGAAAGGGGAGATGAAAAGTTGTATGGAAGTATCGTTATTATTAAAACTTGGGCCTTTTTATGCTGTTGATAAAAAAATACCCTTAAGGGAATAAAGTAAAAGTTTGGATTAGATTATTAAATATTTAATGCCATCCAAAATCACTACTTCACGCAGAAGAAATCGCGGGCATAGGTAGTAAATCTATTTATACAATGTACGAACAATTTTCAATACACGAGAAGTTTAGATTTTTTTTTAAAGAATATGTTAAGAAATTAATTAGTTTAAAAACTTATTTTAAATTAAATAATGTTTTTCAGAAATGTTTATTCTGTTTTTCTTTTCAGATGCGAGGCGAGACGTTAGAACAAATATTCAATCGTGAAATAGTTCACTATAACGTGAAGACTTCGCTGTTTGATATTGTAATGGTGGCTGTGACTAGGTTCATCGTGCTGCTATTGTTTTACGCAATCTTGTATATAAATAATTGGAGTGTTATAGCTGTGAGTATATACTTTATTTTATTTACTAGCTACTCGCCCCGGCTTCACCCGGGTATACATGTATTATACATATAAACCTTCCTCTAGAATCACTCTATCTATTAAAAACCGCGTCAAAATCCGTTGCGTAGTTTTCAAGATTTAAGCACATATAGGGACAGACAGCGACAGTGACTTTATTTTATATATATATTATTAATATTAATGTTTCTTCTATTCCATCATGCGCCATCCACTACCTTCTTCTCCAACCAACCAACGTCTTTTCTCCTCTACCCAAAGGTTGTCTGGAAGAGATCACATAAACGATAAGACCGCGTTTTGTACCCATATTCTAAATATTGTTTTCTTTTGTATATATGTATTTTGTTATTATGGTGCAACAAAGAGAGAGAGAATAATAAGTAAAAAATTATTCACTTTAAAAAATACAAAAGAAAATAAAATATTTAGATTATGTAGGTACAAAGGCGTTCTTATCGCTGAAGCGATCTCTTCCAGACAACTTTTGGGAAGAGGAGATAAGACAGAAGGTAGTGGATGGCGCAAGATGGAATGAAAGATACATAAATAATAATAGTAATATATAAAATATATACACATATTATAAATATATACGTTATACATAATATATAAATAAATAATATATACGAGTATACATAGCAACTATGCAATTAATTATAACTGTAATAAGTTACAGGACGACCTCGGAGGTCTAGCGGTTTAGCACACTGCTTTACATCCGATGGTCGCGGGTTCGATTCCTCGCACGGCACAAACATTTGTATTCATGAGTATGTATGTATTTACGAAAAAAAATTATCTATGTACTTGTATCAGTTATATAGTACCCGTAACACAAGCTTTAGATTGCTTAACTTGGGACTAGATGGCGCTGTGTGAATTGTCCTGAGATTATTATTATTATTATTAAATTTATTTGTTTCAGCTCTCAACAGGTGGAACTTGTGCCTTTTTGATAGCAAAAGTGTTTGTTTTTGATGTAAGTTAATTTATTAATTTATTTTATTTGGGAAACAAACAGTTTTATAATGTAGTAAGTATTTAAGTATATAAAAATGAATTAATAATAGTAAAACCAATACAGATATTCACGAGTTAATACGTGTGTTGTGTTACTTTTATTGTCTTATTCTTAAGAATACCTATTATAAATGCGAAAGTTTGTAAGTATGGATGTTTATTACTATTTCTCGCAAAAATTACTCAAAGGATTTTGAAGAAACTTTATAGCTTATACTTCCAAATAACATATAGGCTATAATTTAAAAAAATATTATATAAATAGTGCGAAATATAATTATATATGTTGTATAAGTGTGATGCAGACGAAGTTACGCGGGTCATCTAGTTATATATATAGTTAATTTCATATGAAATAATATAGATTATCTTTCTGAACTTAAAAGACAATCATTTATTCGTATTAAGACCAGGTTAATAATATATATAATTAGCTGTATATATTATATCACGGGGAGTGTTCTGAGGAATTGGTCGGATTAATACCAGCTGCTGAGTTTCACCACCGTACCACCCGCCAGAAACTGAAATACCATCCTGATCATCTCGATGAATGGCGGTCCTCCACAGTGCGGTTGTCTAGAAACTTTTTGCCTCGCACAACCACATTGTGGAATCACTTTCCAGCAATGATATTTCCGAACCGATACGATATTGAAACCATCAAGAAAAGAGCTTATTCCTTTTTAAAAGGCCGACAACGTACTTGCAATTCCCCTGGTGTTGCGGGTGCTCATTGCGGCGGTAATCACTTACCATCAGGTGAGCCGCATGCTCGTTTGTCCCCTGTGTTATGAAAAAAAAAGCTGTGCCCGCGGTTTCACCCGTGAAATTTATAGCCTATATATTATTCTGGTGTATAAGCTATATTACTGTAAAGTTTCATCAAAATCCGTCTAGTAGTTGCTGCGTGAAAGAGTAACAAACATCCATCTATACTCACAAACTTTCGGGTTATCTTTCTGGACTTTATTCATTCATTCATAATTTAAGAGCTACACTCTTGTCGGTGGTGCTCTTGCCACTTTCCGCGACTTTAGACTTTTCTGGACTAAGAGACAATTATTTATTCCTGTCTATTATATGTTACTAGCTACTCGCCCCGGCTTTGGGTGTACATGTATTATACATATAAACCTTCCTCTTGAATTACTCTATTTATAAGAAAACCGCTTCAAAATCCGTTGCGTAGTTTTAGAGATTTAAGCATACGTAGGGACGGACAGACTATACTATGTAATGAAGATCCGGTTAATAATATAAGTAATGTGCATATTTGTATGTCCAGTGGCCGAACGCGTCGCAGCCAGTGTACCAAGTTTTCCTAATCCTCACATCGTTCACGATCTCGTGGGGCGAAGCCTGGTTCTTGGACTTTAGGGTGCTCCCGCAGGAGTTGCAGGCCAAGCAGATACTGGAGTGCATCGGTAAGACTTGAAGTCAATCTAGTGTAGCAGATTAGATAAATAAATAACCGTAGACAATTGACACAGTGCTATCTAGTCCCATGGTAAGCAGAGCTTGTGTTATGGGTACTAGATAACTAATATAAATACTTTTTTTTTTAAATACATACGTAATATACATAGAAAATACCCAGATTGGTACAAACAATCATACTCATGAATACATGTTTGCAACGTGCGAGGAATCGAACCCGCGACCATCGGAAGTAAGGGGTGTGCTATACCGCTAGACCACTGAGGTTGTCATGATGATTAATAATTGATTGATTTGGATTTGATTTGTTATACAGTGCATGGAACAGAAAGAACTCCTTTGCTGCACCCTGGGAGGCCGTCGGGCGTGCTGTCCACACACGGGGAGTCCACGGTGAACTGGTTCTCACCGGTCGAGACTCCGGAGTCTAGTCCACGGCCGAGGAGAGCCGGGGAGCAAATTATACTCACACAAGATCAAGTAAGTGTATCCATACTGGAATATTTACTACCTACTCGCCCCGGCTTCGCACGGGTGTACATGTATTATATATATAAACCTTCCTCTTGAATCACTCTGTGTATTAAAAAAACCACTTCTAAATCCGTTGCGTACTTTTAAAGATTTAAGCATACATGAGGACAGACAGCGACAACGACTTTGTTTTATACTATGTAATATTTATTTATTTAATATTTAATTATTTTAACTTCAATACACAAAAATAATGTGTACATATGGCGGACTTAACATCTTGCGGCGATATCTACCAGGCAACCATGAGTGGTGCAGAGAAAGATTCTTGGCGGTGCACTAGTATAAATGAACATGTCAAAAAATATATAAATTTCTATGAAACATAATTATTTATTTACTTAACTTCAATACACAAAAATAATGTGTACATATGGCGGACTTAACTTCTTGCGGCGTTATCTACCAGGCAACCATGAGTGGTGCAGAGAAAGATTCTTGGCGGTGCACTAATGTAAATGAACATGTCAAAACATATATAAATTTCTATGAAACATAATTATTTATTTACTTAACTTCAATATACAAAAATAATGTGTACATATGGCGGACTTAACATCTTGCGGCGTTATCTACCAGGCAACCATGAGTGGTGCAGAGAAAGATTCTTGGCGGTGCACTAATGTAAATGAACATGTCAAAACATATATAAATTTCTATGAAACATAATTATTTATTTACTTAACTTCAATATACAAAAATAATGTGTACATATGGCGGACTTAACTTCTTGCGGCGTTATCTACCAGGCAACCATGAGTGGTGCAGAGAAAGATTCTTGGCGGTGCACTAATGTAAATGAACATGTCAAAACATATATAAATTTCTATGAAACATAATTATTTATTTACTTAACTTCAATACACAAAAATAATGTGTACATATGGCGGACTTAACATCTTGCGGCGTTATCTACCAGGCAACCATGAGTGGTGCAGAGAAAGATTCTTGGCGGTGCACTAATGTAAATGAACATGTCAAAACATATATAAATTTCTATGAAACATAATTATTTATTTACTTAACTTCAATACACAAAAATAATGTGTACATATGGCGGACTTAACATCTTGCGGCGATATCTACCAGGCAACCATGAGTGGTGCAGAGAAAGATTCTTGGCGGTGCACTAGTATAAATGAACATGTCAAAAAATATATAAATTTCTATGAAACATAATTATTTATTTACTTAACTTCAATACACAAAAATAATGTGTACATATGGCGGACTTAACATCTTGCGGCGTTATCTACCAGGCAACCATGAGTGGTGCAGAGAAAGATTGTTGGCGGTGCACTAATATAAATGAACATGTCAAAAAATATATAAATTTGTATGAAAAATAATTATTTATTGTTCAAGACAATTTACAGCACCATACAAGCTAAGTAGAGCTTGTGTTATGAGTACTAGATAACGAATAGGAATACTGTATTTTAAATAATAGTAATATAATAAAAACCCAGGACAATTTTCTCAGCGTTATGTTGCCCCAGGTTTAGCAGATCTTGCCGCCGGAGTTGCGGTGGACTGACAGTCGATCCAGCGACTCCGGCTATAGGCACTTCGTCGGGATACCTTGGAGTTTTTAGTGAGTAGGAGTCTCACAGTACCCGCTTGCCTCCCCCGGGGCGGGCGGGTCTCCATGAGGGATTTTCTCCAAGTAAAAAAAAATGGCTTAGCAGATCTTGAGTTATGAGTACTAGACAACTGATACAAATTCATAGATATATACATGTATTTGTAAATATACACATATAAATATAATACACTCATACCGAAAACAATCATACTCATGAATACAAATGTTTGCACCGTTGGACAGGGGCGGATCGTGAATTTGTGGGGCCCTGGGCTAAATCTACTTAGAGGCCTATATAATTATGTTACTCAACTAAAAAAATACACCGACCAAAAACAAGCGACCAGAAATGCCCCGTTCCTTTCGATAGACGCGCACTCTTGGGTTGATTGATCTCAGGGTTGCCAACCTTATAGGTTTTTTTAATATTCTAGATATTTTTTTATATTCGAAATATCGTTTCAGTGGGGATTGGGGGCCCTTTGTATCCTCGGGGCCCTGGGATGCAGCCTAAAAAGTCCTTATATCCGCCCCTGTCGTTCGAGGAATCGAACAGTACCTACTGAATGTATTTTGATAAATATATAGACTACTAGCTGTCCCGGCAAACATAGGATACTTTTTATTTAAAAAAACAAATATTTTTTGTATAAAACTAAAAATAACATATCAACATTTTGCTACTTCAGCACCATCTAGCAATGAAGTTATGCGAGCGAAGCCGCGGGTAAAAGCTAGTATCGAATAATTATTACTTAACCCGATGTCATTGTATTTCTAACTACATCACTATAACTACAACCATATGGTTATGGTCATCTATTGCTACTACATAGGTCTATATAGACCTATGTAGTAGCAATAGATGACCTAATATTGCAATCGGCTAAGCACAGGATCGAATCCATTTAAGGTTTATTAAGGTCAATTGACCATTTACCGCCAATTCCCCTTAATCAGCTGATCAATTTGTAATAGATTATACATTTGTATTATCTGTATCCAAGTCGATTTTCTTTTTAATATTATTGAATGTCAAATATGACCACCCACCTGGTAAGTGGTAACCGTCGCCTATATACATGACCAGTACTACGGACATCACGTTATCATGTGACACTCGTGATACCACTCATGCATTACCATTCCAGAGTACTAAGATGTCACGCCTCTTATCTTGTAATTTCACTGCCTAATCTGCACCCTACAACCGAAACACATCTTACAGGCGGCTGAAATAGGTGGTGGAGGTAAAGATCTAGTGGTTTAGCACACCTGCTTATTTCCGATGGTCGCGGGTTCGATTGTTCGATTTGTGTTCATGAGTATAATTGTTTGCATCGGTCTGGGTGTTTTCTATATATAATATGTATGTATTTACGAAAAAAATCTATGTATTTGTATCAGTTATCTAGTACCCATAACACAAGCTTTAGCTAGCTCAACTTGAATCTATATGGTGCTGTGTGAATTGTCCTGAGATTATTGTTATTGCGACACATTTTCGCCTCTCAACGAAGCATCATCAGGCGTTGTATAGAGTTCGGATATAGCTTGGAAGCCTAGTGTTGACTGTTCGGTGGCCAAATTGCTACTCTCTGTCGCCTTTGACTTGTGCAAAGTAACTCCTTTTTTCTTATCCTGTCTAAAAATCTTGAGAATTCGACTAATAAAGTAATTTTTGACATTGAAAAATCTACTATTAATAATTCCCTTTTTCTTCGGAGTGGTAGTTATAACGCTGTAATCCAAGCGGGCAGCGCCGCATGGCGTAACTAGTTTTATTTACAAGTACCATTATCTTTGGTATTAATCGATTTAACACCTTAATCCTACCAGATCCAATACACCTGCTGATAAACATATTGTCGTCTCTAATAGCAAAGTCGCCGTGTTGGTTCGTCTATATCTTAGCATCATAATCATCATCATAATAGCCTGTAAGACGTCCACTGCTGAAGGTCTCGCCCAAAAATGTCCTGGACGATGAATCCTGCGCTTCTCGTATCCAACGCTTTCCAGCGATCTTGACCAAATCGTCAGTTCACCTTGTCGGAGTCCTTCCCACGCTGTGTCTTCCGGTCCGCGGTCACCACTTGAGGACTTTACTGCCCCAACGGCCATCTGTCCTATCTGTCCTACCTATGTGCCCTATACATTGCCACTTCAGTTTCGTAATTCTTCGGGCTATGTCGGTCACTCTAGTTCTTCTACAGATCTCCTCTTTCTTAGATTACTTGTAAATAATTAATTCATACACTGGTACCTGGTGTTATACCAACCGTACATCAGTCCTTTTCGAAGATATTCGGGCAATCTGATGATTAATCGACTGTATATATGCAACCTTAGTCGCTACTTTTTGCTTAGACAGGTCTTTTCCTTAATGTATGGTATCGAGTACACTGCAGTGCAATAAAACTGAATATTTATTTAATGGAATAATTTGAATGGTTTAAATAATGTGCACTCAAAAATGATGACTTTAGCAGTATCTATATCTTGCACATTCTTTTTGGCTCAATCTACATCCATTAGGATGTCTTTCATCCTAGAAGTAGTTTAAACAAAAAATATTGAAAAGTGCTTATCATCATTGCCTTGCCTTTTTTCCATTATTTGTAGTCTGTGCAGTAAGTCAACTTCATCCACTGATACTGATCCTTATCAACGATCATATCTGAGCTTATAGTCCTTATGCATATCGTCTTTGACAGGGTCCATCCATATTTTCTTTCAGCCCTTTTATGGCATTAAAAAGTAGCCTCTTTCTCAGGGTCTAGGCTATCTGTGTTCCAAATTACAGTTAAATCATTTCAGTAGTATTGGCGTGATAGCGAGACAGATAGACAGTTACTTGCGCATTTATAATATTAGTAAGGATTACTAATATAGTTAAACGGGTTTTAACACTAATATTTTTATAATAAATGGTAATTACCTCTCTCGACGTTTCGACTAGCCGTGGTCACATTTTGGCGAAGAGAGGTAAATTCCTTTATTTAGCATAAAATTATTTAATTCCGTTTAACTATATTAATAATGATGAAGGAAGTCTTTATATACATACATCCACTTTAATATTAAAAACCTTTGAAATGGTCCTCGATATAATAGTACTAGTACTAATATATATAATAGTACTAATATATATTATGCAAAAACTAATTTAGTAATACGTGCTCATTCGTTTACTAACTCTATTGTTTATCTACGAAGGTCCTAATTACAAGAGATTATAATTCATAAGCAGTTATTATACTTATCTTTAATGTATAATCTGTTGAATTGATCCCATTCGCTACTTATGTTAATCGCCTTTTGCATTATCATATTTCTATAATTGAGTCACTTTAATGCG